ACAGGCTAGTCACCTGTGAGGTCCTGAACACTGACTGACTGCAAGTTACCCACTGACAACTGGCCCTTTTGTTCCTGTCTCTATAACCACACCTTAGAGGAGGAGAAAGTAAAGAAAGCTGCACTGCTTCGAGCCCCCCTCCTGCACCTTTAACCTGCCTCCTCCATGAGTGAGCGTTGACCCTTAAAGAGAGACTCCACTGTGCTGACTGATGTTTTAGAGCTCTCTTATAAATAATTTGTAGCCCAGAGCAACTTCAGACATCACTGTAGCAACATCAACTCCTGTTGGTCACACTTTGTTTACAATGAGACTTCCTTATGTGGGGTTGGTGCAAAGCTCCTTTCAGATGTGTTTGCTTACACAGCAGGTTTACAGCATGTTGACAGTAAACAGGTAACTTTTCATTAAAGTTAAAAGACAACAATATCCTGATGAAAAGTATTGTAGGTCTTCTTTAAATTCATGACATCTTCTCTATTCCCTAACAACAATAACCGTAGTTTCTGACCATATGTTATCTTATTACTTCGATACAAACCCAGGCACACATAGCTTGTTATTCTTGTTATAAAAACACATGCGGCACTCACCTCAGCATCTACAATAACAGCAGCAGGACCCTGCAGAGCCGCGCGCTCTGCGGGAACTTTCCATGTAGGATGGTTTCGCCAATAAAATCCCTTCTTACAAAATAACTACAAAAGACATAACCAAGCACGCGGATGCTGCAGAGCTGGGATATTTGATAGCCGCGTGTCAAGTCAGAACTCTGCTTCAATAAGGCGCAGGGTTCATCCTTTCCTGTGCTTTGTAGCGGCGACAAAACCGGTTCAAAGCTGTTCTTGCTGGTCCTGCAGCCGCTCGAGGAGGAAAGGCGCTGCTTCCTCTTGCGCGCGAGCAGCGCACCGCACAGCTGCTTGTGTTTATGGCTCAGACTGAGGACTTGTTGTTTTCTCTAAACTACATCGGAAATGTTGAGTATCAGAATAAATGCACACGTACATACACAATAATTAACAACCACAACAACTGTTTACCTGTAGGTTTCCGGACCAACTCAGATTCTTATAATAAAGCACTTCAAAAAGAAAAAGTTAAAATAAGAATTCAGTCTAGAAATCATATAGGCTACACATCTTTAAAGTGAATGAACTCATCTTAACATACTTGTGTCAAGCTAAAGGCATTGGGTTCATGGGTACTGACGATGGAGGGCTGGTAGGCCAATGGGATACTTCTCTCAGGAACATTGTTTTTACTGCCAGGAGTCCAGTCTGAACCGGTTGATGGATGTAATAGCAGCTCCACAGTGCACCGGCAGTCCTCTTCCTGGCTGATTAAAGAAAAAACGCACAAACTATTGAATGAAATCACAAAGCACTAAAACCTAACAAGAGGTTAATCAAGTCTTATTGAATATGAGAGTGGTCCAGAAATAGGAAACAACATGTTGAGAGCCTATGCTACTAAAGAGTTAAAAATAACCTGAGGGAATACAAGAGAGGATGGATGACGAAAGGATATACTTAGGGTTCTGGGTTGATTAGGAATATGTCAATCACCTTTTAACACAGAATGGTCAAATTAAATAGATGTAGGCAAGGGAAAAAAAGGGAATGATAAACCTACACCCTGAGAGAATAGCTTTAATTCTTGCATTCATACTGATTGGGTAAGAGCCGAAAGCGCCGTGGTCACATTGCTGCAGCAGCATCATAAAGTTATGTGTCATCATGTGATTGCACCCATTCTCATAACCTCAGGTCAGAAACACAGTGGAACCAAGTCAGAAGGAAAAAAGTCAAGTAGGGCAGGCAAGAGAAAGATGAAAGAAGAGGGGCAGAAAGAAAGAACAGGGGAGGGATGAAGAGAGCAGGTCAAACTGGTTTTAACACTCAATGCACCTTAAATTCTTCAGGAACTTAGATGCTTTTTCCCATAGTTGAGGTCTGCTGCCAGGAAGGGTCTTACAGAACAGATTTAGGCTTCCTAATCCCCTCCTGCCGGAAAAATGATGTGGAAAAAGAACAAGGGAGACACAGTTAATTGTACCCTACACTGGCATAGCATTGACATGTCACCCTAAACCAGTCTCAACCAGATGTAGTGCATGTGGGGGACAATGTGTTGGATGTGAGGGTTGGGAGTGAGAACAGGAATGACACGCTAGGAACACAATCAATGTTGGTGCTGAATTTCACATGCTTGCATTAGCTATTCGATACATTTATTGATATATGTACATGTTCACACTGGTGCCACACTATAATAATACAAGTGATATGGTGGAAGCTTTGCAAAGCCACATTGTTTCATCTTTTTTGTTACTGCCTTACATACAAAACCGATTCAGCATCTCAACACTGCGATGGCACAAAGCACAAGAATAACGTGCAAGTATAACGCTAGGAGAAAATCATTTGGATCAGCACCCTTTTTTAAATAACCATTTTTCATATTACACTAGTGCTTACACTGCAAGGGTGGAGAACACTGTCGACCTATATCATTATTGGCCTTTCTAGGCTGTCTGGAATAACAGTCTTATCAATTATTTCCCATCCTTGTCACTTCCTGGAGGGAAACACTGTCTTCCTATCAACTTAAGAACACAGAGGCTTTGGTCGAGTCCACGTCGAGTCAGAGAAAATGGCTTATTTCTATCTCAATACTTTGACATTTAAAGGGGCATGAGAAATGCAATTTGTTGCAATCAGATTTAATTAAAAAACCAGGAACCTTGTGATATCATGCCCTCATCGAGAAGATCAAAAACAGCGTAATTACTTATTTACTTTTTTCAAATATGGATGAACTATTACAAAAACGTGGCATATACATCTGTTCACTGGTACCAGCTGTTTGGTATTCATCATAATACTGTTTTCATTTTCTCTTTGTGAAATCTGATGTTTCAAAATCTTATGTCACAATAACAATGTATTGAGCAAATGTGAAACATAATTTATGTAAGAACATATTGCCCCAACACACACATATATCGCTGCAGAGCTCACATTATTCCTTCAGTCCCACAGCTTTACACAAGCTGATGTGATATTTTGCAATTTTAAAGTGTTTTCTCTGACACGGGAGGAGCAGCAGCCTGCTGTTCTTCTCGGTAAGAGGCTTGGCAGGCGTTAACATACAGAGCCACCCTGCAGTCTGGATAAATGTCTCTTGGTTACGGCCGCTGAGCACCATAAAGCTGCAAAGGGTCAAAGGCCCCTTTAGCACCCAGCAGGGCCACCCTGAGTCTCCAGCCCAGATTCCTACTTGGATTAGTTCAGGTTGCTGACTTCAGCAGCAAGAGAGCACTGCGACGTGGGAGAAAATCACAGGGAACGCTCAGCAAGTCTTTGGACAAAGATATACTCATGTCATGATGGGGTGGATTTCCTGTGAATGAGCTAGTTACCTGCAGAGCCCTAATGGACGCCTAATGTGTTGCCCAGGCTGTCATCTTTACCACAGGTTATTGCCCCCACATTACAAACGTTTACCATGTTAAATGATCCTGGAATGATTGATATATGGAAAACACTCCTCAGCCAGTTAGAACCGGTGTGAACCAAACCAACGAGGAACTGGAAGTTACATACTGGCACAGAAACAAGAGTCAATGGAGCAGCTTTTTTTAAGAGGCTTATAACATGATGCAGATGTGTTGCAATAGATGAAGAGAGCTGACTCTGCAGTGCATTGCTAACTTTATTAGTTCACCACTCATATTTCAACACATACATTTCAACGTCATCTTTTTTACATTTGATCATAACATGTTTTTGTAAGCATACCCAGTGATTTATTATTTAATCTTAAAGATGACATAATGCTATTGTCAGATTCATATTTAGTGTGTCTCTACTCTGATATTGATATGCTTTAATGTTCAATAAGTGCTTAATTTCTCTCATACTGCCTGTGCTGTAGCACCTCTTTTCACCTTCTGTCTGAAACCAGAGCCCAGTCTGCTCTGATTGGTTAGCTGGCCGGCTCTGTTGTGATCAGTCAACCGCTTAGAGATGTGTAGGAAAAGTCGAGCGCCCTTGGCATATCACGTACAATGGGTCAGACCGCTAGCCAATAGAAACGTGAAATTAAAATAGTGATGTCAGGTGGGAGAGAAACTCTTTATGGCGTAATTTTTTATCTTTGCAGACCATTTACATCCACGCAAACCTATACAAATGCACCACAGGGAAGGGAAGACCCCAAAAAAGCAAACGAGGGCCTCCAATGTATTGTTTTTATGATTGGCACAACAACATGTCACAAAAAAGGGTATGCGGTGCAACACGTTCTCCACATACTGACAATAGAGACTATAGGCAACTTCTTGGGATCCTGGCTTAAAGGAAGGAAAAAAGCCAAATATCACATTTAACATTTAGACATAAAGTCCTATATGAAATTTGTGGCTCATCAAAACATTTGCAGAAACAACTTAATGATATGCAAAGATGTGTCCGTACACATTGTAGCAATTAATATGGCCAAAATATCGAATGGGGAGTGGGGCAAGAGAATTGCCTTCAGGTAACGACTACTTTTACATTTAATTTGGCTCGTTTTTGCTGCAGCTTCAAGCTTGTGTCACGGACACATAATGATGATTTACAAAACAATGGTGGTTTTACTGAGGCCACACTCTTGCACAACAGGTTTGGACACTAAAGACATTCAAAACAACAACAACTGTATAAATAATTCAGACAGTGCATTGTCAAAAACCCCAGCAGTAAACTGAGTCATGATAATAAAACATTCAATCTTACCAGTGGTGAAGTGTAGAGAAGCCTGAGGCGTCTGTGTAATGTGAGAAACGCATAGTTCTCCCATTATGCTTGGGTGAGCTTTGATGGTGCAGATTTATTTAAAAAAGGCACAAACATTTTCCCTTTGAATTACTGTTGGGGTTTGGCAGGATAAAGAGACTAAAAATGTGAATCTTAACCCGCACAATGCTATTAAAACAACTGACAACAAGACAGAGGTCATCATCTCAAGAGCTTTAATCATACATAGAAATGTTGTTCAACAGTACCATTCATTTAGAATGTTGTAGCAGTATATTTAGTGTAAAGAGCATTATGTTTTTTTTCCTTTTTCTAATGAGGAATATCCAAAAGGATGATAGAAGCTTTCAGAAACACACCAGAGAGAGAAAAAGAGAGAGAGACCGAGTACATGACTATGTTGTAACACCTCAGACTACATTTTTAAACACCTTTGAAGGCGACATTTATCTGTGGTTGATGTACCAGTGTCCATTTTGCTGTTTTTTTTTTGTTTTTTTAACTGAAGAGCAGCAGTTTTGAATGCTTTCAGAAACTAAAACAACATTGGTTTGATCAATGCCCAATAACGGAGAAACTCCAAGCATTCCTCTATGTCACCGTTAAACCAAATTAAAGCCGTTCAGCTCGGGGCCGGGGTGAGGACACTGCTGCAGAGACAGAGGGGCTGGGGTGAGCTGGAGTGGAGTACATAACTGCAATCAAGTGTCATATTATAGGCATGAAAAGAATCGACTACATCCATCTATCAGTTTGTCCATTTCTCTTTCCATACATCCATTGATCCAAACATCCAACATATCGGTAAACACAACCATGAAACGTACTTTATGTGCTGTTTGTGCTATCTTAGAAGCGCCACAACATCAATTCCAACCAGCTAAAGTCCCAAGCAAATGAAAAAAACACACATCATGTACAAGACATAAGGTGGAACAAATAATTGGCCTACAAATCCCAGAAGCGATTATTTTTCAGTCCATCCATTCCTTTTTAAGAGTAGTTAAGTGACGCCACGTGTGGATTTGGCAGGTGGCTAGCTTCACCGAGCGTGAGCCGCCATCGTGTTTCCCCTCTAAAACTTTTGAAGCGGCTTCTTTTATGGAGTTGGTAGAGAGTAAGAAACTTGACTTCCAGAGCTGGTAATGATAGAAGCTGCTTTTGCGGTAGCGTCGTGGCATTCAGTGGAAAGAAACCGTGTGTTGCATTAAGGCTGGGAGGGAGGCTGCTGTGCTGCGTGCTGCGACATAGCTGCCGGGGAGGACATGGACTGGACCATGGGCTGAGCCGGGGGCGGGAGCTGGGGCTGAGCCTGCTGGGCCCCCGAGTGCGTATTGGGGGAGGGGGGGGGCGTTGGACGTTTGAATTTGTCGGGGCTGTTGCTTCTTCTTGGAGAGGGCCTCTGTTGGAGAGAGAGAGAACATGTTTGAATACATAAATGAATGTGCTTTATCTTGTATAATACATTTATAACATTACTACAATAAACAGTATACTATTTCACTGTATTTTCACAGTGTTTAATTTGAAATTCGGTTCAGTTTTTCCTATTCTATGTACATTTATATAGACTCCTGCATCAACTAGCTCACCAGTGTTGGGACTAACGCGTTACAAAGTAACGCCGTTATTTTTGGCAGTAACTAGTACTGTAACGCATTACTTTTTAAATTCAGTAACTCAGTTACCGTTACTACATGGTGCGTTACTCCGTTTTTTATATAGTCAGCCAGGCGAACAGAGATGAGAACTGTACTTAAGTACAGTACTTGAGTAAATGTACTTTCATACTTCCTGTGTCACATGCGGAGACGGGCTGTGGGCGTGTTTGTGTTGTTTACTAACAAGACTATCATGGCGGCGGCGGAGCTCAAGTCTAGTTTCTCCACCTGGAGATATTCTCACTATTTCACTTTTGTCGAGCACAAAGAAAAGAACATTTTAGTTAAATGTAAGTTGTGTCTTGGCGGGTCAAAGATCCTATCTACTGCCCAAACCAGTAATTCAAATCTCTTAAAACATCTGCAAAAACAACATGCTGGGACGAAGCTAGTAGCTAAGACCACAGAGACTCAGCCGACGCCACTCCACCTCCACCTAAGCAACAGCGGCTGGATTTTAACCGAGGGACTGCTAGCCAGGGAAAAGTCGATAAAGCCATTGCACGGTATGTTAGTAGAACACATGCAGGCTATTGCTACAGTGGAGTCACCCGCTTTCAGGGAGCTAGTTAGCATGATAGCATGTCCGGGCGGCACACGGCATATGGGACGGAAAACTTTTCCCAACTACCTGGAGAAAGAATATACAAAAATGGAAAGCCAGCTAATATCGATGCAATCCAGATTGCATATAATGCATGTCAAGTTGATCAACAGATTGTATTATTCTCCAATGCAATAACAGTACTGAAATGAAGGCTATAAGGGCATTAATGGGAGCCCTTTTAACAAGTAACGAAACGTTACTTTTCACAGTAACGCATTACTTTTGGGTGGAAGTAATCAGTAAAGTAACTGAGTTACTTTTGAAATGAAGTAACTAGTAATGGTAACTAGTTAGAGGTTTTCAGTAACTAGCACAACACTGTTGCTCACTGACAACATTCTCTGCAACATTTAGCTTATTGTATCTTTTTTGACATGTATATAGTTTACATTGTTTCTGCATTACCTGCACATTGGTCTTACAACAAAATCTTGCACTATTTTATTTCTACTTCGTTTCTTCTTGCACTATTTTCAGGGCCGTCCCTCCCTACAGGCCGATCATGCAGACTGCGTGGGGCCTCATCATATAACTTTGCGTGGGGCCTCATGTTTGCCAGGGACGGCCCTGACTATTTTCATTGTCTTTTAAATGTGTTTTATTGTTTCATCTCTTATATATATTTATGTTGTATTGTTGGATTGATTGATTGATTGATTGGAGGAGATTTCCATTGCCATAACTAGACAATAACGTTTTTAAATCTTGAAACTACAGCATTTAAAACTTGTGTGGCAAAGATGGAAAAAACAAATGGATACAATCAACAAGACAATTGGGCTGGATAACTGCGTAGAGGAAATAAAGGCCGTCTCAGCAGTTAAACAGTGTTTCAGGATTAGAAACTACTGAGAGAGGAAAAAGCTGAGCTATTAGTCATGTACCGACAACTGTAATTCCAGGCAGAGGAACGGATAGAGAAAAAAGGGTTCAGAGAAAAATTAAATCTGTCTGAGGTTCAGTTCTCCACGATTGAATTATTCCCTTGTTATGGTCCTGGGTGGGCTGAGGGGTGATGGGAGAGATGTGGTCTGTACCATCCACATGCACCAAGAGAACATGGATAGATGTAAAATACCCGAGAGGCAGAAAACATGAGATGGAGGAACAACACTTCACAGACCAGTGGGAACAAAGGTCTACGTTTGGGCTGGATTGGCTCCATAGAAAGAGATTAGAGCATAACATAGTATTATTTAGGGATGCTCCGATCGATCGGTCACCGATCGAGATCGGCCGATACTCACTCTCTACCGATCGATCGGTGCTCTCTAAACATGCCGATCGCGAGAGCCGATCGCATGACTTAAAATACATGACACTTTTCTCTGTGTGCGGCAAAACAAGCTCGCCAAAATGGCTTCACCGGTCTGGCATTATTTTAAGGTGTCCGAAAAAGACAGTAAAATAGCGGTATGCAACGTGTGTGAAGCAGAAATCCTGCAGCTCCGCCCGCCGAACCGGTGAGCGGAGCGAAACACAAGAGTTCGACCTAACACACTTAGCTATTTTATCTACCTCTGGAACAAGCTGACCTAGTTAGTTATTATAAATATATTTATTCTTCACTGTCAGGTCACTCATTACTGGATCAGTGAGCTGCATGAGATACTGACAGGCTGTCAGGAGGGGGAGAGGGGGAGAGGGAGAGAGGGAGAGAGAGAGAGGGAGAGAGGAAAAGAGAGCGCTTCCGCTCATTTCTCCCGTGTTATTATCCAAAGTGAATGTAAACTTGAATAATGTACATCATTTGAATGTAATAATTAAGTTGATTCTTGTTTGTGGAAGCTCCAGTGAATGAGCCCCATTAACTGAGTTTTAAACGGAAGATTTAAAGTGATGTTTAAATCTTCCATTTAGGCCCCGCCCACTCGATCGGATCGGCCGATACTGATTCCGGCGATCAGCCCCGAAATTGGCGATCGAAGCATCCCTAGTATTATTAAATCAGTGACTTGATCAAACAGCTGCCTGTTCATAAATATACCATCATGTTTTGAATGTAAACCATGTGCCAGAGCTATTCAATTAGTTTGGAATGGGGGCCGGTTGATGAAAATGATCCAAAGCAAGGGGCCGGGAAAAAGATGGCTTGAAATATGAGCAATCATATTAAGAGCTTCAGATACAGTAAATACTACAACAGCATAGTGGAGTGCATATTGTGTTTAATTAAATCAAACAACATAGTCCAAAGGCCTTTAGAGATCTAAATGGCAAGTTCAGAACTTAGTAGGCCTACATGTGAAGCTAATTTAACCATCAACATCATTTCATTTAGGTGAAATTATCTAATCATTCACGCAGAGATGCAATCAATGACAGGAGTTGTCACTACAGTAGCTAGTAGGTGGGTTCGAAACCCGAGCCCGCCAAAGTTTTCAGGCATTGTTTTCCACTCTCTCTCTCAATTTAACACCCTCTCTGGAATAAAGGCACTCACACAAATAAATGTGATTACTTTTTAACATTATACTCAAAGGGCCAGTAAATATCACCCCGGGGCCCGGATTTGGCTCGCGGGCCGCCAATTGAATAGCCCTGCCATATGCGATGGTATGCTAAACTATATTTGAACAAAGTTATTTGTTAAACAAAAAGACTCCAAGACTATAGGAACGCAAGTAGACAGAGGTCACAGTGACCGAAACAGCACTTACAGAACAGACTGTCAGCTTGAGGACATGTGGCGCCACGCCAAAGAGGAGTTCTTAAACTCTTGTTTTCAATTCTTGCTTAAGACTAACAGTAAGTGACTAACATCACTACAGCCTGTTCCTAGAAATTGTATTTCTCCAAAACAACGTGCTAAGCATGGGAACCAAGCACAAAAACATCCCACACAGCTGATAGATGGATGTTTGTGAAAGTTGTGTATGCTCACTCAGCATGGTGTTTTTTGGCATTGTCCCTACTGCTACCTAACCAGTGGGCTAAAGTGCATTTGAGGAGGCTTTTTGTAAAGACACAAATCGCATGCAAGTTAAAGTCCTGAGCGTTCACCGAATTGACCACAATTCTAGATGTGGCTGACCCCGACAACTTGCAAACACAGTATGTCTTCAGTTTTAGTTCTGCAATGTGACTTTGTATTATATTATAACTGTATTGCATTAATTCTTGGATGAGTGCACCTATTCTCATCTTCAAAAGTCTCCTCTCAACTAAATACTAAACCCATAATCATGGCAGCTCTTCTTTATAAATCATTTTTCGCCACAACCACAAGGTCAAAGATTCCTTTAACAAAATGAATTTTAATAAGAATATTTTATAATCCCATTGAAATTAACAGCAATACATAAAGAAATACTAAGAATAACTAAGAAACATTCAAGTATTAGATAACAACAACACACTTTAAGGATATGACCCAAATCGTTTGGCTAGGAGAAATGCAAACGGACAATGACCCTGTATTAGATCTCATTAAAAACAAGATGAATTACTGAAGAAATATAGCATATGACTCATAAAGATAATTTGATTAAGATATTGCTCTGTTATCGAGAAGATAAAAGTCCAGCCAACTGTACCTTGGAACATTTATTGAGCAAAGATATTTCCTGCTAGCATAAATGTAATTATATGCGATGTAACAACAACATCTCTGACAGTTTCAGATCTGCAAATGTTCACACACATAAAAAGTGAACGATGTAGGACTGTTAACCCTGTTCTGAAGTTTATTTAAATACATAGAAAAGGGAGTATTATGAGGTTTATCAGAAGTGGATGTAAACACGTTTATATAACAGCTAGAAGAAAGCAGTTCACCTTAGTCATCATTTCATTCCAAATATTCCCCGAAGAACGGAAATAGGTATTAGCAACACAACTGGCCTCATAGGCCGGGCCGCAAATTCAACAAGAGAATAAGCAATGTGCCGTGGAATAATTATTTCATTCATTTATTTATTGTTAAACATCAAAAATGTTTTGCCAAGTCTGAGGTCATTTTGCCGATAATAACAACCAATCATCTCACTTAGTAAATGTATTGCTAAGATCACACAGACACTTTCAAAAAGCCTACATCTCGCTTCTTAACGTCCCCAATTGGATAACTAGAATGGATCTTCTTATGATTCAATTCATTTGACATGTTATGACTTACTTCCAAACGATTTGGCTTTACCTTCGTACTCAAGACAAGTTATCAATTCAGTAAAGTATTCAAATAAACACCTGTGAGGTCCTGGGTTTGGGAGGTATGTGTGTTGGTGTGACTTACCGCTACGGCGTGAGAGGAGCTCCCGTGGACGAGCAGGGCGGGGGTGTTGTAGTGGGAGATGGCGGCTCGGGACAGTGTGGCAGGAGGAGTGAAGCCCACAGTGTGGCTGCCATATGACAGACCTGTGAGAGAGACAGAGAGACACACATGAAGAGAAACTAGCACATACTGTTCCACGTCAGTATATTTAACTATAAACTCTGGTTGTTTCAGGGTTCATACACTTTTTCACCAATGATTTTCAATGACTTTTCCATGACCTTTACCTCATTTTCCATGACCAAAAACATTATTCTTTCTCAGAAATATTTTAACATGGTAAGCTGGAAAATAAGGTCTGCATATGAAACATGTTGGTCCTATCTAAAACAAATGAAATAGTAGGCTTACTAGCTTCTACACGCTAAAGCAACTAAAATCTCTCACCAGCAAAATACTTCGTCAGTTAAATGCCATTTTGCGTTCATTACTATACCGTATTTATTATCATTATAGTATTACTATTTTGGCGATTAGATAAAATATAAATTATTATATTTGATGCAACTTTGGTTACATTTCCATGACTTTTCCAAAACTTTGGGGAAAATATTGTTTTACATAACCTTTCTAGGGCCTGGAATTTACATTTCGAATTTCCATGACTTTTCCAGGTTTTTAATGACCGTAGGAACCCTGTTGTTTATAATGAACTGCAGCTAATTCTTTATTCAACAGCTGACATCAGGAACCATGCGTTTTATAGCTGGCAGACAGAAGGGTGAAACAGCGGTGCTCAGCCACCTGTAATCCGTTTTATCACTGTGCAAACATTTAGGCTGTAATCTGATATCCTGCTGAATCACACCAACACAATTGAGCGGACACGGAATAACTCCCTATGTGTTGTGTCCTTGTGTTAGGACACAACAACACCTCTAGGGATTTGCCTGAATGCCAGTACAGTATGGCAGATTGGAGTTTTGTTTCACCATGAATGCCAAATATATACATTTTGACGTGCCATTTCTTCATTATGTTTTCTACGTTGTTTATTTTGACAGTCATTTTCCTCCTTCTAGCACATGCTCAGTCATTCAATATATTGAACTATATTATATACAAAATGCCATTATTTGCCAGCTTCAACAACTCATTCACTTTGATGATATCAACACCAGGAGCACAATTCACTTCAAGCTTTGAATTTGTTGCTGGGTTTTGTGCTAAAAATGTAACAGCTGACTATCACTGTCTTGTATAATCTTAAAAGTTCTTGATTAAATATTTGAGGAGTGAGATAGCAGCAAACAATGATTTGCCATTTAAAAGATATAATGGAATAATGTCTACCTGAGCCTCTTTGTGTGTTGACACCTGTGCTTCTCTTTGCTTTGTTTGTGTAACCGAGCCTCCCGTGCAAGCATGTTAATGCATGCGAGTGTGTGTTCAGTCAGGTAATGGCTGCCCCTCCTCACTGTGCTCATATGGCCATTACGGTTGATAAACTCTTTCCGAACCACTGCCTTGTTATTTAAGTGTAGCACCCACCCTCTGGTTACCCTTAAGGTTAAAACTGTTAGACGCTGTTTGTACCATTGTGAGCTCTTTAGCTCCGAGATCATTCTGTATTGAGAACCTTAACATCAGCTAAAGGAATTTGGCAAGCAGGCATGATGACATTTCATGATTTTCCTGATTCCTGAAGAAACAGTGGGCAACAGATGCAACCAGATGTATTAATGAATAAAACAGGAAGTGGGAAAGACACTAAAGGCTAAGCCATTTTACTTCACTGTTATTCAGTCTGGGAATGTATTCATGGTCAAGTTGACCTTTAAAAGATTTCCATCTTATCAATGAATGTTTGTAAGAGATTCGACACTAGATATGACTGATTTCAATAATACGCTTTGGTACAATGTCAAAGTTTGTTTTCTGGAAACAAATGTATTGACCAATATCAAAGGTCCTTTTTATAGATGTGTTGTCAAGTCTCTTTGACGATAAATTACTTGTCGACAGCTTTATATCCTCAGGTGGCCATCTTACAACGACCTACCAGGAGATATGGGTCTGCTGGAGCTGGGGGAGGGGGTGTAGGGGATGGGGCTGGACACGGTCCTCGCTCGCAAGCCCTGTGCAGACATCTCATTGAAGTACCTGAGAGGAGGAGATGAGGTCATTCAATGAAAATTCTGATTGCAATTAATACAACTTTCAATGACTAAAATGGAAAATAGAAAAGGTTCTTTATGGCTACTGAAAGAACATCACTATAAGGATCATAAAAGCTTATTAGACATAATTAAAAAAAGAACCCGGGCACAGGCAATAAACTGCTATAAAAAGATAACGATGCGATGTTTACAGTACTGAAACTTGTAACAGTATCTCATACCAAGGTAGGAGCATTGTTTGGGTGTTCCTGTGACGGCATGTCATGCCTTAGAGCAGGGATCTTCAACGTTTTTCAGGCCAGGGACCCCCAAACTGATGGAGAGCTGGAGCAGGGACCCCCTACTATATGTATGGCATACAATGGTGTATTATATTAAACGGGGCCTAGTGCCGTGTATAAACATAGCTACTCTGTTATTGTACATTCAATACTAAGCTATTCAAATAATACACAGGTTAATATATTTCAGAACTAGTTGTGCATTGAGGGAGGCACTTACAAAACTAAAATTCCTCCTGCATTTCCTTATCATCGACAAAGCACACAAACGCCAGAAGCTGGGCGTCCTTAGACACATCTGTTGACTCATCTAATTGTATCTGTCAATCTCAGCTTCTCTATCAGTTGCACCCTCACATCAGATGCCATCTCGTCTATACGGTGAGCTATGGTTGTGTCCGACACTGGAATGGTTTTCAGTTTGTTAATGTCAATATCATTCCCATACATTGTTTTACACATATAGGTTGCTGAAGGCAATATTAAATCCTCTGCAAGTTTGTATAGCTGTTTCTTCTGGGCAATCCGAAGAGCAATTTGATAAGAGCGTTTCAAAGCTAGCTCACCAACTTTGGCTGATTTTCTGATCAATATCTGTTGATCTTGGAGGGATTTGAGGCTAGCTTGGAAGTATTCAACAGGTTTGTCTTTTAAGTGGCTGTGTGTTGTCTCCAAGTGACGCTGCAGCTTTGATGGCTTCATAGATTCATTTGAAAGAACAATAGAGCAAATGGCACACATTGGAAATTCAATGCCATCTGTCTCCTTAAAGGTAAAACCAAACTTCAGATAATTATCTGCATATTTTCGGGTCTTCCCACGTTTGCGCTTACCCTTATTAGCTGCTACATCAGCAGCAGGTTCCGCCTTGCCACTTGCATGTTCACTGGTGGTTTCTGAGGTGGATGGTATCTCTCTTGTGCTTGTGGATTTTTTGGGTCGAGTTACAAAACGATCAATTTTTATATATATATCAGGGTTTCCCACACATAGACTATACTTGGGCGGGCCGCCCAGGTATATTAACGGCCGCCCAAGTATATTTCGCGACCCATTCTTTTTTCTTTTTTTTTTTATAATTTTTTTAGTATTTTTTTTTTATTCGTCCGTGACCACGACGCCATCTGCGATCGATTAACTTGTGGACAATGATCCCTCGCTCCCTTGCTCTGATCTCGCCTTGTTAAGTGGCCTGCCTCACACAGGGGGACTGGCTGTCCACATGATGTGGCCTGCCAACATGGCCACTGTCATACAGATCATAAATCAAAGCCCTTGATTGGTCTCTGTGTGTCATTCAAGCTCGGGATAACCTCAGCTCAGGTGAGGTAAAGGACTCTCTGAGTGTTTAGATAGTTAACTTAGTCTAAGTTCTCAGTGGGTCTCAAACGGTGTGGTCACCATTTATGTAAACACATATTTCCATTTGAGAGGGTAGTGATTGGTCTAATGGATAGTGAGGTGGGCTGAAGATCGGAAGGCTGCGAGTTCAAATCCCGCCAGGAACACCACCACTAGTGTGCCCTTGAGTGCCATCTTTACGCAAAATGAAAACTTTTTTTTTCCTCACTTGTCGCTCCTGCCAATGAATTAAAAGCAATTCAGCAATTTAGTTCATTTCACTTGTTTGTTTGCATTATTTTTTTGTATTTAAATCTGTTTTGTTTGATTCTCAAAAGTATGTTATTATGACATCATAACTGCAATATATGTATGTTGTTTTAAAATGATGCCTATTGTATATAAATGAAGACTATTGTTATAGATAATATAGTTAGATAGATGGGGTTATTAAGCCTACATTCTTCTGTGTGACTGTACCTGCAGTTCCTCCCTGACTTCCATCACTTTCTCTCTCTATATTTCTCTCTGCCTGTCCTGTCTCTCTCTTACCAAAGCTGAGCTTCGACTGACGTAGTCTTTTCATTATATCTGAGTCAGTGTAAAAAGACAATACAATGTTATATCTTCAATGTTTTACTCAAATTGAAATGAAGAAAAGCATTACAACGTTTGTTAAAGGTAATCCATTTCTGACATTGGATGAATGTAATTAACTTTAGCTCTCTAGCTAGTTTATTCACGCAATTTAAACCAAAGTATAGCCTATATCTGCAATATAAGTTAGTGTGCATGTTGTCGGACGTCCACTGACTAACGTAGAGCGTTCACACAGGATCTGCTGGTCATATGATATCCTCTGAGGAACAGAAACACAAGAAGCCCGCTGGACTCAGATCTCTAGATACCACATCACTCCTTCACTGCTCCGATACAAGTCCGGGCTGCGGTGGTTTGTTGATGGTTGATACATGTTGTCTTCTTCTGTTAGCTTTAATCGAGGCAGCGTAGTTATGCAGCATGGTCAGTAAATGGAAGTACTACAAAGAACCCCGTTTATTGCAGTTATTTCACAAGTTTTGTTATATACACAGCTCGCAAAATTTTACCGAGGTCCGGACCTCGGTGACCTCAATGGTAGATACGGCCATGGATATGAGGAGCTGTGTGCTCTGAATGCTAAGAGCTAACGGCTGTGTTGTTTTTCTGGGGCTCTCATTGAAGATGACGTCACGGCTCCGCCTACACTGCGTTACTATAGTAACTGCCCCAGTTCCTAAACTGTAATGGAAGCGCAGCATTAAAGTGAGCCGGGCCTAATAAGGCCTAACCAAACCGAGCGAGGCCTGCAGTGGAAACGCGCCATAATATGCCTTGCACAATTTCTCAAGCGCTCTTATTTAGCCATCAACTTTTTTAGCTTGAGGTGGTTTTAGGCATGTGGAAACTAACAATGAAGACAATAAAGATGAATACTTGATTCAAAAATACATATTATTAAATTAACTAAACAAATTGTGAACAAAATTAACATTGCTTTTTATTTAAATTAAATAAATAATATTTCACATCAAAAAGAAACAACAATGTTTTAACAAATCGTATTAAATAATGTGATGACAGAACTGTAAACAGAATAGCTGAAACTTTAACAAAATAAATAACTCCGTTACCTCTAATCATTAACCCATGTTTGTATAATGTAGTTAACTCGGTGTGTTGCTGCTAGCATACATAACACCTGACGTGGAAACGTTACTCGTGGATGGGGCTACAGAGCTACTAGAAAGACAGTCGAACCCGGTGCATTTCTCCGTCTGAATGTGGAGCACTTTTGATAAATGTTTAGACAAATTGCTCGTGTTACCGCCCTCACATGCTAAACACTTATTGCACTATTGGCAACGAGCATTGTCCACCTCAAGACGGGTAACATTTAACCACACCTTAGAGCGCTTCTCTCCGCCATCCCCGCTGTGTGTTGCTGCATGTAGCAGCCGTGTGTGTGTAAACTGCCCCGCCCCCTCGCACACAGACGGGGAAAGATCGAAAATACATCAGACGCATTTTTTTGTCTTTTTGCATATTAGAAACGAGTTGGCGACACTAAGACTGCGATATAATGTTTATGTAGCAATAATACATATGACATATTTTTTTTAATGTCTCCAGTACCGATAAAAAGACCGATAACGTTGGAGCTTAACGGCGCGTAAAACACATGTGATGACGTCACCAACGAATCGACGACTGAATTAGTTGGCAACTAATTTGGTCATCGATTAAGTCGATTAGTTGTTGCACCTCTAGTATCGACACTCATTTCTAAAGCAATTGTGGCAGCTAGCACCTGAATCAAAACAGCATGGCAGCACTAAACATTCAAAACATTTAGTTTCTCAGCTTAACGGATTAAAAGAGGTATCTTTTGCATCTCTCCCTCTATTGTTCCTACATCTTTCCACCCTCACAGGTTAAAACGTCTTTCATCAAATCAGCAACAGGTGCCCAAATGACTCTTCAGTATACAAGCCATGACATTTACTAAAAATAACCCTAACCCTCCACCACCTCACTTGAATTTCTAGCACATGTGACATTCAAATATTTTGACTAAATGACTAATTGTGTGTACGACCGAGTACCTCTCATCGTCCATCTCCAGACTGGATTCACTCTCCGACAGTTGTCTGCACAGAGCCTCCCGGCGCTCCATTTCTCTCTGAAGCTTTCTCTGCAGCCGGATGTTCTCCTCCCTCATGTGTCGCTCCTCCTCGATGTACTGGGCACGCTTCTCTGTGTCTGTGGGGGGAAACGCAGAAAATAAAAGTTACGATATTGTCAAGGTCACATCCTGCCCACTATATTTTAACATTAACAAAAGCTGTATTAATTTGTGAAATATCAAAGTGGTTGCACTTGTGAATAAAAAAAACACTCAATCAAGGCCTTAATCTAAAACTGTTCACATATAACAAACCCCAACATACAAACACATTGGCTTATAAAGTAAGCTATGTCATATTTCCTAAAACATCTTTTGAAGGGTGGACTCACATCTCCCTCTACTGGCAACAACAAAGGATTGAATAATCGAGAGACTCCCAGCATGCGTTGAGATTTATATACATAAATTAAGCTATTATGTATAAGATATAGAGCTAAACACGTCTAACTGTCAACAACAAACAAGTGTCATTATAACCATTAACATAGTGTTTGCTGCTGTGCTGTTGAACTGCGAGAGACTATTGTCTTCGCCCTATGTGCTTTAGTAGAACCAGTAAAACATCTCAATGTGCCAACTCAGTTGATAATGCAATAACCATGACTAACTTAGAATAATGGACGGAGTATATTAAAGCACATGGGACGGTTTGAGATGGAGAGACATGTTCATGTAGAGTGATACTGAGAAGAAATAGTGTGGAGTTATTGCGTGTGTTCAAGTACACTTTGTTACAGACGTTCAGAGATCAAGTTAAACATATCCCAGTATTACATTTGTATAAGGTTAGGAAAATAGCAGTTAAAGTAAAAGTGGAACCATATTGGTAACAAAATATCTACAATATAATTTCATTGCAATGTTACAAGCAACAAACTGTGGTGTTGGAGAGCCATGCTGATTCTTGCTTGCCTAAATCACTAGATATTGTGGCCTGTTTCCGAGTCTAGCTGGTCAATAGAGGTCACGTATACTATGCTCCCTAAAAACATAAACCCCATCAGGATGTATCCAGGAGGCAGGAGTTGTAAGTGGATGTATTCAGACGTTTTGCATTTCAGTTCACTCAATTCTATTTTATCAACTTAAAGAACCACATATCCTGAATCTTCCTTGTAAAGTTCCTGTTGAGAACGGTATGAAATTCTACCTTTCAGGGTCTTAAACCCTATATAAAATAGGCAATAAATCATAGAGAATATTTGATGGTCCATATCGTTGAAGTATCTTATCTGCACTTGTTTTAAACAACTCTTTCTTCCCAGTGCATTCATTAACAAAACAACAAAGTGTTGGGTCTCTTCTCATTTCATATTTAACTAGCTGGCAACATTGTCAGATACAAAAACACAGTATGTGTAGATTTATGATGTATAGTTTTTTAAGCATTTATAAAAGGTAGATATTTTGGAAAGTCTCACTGGAGGCTTGCTCTGCTGTTCCACTTCTTCATATACCCCCAAGTATCACCATGTGTAATGTGACCAGTGAATGATAAAGGAGGTAACTAGGATGTAAACCGCCTCAGATAAGGCCAGAGTATCCTGTTCTTTCTGGTCTATGGAAACAACCCCTGCGTTGGTGTAGGGTGAATGGGCCCCTCATCGTTTATCAGAGGATCGGTTTAACCAATCACGCCCTTAATCAACACTTTAGGACATCTGCCCCTTCAGAGCATGCACTGCTTTGGATCATGTGACAAGTTGAGAAGCCACTTACGCTGCAGCTCGGTGGTGCGCAGGCTTTTCTTAAGCCTCTCCACCTCATTCTTCAGGAAACGGATATGCCGCATCATGTTCTCTGGTGAGTCTATTTCCATGGAAACGTCTCTTGGGGAGGGAGGAGCAGAAACCGGCTGGTCCAACTTCTCCTGAAGGATTCTAGTTTAGAAAACCAAAAAAAACACACATTGTTATGATTCGTGAACAGAAATCATGGGCATGATGACAAGCTTTTAAAAAATAAAACCTATTGAAATCTCCTAGCTTTTGCACAAGACTGGATAGAAACTGATAAATACAAGACTCTTTTGAACCACTTCCTCATTTGATGCATTTAAAGGTTCTGATTTGAGGCGTGCCTCCCCTGGGGGGCGCCAGAGAGCTTCAGGGGAGGCGCAGCGTGAGAATTTTTTTTACGAGAAACAGTGAAATCTAGCTGGTTAACTTCAGCTAACTTTATGCGAGCAGCAACATGGATCGATTTTTTGTGAAGTTACCTAAAGTGAAAGAGGAGACAGCGTCAGGCAGAAAAAGTCAGCTTTGTTTTGAAATAAAAGTTGTGGCTCATCGGACATTTATGAAAGAAAATCCCTAATGTCCGAGTGCAAGTGAATGCAGCACAAGACGCGAGCCGCCTTGTAACCCCTCCCCCAGCCCTGGCGCGAGCGAGGAAATGTGATTGGCGGCGATTTCATTTGAACGGGACGGCACATTCGGACCCCAAGTACACGGAAGGAATGAGGTATTTGCGGTCTATAATGACAGAGAAGAGACTGTGACGTTTGGCTGTACTCAGCATTGAATCTTAATCAGTTGGTGAGGGGTTTTGCTGAACAACATGGTAATCGCCGCATTCAGCTGTTATAGGCATGCCAACTTTATCCTCTGCTCATGGATGACTCGATGAGCATAAAAAACTGTTAAGATGATGACCTTGCGTGTGTAAATATATTTTTTTCTTTGTGGGGGTCTGCCCCCAAAAAACAATTTTAAGTCCTGAGAAAGTCAAATAAGACGGTGTGTAAAACTACACTGCCCAGTTAAATCAAAGTAACCACTTTGATTTAACTGGGCCAGTAGGTAAGGGCATTCCACTGGATAACAATACCCCTGCATTATAGCAACAATAATAATAATAATAGCAATAATAATTGGGAGGGGGGGCACGGCTGTTCTTATGTTCTCTGAGGGGAGGCTCACCTTCTCACACTTTGAAAACCCCTGGACTAACACATTACATAAATAATGAGGCCCTTCAGGAGGTAATTATCCAGCTTTCTAAATTCACTCTTTTACAAACTTTACACTGAAAAGTACAAATAACCCAAAGCTACAGTAAATCAAACATTAGTACATTTCCATTGTCAGTTGTTTCTGCTGACGTGCAGGGATTGCCTGTGAATGTGTGTGTGTGTGTCAGTCAGTCAGAAATGGGTCAAGACATATTATGTATATCTACACAAAAGCATTATTTTGGGTTTGATTTACCATAAAAAAAACTGACAAACCGGCAATATTCACGTTTCCTACATGTTAGACGTATTAAAGCCCTAATAAAAGAAAAGTTACGACTGATGGAGGTATTTTACAAAGATACACCTCAGCCAGCCCATCAGGTTCAATAGTTATAACTAGTGCTGAAACTATTTGGCAATGTCTGGATGAGATCATCAACAGATGATCAGAGATGGGGTCGTTACTAAAAAAAAGCAATATATTACATATTACATTTTAAAAAAGTAATATACTACACTACTTTGTTACTCTCTACATAAAGTAACTTGTTACTTTACTCGCCGGGCCGGCCCGCCCCTCCCTACAGGCAGATCACGGAGACTGCTAAAGTTTCAAATGTTCTCTTTAGTTCAGTTTCCATTGTCGCATGAGACTAATCCAGATAGCTCCTGAATGTTTTCCTATCTGACCATGGCTGTCCTCTGTCTCCTGCTATCTGTATTTTGCGCAGTATATCTCTGAACGATGGTGATTCCACTGTGCAAATGGGCAACATTTCCTCTACTATGAAGGATGCTACAAGCCTGTCCATCTCTGCTTTGGTTTCCGGTCCTCCAAATTCAAATTGTTGCTGCTTCGGAGTCGGCGGCGGCGCACTCACAACATCATCACTCTGGGTTCGGGGGTCCTTAGCTATTAGCTTCACCTTAGCATGTGTTCTTTGCAGGTGTGTGTTGAGGTTTGACGTGGTGTTTACAGCAGTGGATAACAGCTTCTGGCCTGGACACAGTTTGCACCTCACCGTCACATTCCTGTCTATTCTTCGGACCAACTCAAAAATAATGCGCATACCTCCACCCCTCGAAAGTTATCGCTGACTCAGCCATGTTTATGCAGCACTGCACGTGGAGGTTTGGACGCGCAAGTCGCGCAGATAACGTACATATAAACCTGCGGCGGAAACCCCTCTTGTCTGTCAGTGCGATTATGACTGATTTTTATAAAAGTAACGAAGTAACGCGTGTCGGGGCAATGTTAGTAACTGTAGTGTGACTACTGAATTATAAAACGCGTTCCACTACTCCGTTACCGACAAAAGTAATATTATGACAGTAACGAGTTACTTTGTAATGCGTTACACCCAATTCTGCAGATGATACACTGATGAAACCAGAAGATGTTGCTTTAAATCCAGAACCGCAAGATTTTTTAAATGGTTAACGCATAATATGATCAATGCACACCTTTTCTCAGCCTCCAGCTTGTCCATGCGTTTCCACAGTCTGTTTACCAGGGCTTCTTGTTCCTGCTCTAATGTGTTCTCAAGGTCGATCATCTCCCGCCTCAGCTAGAGGATAAAAAGAGAGAGGAGGGTGACGTTCAGAGATAGAAAGACCTTGACGTTGAGAAGAATTCACAGGACTGCACACAAATAGACCACTGCAAGGTCTCTGTACAGATAAGCTTATCTTTCACCGAGCTACATCTTTCCCAGCGCTACATCTTGCACAGCTTGTGATGGAGCCGCAGTGATGCAGAGTAGCCTATAATGATTTCCTAATTGCTGATATAAAGTGGTCCTAAAGGTAAGACAAGCTGTTAATCAGTGGTTTTTTGTGGTGGAGTTAAGTCACATTCACCTCTTTTTGGGCAAAATGCACATTGTGATTACACAAGCATCATTCGGCATATATACATTAATGAATGAGCAGCAACAATAAATGCTTGCATCAAAATCGACAGAACATCCATCATGAGAGCATGGAAACATGCTCGGAATATGTTTGTCTCATCCACAGACCACAGTGTTCTTTCTAGATAATATTAAGTGGGAGGGGTTGGTGATGGTGAAGTCCTGGCATCTCAACTGGCCACACACATTCAGGGTTATGTTGTTCCACACTGGATGCTGAAATCCTCTTGCATACCTGTTCCAGGGTTAGCTGCTTTGAGATGGTTTCATTCTCCATCTTTTTGATCTTTTTCATGAGCTTGTTAACCTGGAACTCCTGCTCCTGCTCCAAGTGCTGCTCCAACTCTGCCTTCTCATGCTGGAGCTGTGATAGGAAAAAGAGAGGATGGACAGAGGAATGGAGGAGGAGAGGGATGAAACCAGAGAGATGAGAAAGAAGGGAGAGGGGAGAGAGCACAAGAAGAGACTCACGGTGAGTCACATAAAAACTATGCATGACCACAGCGAACAAACACAGTGGCGTCATATCTTCACATTTAGAGTATAACAAAACAGATTGCCAATGTAACAATTCTACCAGATTCATGGTTAAACTTTCCATGAGGGTAAACAGCGTGAATTAATGATTTGGCAACCAAAGCCACCACCTTTGGCAGCCCACCAATACAAAGAAAGGGTGCGGCTCAGCACTGAGTCAAAACGGGATGGCTGTATGATGAATTATATAAGCGATTACTCATTACAGGGAAAGGGATGTAAAGTCATTCATAGGAAATGGCTGGAAAGGGGAAAAAACATTTCCATTATGCTGCATGCAGAAACAAATAGAACCCCTGAAAATAAGGCAGTTTGTATAAACTTATAATGAATGCAATCTTACTGTAGAGTGCCCCGCAGTAAACCACCAAGCTTTGCCACGCCCAGTGCAGCCATTTTGCTTCCAATTGACATACCAACAATTATAGGAATTGTTTTAATAACGTGCCTCCTTTCAGCTAGTACAACTGCCAGTGACTGTTTATAAGGCCTCCACCCTACTGTACTGTGTGTTGAGTGGCAATTACTGCCAAGTATAGCAGTTCTTCTTCAGCCTATGGACAGGACACCTTGCAGAGATATTTTATCTCACTTGGGCCATCTGTCCTTCATCCAGAGGCTGTTTGTAAGCAACACCACAACAGTAGCAGTGTACTTGTGTATACACAACAGTACCAGTGTGACGGTTTCCCCTTTATTATGGCATCTTTTATTGCATCAGCTTCCTCTATAAAAAAGACAAACCTATATTTACATTGTAAACTAAAGTGACAGCGTATGGGTCATAAGGTAGGATAAAAGTTTGCACTTATTCAAATACCTGCTGAGGTCCATTGGCATCAATTAGAAGAACACCAATTTAGATGACTAAAAGCAGAAAAATCCACCATCAAAAACAATGGCTCAGAAAAAAAAGGTCACACCAAGTTATTTACAAAAGTGCTTCTGCACAGGACCATTTACACAAAACCAAGTGAAACAAATGACTACATTTGCCCTCTACCTTCACAGACATACACATAGATGTGTACTGAATATAAAGGAATATACACAAACTAACGGCCAATTTGACAGCACCAACTCTACAGGTCTGTTTCATGTTAAGTAAGGAGGCAAGACAACAACATCCAAAACATGTCCATCTGTATGACCCTAAGCAGGGCTGCTGAGGCATCTGTGCGCCCATTCAAGACTCAATTCTTTACACATCAACAAACCATTAGTCAGCCTACAGCTAGCCATTAAAGGTGTGAACACATGAGTGTTCATGCTGTGCACTCTGCATTTGGGAAAATAAGATGTGGGAAACAGACTGAACCAGACATCTGACAGACAGGGGGTGAGTCATTTGAGTCCTTTAGAGTAGCTAGCAGCCACAGTGAAGTCATGTTGAGCCGTTAAAGGCTTCAGGCAAGATGATAATGCAAAATACATGGAGTTGTGTGTGCACACACAGAGACCGAACTAGCAAGCTTAACCCACTTGACCATCCTGCAGGCAAACACTTTGCATAATGAACATTTAGAAAATGTCTCTCTGTATCAGTGATATTTTCATGAAGGGTGAAAGGATAAACTGATGTTAGAATATAATGTCTTATATATATTTATATTACATTGTTGGAGGAGCGATTGCATCCATTATTTCTCCTGTCCACACGTCAAAGTGTCCTTGGGCTATATAAATGCATTCCATAAGTTACATTATTCAACATAAATTAGCAATATCCTCATAGGGAACGTTTGTTTCCTGATCGCACAAGGCAGTAGAGACAAGCAGCCCTGGAGATTTTTGCTCAAGTCACATGACTGGTTGAATGAAAAAGTACTCAAGACAAGAACAGAAACAATTGTATTGCGAAATCAATGCATTTTGCATAATGAACATTTAGAAAATGTCTCTCTGTATCACAGTGATATTTTCATGAAGGGTGAAAGGATAAACTGATGTTAGAAATACTCTCAATGGTGCCTGGTATGAAGAAATACATCAAGCGTATTAAAACTGTTCTTATCCTGCTCCCATTACTCACATTCATGAGTTTCCTTGACAGTTCGTTGGTAAGAAATTCCTCCTCCTTTTCGTAGTTGACGGCCAAGGTCTCCTTCTCCTTCTGGAGGGCCTGGATCTTCTTGAACAAGGTGTTGCTGATAAATTCTTCCTCCTGCTCTGCTCTTGCTTGCTGCAAGACAGAAACAAATGAGACAAAAATTAGCAAAGTAGCATTTTAGATCTTGCACATCACACTGTTTGATTTTTGATTAAATTGACCAACAACCTGCAATACACACAAACCAATCAACCCAAAGCTGCTGCAGGGAAGTGTGCCAGCCAAAGAGGAAGCAGAATTTCCCCTAATGACTCAAGTGGTATTGCAGTAATGGGTGAATGACTGAGTGAAAGATGGATGCACTAAGGAAATGTGTTGGGCAGTTACAACAGCTAACATTACAGTGTGATGATAAGCCTGTCCTTGTTAGCACCACTCTCATATTCTCCACCTCAAAGCTGAACTCTGTTTTTTGCAAGCCGGTAGAATGTGTCAGTTGTTCAACAACAATGACAAAGACAATTGAAAGCCTCACATTTACAGAGGCTGGACAGGGTGCTGTCTGAGGCTGACTGGCCATCATATGAGCCTGGCATCCAACTAGCTCGCTAAGTTTGGCCTACATACTTCCCATCTATCCCACAGATCGATTACACATTTTTATGAAGCTGATTAACCGAGCTTGAAGACATGACGCATCAGTCCATGCCACTGCTGCTGTTGGGCTATTTAGTTTCACCAGGTTAGCGTATCCTGGCTGGGCATAACGTGGTGGCAATGTCTAGCAGTGAGTTACAGCTGACCAGATAACGTTAGCTAACATCAGTCGGGTAACTTGTGAGGAGCCTACCCTATTGTTTACCGCATTTTAAGGTGCCCGTTGAGCCTACTAGGATGTGCAAAACAAAACAAAGCAAAGTAGCTGCCGAAGCATCTAGCACACGTTAGCCCGTTGGCTAAATTAGCATCATACCCAACTAGCTAACGTTAGCAGAGCTAGCACAACAACAGCGTGTTATGATCAAATGCAGATAACATGTCCATGTAACACAACACATGTGTGACTATTTAGCGATAAACGAACAGCACTAACCATAGCCAACTCACTGACAAATGCAACATAATAAGTGGATAGCCTCCAGCTAGCTAAGCTATGTTGCTAGCTAACGTTACTCACAATAGTGACGCTAGCTTTGCGGAGGTCCCGATTCTCCTCCTGCAGGGCTTTGCACTTGAGTTTGAACGTCTCCAGCTCAATTTTAAGAACTTTATTCTCCTGTTGTAAGGAGGCCAGGCGGTTCGTTAGCTCCTCCAGACGAAACTGTGAAATGACTATGCTCGGTTTCCCCGAATTGGAGGCGGAGGAGGACATCGGGGTGGCCGAGCTGCTCCCCGCTCCGTCGGTGTCGCTCTCGCTTGCGCTGTCGGCCATGGCTGTGCGACAGAGAGCAGCTGCAGCGTCGAGCAGCAGACAGCAGAATGGTACACCGTGTGACCTTGCTCACTCCTGTGGGCATATCGCCACCAGCAGGAAGTCTCCAGTACCGCATGATGCATCAGTGACACATTCACCTGAACATACTGTTTTATCCAGAGGTGGGAGAAGTACTCAGATATTGTACTAGTACCAGAGTGTAGAAATACTCTGTTAAAAGTAAAAGTCCTGCATTCAAAATGTTACTCAGGTAAAAGTACAAAAGTATAAGCATACAAATATACTTTGATGTGTACCAAAAGGGAAAGTACTTATTATGCATTTTCCCTCCATTCCATATTGATGCAATAATGTGTTTATCAAAGCTGGTGCAGCTCATTTGAATAACTCTGTATGCTGCTGGGTAGCTTGTGAATTTACCCCCAGGTATAACTCAAGTCCTTTTTTTTTTACATGTGAATTTTGGTGGAGTAGAAGTACGTAGCATAAAATTGAAATACTCAAGTAAAGTACAAGTATCTCAAAATTGAACTTAAGTATCGTACTGGAGTAAATGTTTTTAGTTACTTCCCAACTCTGGTTATAATTGGTTTATTGTCGCATGCTTGACTTAACCTAATAGTTAAGTCATTGGTCCTGCAGTATAGTCTTGCACACTTTCTAGCCTTTCTTCTAGCACTGTTATTATTACATCTGTTTTATGTCTTATATATATTTATATTGCATTGTTGGAGGAGCGATTGCATCCCTTATTCCTCCTGTCCACACGTCAAAGTGTCCTTGGGCTATATAAATGCATTCCATAAGTTACATTATTCAACATAAATGAGCAATATCCTCATAGGTTCCCTATGAGGATATTGCTTGTTGATATTGTTTGTTTCCTGATCGCACAAGGCAGTAGAGACAAGCAGCCCTGGAGATGTATGCTCAAGTCACATGACTGTGGTTGAATGAAAAAGTACTCAAGACAAGAACAGAAACAATTGTATTGCGAAATCAATGCATTTTTATTTTTTTTTGAATTTTTTAGGTTGATTTTTGTAAAGACATCTGAAACATTTGTGGTGGCATCATTGCGGCTATAGTCTCTAAAATACCTTGAATAACCAAAGTGCTAGAATAGTTACATTGCAATGGCTTCACTCTGTTAGTAAGAATTGTACATCAAAAAATCTGCTCAGGTGAAAACACATATCAAACAAAATTGACAGTTCAGCCATATCAAAGGATCCTCTACCCCCTGATTGACATAGTATAAGGGGATGTGGTACAGCGCCTTAACTGACTTCCTTTACAAGCCCCGCCCCTCCCCGAAAAAAGTTACATAGTTTCCTTGTCCACAGCATAGATATCGGCATACTGAGCCATCGCACCAGTAGAACACCACACTTGAACTACATGGGCATCTAATGAAAACCAATACAAAGGTAGTTCCTTATGTAAAGTAAAATAAAATCTGATGAGCTAGTGAAAACATTTCTATTCGACACTGCATATACAGACTCTCAAGCCTAAAAAGATCACACAGTTTCAGAGTTTAACACAATTTATTTAATGCTTAAATAACTGTTTTTGACCATCCAGTGTTTTTGTCATACAATATGCTATTAAGAGCTACAATCAAATAATGTCTTTATGTGACCTTAATGTGAGTAGGTTTTAAATAAGGAAATACTTCAACAAAAGAAATCCAAAAATGAAATGCCCCAGTTTTCCTTTAATACCACAGCAGTCATAAGAAAACCAAATTGACACACTGCTAAAATGATTACAAACAGTCTAACAGTGTACAGAGACTCCTACACCTTATAGCCATTACGCACAATACAGTTATAATTTTACAGCGAGCCAGCCTACCAGCATTTACATTCAGATTATTTCGTTCTCATAGCAGAAGCTGCCCTCCGTTTCACATAGACAGACAAGACATCACACCCTCAATAAGCTATAGAACTTTTTTCATCCTCATCCCGACGTGATAAATGTTTAAATGGTATCCTTTTTCAATTTAAAATATAAAATTGGTGACATGTTAGGGCTATATGTGAACACAGATAAAGGGTTTTATTTGTAATTTGAATACAGTGTTTGCAAAAAAATTGTACTTAAAATAATGTGAACAGCATGCATGAAAATATGAGTACTCTGAAAGGCTTTTTGTTGGATTAGATCCATTCCCACTTTGGGAATTACTGAAATTCCATTTTCTGGAAATGTCCTCAGTTAAAATCAAACCAGTTTTTTTTCATGTACAAACATTATACCTGCTCTAATAAGTAATTATACAAGAACCTGTGAAGTTACACTCAAATCTTTAAAAGTGGAACTGTTTCAATAAAGTTTGAAAGCACTTGAAAAGGTTACTCTCCTCCGTGTGTCCTCAACCAGTAGCTTACCCTTTTTTAAAGAATTTTACACATTGTAATTTTATATACAGAAAAAAGTTCTTGTGTTAGTTTAAGTTTTAAAAAGGAAGAAAAAAAATCCCCAAACAATTTACATCCTGACAACAATGGGTTCAGGAAAAACTATAAGGCGAGTGTTGAAGTTGGATCAGAATTGTCCCATTGGATTTTTTTTGTGTGTTATTGTGTCTACTTCATTCTTTCCACCCACCGTGTGGACTGAGCTCTTGTGCCATCTTTGGTCACAGTGTCACCTGTGTGGTTGTCAGTAATGGGAGTCTTTTATCGTTTTCACAACAAACGATACTCCTCTAAAAAAGCTCTCACAACAACAGTGGACCAATGGCACATATTGTTTCACACAAAACAGGAAGCAGAATCATTGTCCACGGGTCCACCACAGCTAAGAGTGAGAACCTCCCGGTGCTTTCGTTGACAGGTAGTGAGTTTGTCATGCTAATGCGTAAGTCAGAAGGGTCGACTCCTCTCGCGTGAAAACCGTTTGTTTGAAGCAGAAAGTTGCAGACTGGACCCTGAAGTCCTCACACCGGAGCCTCGAGCCCTCGGAAAACGTATTTCCAGGAAACACCTAACTTAGTTCCTGCACACCTGGAAGACACAAAAAAGTACATTACATATTGAAGCATAATTAAAGATATAAATATATAGATTACAATCCAATTGTTTTTACAGGAATAAAACTGAATGCCATATATGTTATGTCTTCACTTGTTTTAACAGTCTGACTTAGAGACATGTATCCATTTCTTGTATATGTATCTCTTCTTTATAGTTTGCACTATTACAAAAAATATACAAATATACAAACATAACAGATAACAAATGACAAACAGTGCAGGAAGAGGCAAACAAAGAATTGGGCATATTTAAAGCCCCTTCTTAAGTAAAGTCATTAGTTTTATTTAAAACACAAGACCAATTGCTTGATTTCAATACAAATCGCAAACTTAGATTCAATAATGTCTACAAATGTAAATTATTTTTAAGGAAAATGTTATCTTTATATAGATATTACATTCATTTCAACGGTTGTAATCATTCTCTCACAAAATCATTTTTTTCTACTTTTGAAAATCACAGTCACGATCTCCTAGTCCATTGTATGACAACATGTCAACATGTTAACAAGACCTGATGGTCCGTGGGTTGTTATGGTGACCTTCGTTACCATAGAAACTATTTTTCCAGGCTTCCCAGTAGGGCCAAATCATTTGTAAGTCAGTATTGTACAGATGGAGTGATTCACTGCAAACACAACACAAGGCTGAACAGCAGTGGGGATTAACAGTCTGGCCAGTGGGATAATAAACTCTTTCTGGATGCTACTGTGCCGCTGTGAGTGGAGGATTTAGTGGACAAAAACAAGCATGGAGGGTATCAGGGGGGCTTTATATTGTTGAGGTGTGTGCCGCTTGTCAGCCCTGTTCCCTATTCACACACAATCAGACATGTTGCTTATTGATAACCAGCTCAGACGTCAGCCAGCACCGAGTCTGTGTGTCAGAGAGACGGAGCAGGTATCAGGGGAAGGGGACATTAATTGAAGGGTTGGACATTTTGGTTTTCTCTCAGTGGGGCAAAAATGTATTTAGTCAGCCACCAATTGTGCAAGTTCTCCCACTTAAAAAGATGAGAGGCCTGTAATTTTCATCCTAGGTATACCTCAACTATAAGAGACAAAATGAGAAAAAAAGAATTTAAAGAATTTATTTGCAAATTTTGGTGGAAAATAAGTATTTGGTCAATAACAAAAGTTCATCTCAATACTTTGTTATATACCCTTTGTTGGCAATGACAGAGGTCAAACGTTTTCTGTAAGTCTTCACAAGGTTTTCACACACTGTTGCTGGTATTTTGGCCCATTCCTCCATGCAGATCTCCTCTAGAGCAGTGATGTTTTGGGGCTGTCGCTGGGCAACACAGACTTTCAACTCCCTCCAAAGATTTTCTATGGGGTTGAGATCTGGAGACTGGCTAGGCCACTCCAGGACCTTGAAATGCTTCTTACGAAGCCACTCCTTTGTTGCCCGGGCGGTGTGTTTGGGATCATTGTCATGCTGAAAGACCCAGCCACGTTTCATCTTCAATGCCCTTGCTGATGGAAGGAGGTTGTCACTCAAAATCTCACGATACATGGCCCCATTCATTCTTTCCTTTACACGGATCAGTCGTCCTGGTCCCTTTGCAGAAAAACAGCCCCAAAGCATGATGTTTCCACCCCCATGTCTCACAGTAGGTATGGTGTTCTTTGGATGCAACTCAGCATTCTTTCTCCTCCAAACACGTCTAGTTGAGCTTTTACCAAAAAGTTCTATTTTGGTTTCATCTGACCATTCTCCCAATCCTCTTCTGGATCATCTAAATGCTCTCTAGCAAACTTCAGACGGGCCTGGACATGTACTGGCTTAAGCAGGGGGACACGTCTGGCACTGCAGGATTTGAGTCCCTGGCGGCGTAGTGTGTTACTGATGGTAGCCTTTGTTACTTTGGTCCCAGCTCTCTGCAGGTCATTGACTCGGTCCCCCCGTGTGGTTCTGGGATTTTTGCTCACCGTTCTTGTGATCATTTTGACCCCACGGGGTGAGATCTTGCGTGGAGCCCCAGATCGAGGGAGATTATCAGTGGTCTTGTATGTCTTCCATTTTCTAATAATTGCTCCCACAGTTGATTTCTTCACACCAAGCTGCTTACCTATTGCAGATTCAGTCTTCCCAGCCTGGTGCAGGTCTACAATTTTGTTTCTGGTGTCCTTTGACAGCTCTTTGGTCTTGGCCATAGTGGACAGGTGTCTTTTATACTGATAACGAGTTCAAACAGGTGCCATTAATACAGTTAACAAGTGGAGGACAGAGGAGGCTCTTAAAGAAGAAGTTACAGGTCTGTGAGAGCCAGAAATCTTGTTTGTTTGTAGGTGACCAAATACTTATTTTACCGAGGAATTTACCAATTAATTCATTAAAAATCCTACAATGTGATTTCCTGGATTCTTTCCCCCATTCTGTCTCTCATAGTTGAAGTGTACCTAGGATGAAAATTACAGGCCTCTCTCATCTTTTTAAGTGGGAGAACTTGCACAATTGGTGGCTGACTAAATACTTTTTTGCCCCACTGTAAGTGAATTAGGCACAGTGCTGGTGCCAGGAGGAGATTAGCTTAGCATACAAATAGGGAAGCAGCAAGCTAGAATCTGTCTAAAGTTAAAAAATAAGTATCAGCACATCTTCAGTTCACATTTAACACATTGTATCTGGTTTAATAAACACACATGTGAACGCCTGATCAATGCACTTTTTAGCCTCTTCCCCAAAAAACACTAAAGTCTTCCTACAAGTTCCTTTGCCTTCCCTACTCTTAGAGCTAGACTAATTATCTCAAATGGAAAATCCAACAACCCTCTTCTCAAATTAAAACCATATGTGACATCAGAAATTGATTTTGAGGGATGGATTTGAGGGAAGCGAGATACGTTTATGTTGGTTTGGAAAACATTTATATCCCACTTCCTCTCTCAGAGAAGCTAGGAGCCACAACATCAGCCTATTCACTTTTAAAGATTGTTGACAGACCCTGTCCTCTTTAGTAGTTTATACAGTATATATACAATTATCTCTTCATTTAATCAATTGATTTATTCCTGTTAATATTATTGATTTAACTACTTATTTTTTTGTTATATTTTTGCCATTATTTGTTTGTTAATCTGTTTTTTATTTTCCAGAATAATTCTTATAATGAATTAATTCATCTGTGGTAGATTTGTGTTTCATATGTGTGATGTTATGTCTCAGTACTATTTGTTATATAAAAGTTACAACAAAAAAACAACTAACAAGAGAAAGCTTACCACTGTTTAATCTTTCTGACAACATTTGGTCCAGTTTAGCCAATCACTTCTGAGCTGCATATTCACTGGTTGCCTGGCAACCTCACTGTGACGTAATGCCTCCGCGAAGTGATGCACGGCTGTTGTTTATCAAGAAATGGTTAGAGCACATCACTCCCCCTAAAACCACACAATGTTGTTGTGGCATTACTTTTTGTGTACGAGACACAGCTTGTTTATTAGTGGTGCTTGTAGGCGTATTATTTAACTTTGGAGAGATTCTTCGAAAAATGCAAATGAGCGTATTTGCCAAAATGTTGAGAGTACAGAGTGAGCAGGAGCAGAGCGCTGAAGTGAGCAGAGATAGAGTACAACAAAAGAGCCAGGATATGAGTATAAGAAAGCAGAGTGGGTTAAAGAAGAGAAGTATAACTACGGGAAACTTAAAGAATTTGGATAGAGCAGTGGACTATGAATATGTGTAATCACATGGAAAAGGATGCATCATAAACACAGACACACAGGACAATAATGGAGAGGAACATGCTGCACACGGATACATATGTAGACTTCTGTACCTGGTAGAGCACAAGCCTCTCTATGAGTGGAGATTTTTGTCCCCCGATCTTCTGTCATCTTTTCGTCTGCTGTTCCGCGACCCTTCTCCTTGCTATAAAACACAAACAGAAATAAAGTTTAGACGCTGTATTCTTATCTTTTGAGAGGAGGAAAACCACCCAACACACAAACCTGAAACTGAGACAAAGAAGAAAGAAAAAACTTCAGAGTTATGTAGGAAGAGCAATCTGAAACTAGGAAATGTTATTAGTAGTTTGATTGTTAGGATTATTATTAAGGCCCAAACCACACATCAACCAGACACCTGGAGGAGGAGAAGTTGTATTATTATGGAAAGAAACAAAAGAAGCAGATTATGTTTTCACAGCAGAGTCACAGCACTCATTAGTCTTACTGTGAGTTAGGGTTAAACCCTTTAGAGGACTGTTAAAACCACAGTCAGCATCCCCTTTGGTGGGCAAACCCAACAGTCACCACACAGTGTCAAAACACAACATGCACAAATATGCTTCAAATGGCTGCGTCTCTTTTGAATTTGTTCCCATCAAAGGTCAGTTATCCCGAACCGGTTAGTGAAAATGTTAATAGAACTTTCACCTGCACTGCTGGAGGAGAAACATGATCAAATCTCACAGGTTCTCTTTTTGACTTAATTGTTTGACTTAAAGCTGCACTCGAACATCAGTGGGATGTAATATTGAGGTTTCACAATGCTAATAATAAAGTGGTTTCAATAAACAGTTCTGTCTTGGAGACATCATTATTTCTCAACATCTTTAACTCTTTTTGTTCATATTGTTTCGTAATCATTTTTAAAGTTAGGCAATGTATTTTAATCACATGCATGGCAATATCAAAGATATCTGCTTGTTCCACAACTTCAGTGAGGTTTTATGCAGCTCTCACTGAGTGCAGAATCTGTGGAATAACATTTTTGTGAGGCAATTAATAGTATTTATTCACATATTTACAATCCTTTATTTGATTGTAACCCCATTCTGTGATTTTAACAAAGTCTTTGCCAGTGCAGCTTTAAGCCTAACCTTTACATTAGCTGTAAACCTCCAACTATAGATGCAGGCATGCAGTCTAGATTACACTTCAAACCCAGGAACACAGTGTAAGGGTGTCTTCATGCCAACCTCGGACCCTTCTTCCTGCAGAGTGGGACTGTGCAGGAGGTCTTGGAGCCACCTGTCATCCCCTTGGTTTTCTGGGGTGGGAGTTGTCACACGTCGGATAACCTTCCTGATGACCTGCCAGAGGAAAAAGGACGTTCGACAGAAGAAGAAAATATCTGATGGTGTCCTCTTTCATAAAAATAACTTTTCCTGTAATGATTCAGAGCTGAATGGGAAGTGGAAAATACGTTTTGCATTACTTTTCTACTGATGAGGTTACCATCTTGGTCCATATAGTGTTCCTCGCTCACAGACTCGCCTGGGATATTCTTTGCTGCTTCTCCCTGCAAGTGATTGTGGTTAGCACATGAATACAGGCTAAAAATGGCTGACTTCTGTCATAAAACTTCACCATCACCACACCGAAACCACACCTCATAAAGAACCTATATCAAAGAGAGGATTAGCAATATGAAGCTTTACCAACCAGCCACAAATAACACCTCAATAGGTTGAATAGTCATGTTCAAATATGACTATCACAACATGTATCAACACACAAAGAGAGTGTAGCTATCACTTCACCCAGTAATACCACTGCAATGCACACCAGACTGACCGGTCTAAACCAAACCAAACCAAACCAAGCCTAGATTCTGCTCCAGGCTTTCGGGGTACCTTTAAAATGAGGCGGCGTCTGAAGATTCTGGTGGTTACAGTCTGTTCTTCCTCTGAACCGGAGTCTACACTAACCTGCTGCCGAGGAAGGTTTTATAAGGTCAGTACACAAACACATGGAGGGAGTCAGGAGGAGAAAGAAGCTCTGGGTAAAGAGAAGGATTAGTTCATTGAGACATTTTGTTGATGTCCTTTATGTACTTCAACATCACTGCTGGCTGTATCAAAAAAAGGAACCTGGAATAAAACACTGATGGGTAAAATAGGTCGAATAAGGTGAATAGGGTGAAAACAACACATTACAGAGAACCTTCGCTAAGTTCATTACTTACATAAAGACAATTGTTTTTCTGAAATGTAAAAAAGCAAATAAGGCACTATCTGATTAAATAACATGCTCATTTGCATACATTTCCAGAACTCCAGAAAGCCGAACACTGGATAAAGCCAGGTTCAAACATTTTCTTTGTTGACATACTATAGTCAAAAGTATAAGAGCATAAGAAATACAAAAAACGTGCCTGTAAAAAAAAAAAATGAATTAGATCAACTTTACAAAAAGAACATTTGTTTTTTTATAACTTAAGAATGTCTCCTGCACTAACAAAATCACAGTAAGTCTTCAGTATCAACACAAAAAAAGAGGATTTTCCACACTTTTATGAAATGTATTTTCTTTGAGATGTTTTATAATTGTTGCTTGTAACATTACCTGGACTTTTTTCTCCGACACTAGTGCTCCCTCTTCTTTTCGGCCATTCGATGATTCCGAGGAGCGGTCCTGAGGTGAGTGCCTTGAGTTGTTGCTGTTCCGTCGGGACTTCCCTGATTCGCCTCTAGACGAGGAAGTGATGGACTCACTGGAGATTTCTTGGCTGTTGGGTAAAAAAAGACAACATTGTAATGTAATAATATAACTTCAAGAACATCGTAGAACATAAAAGACATCGTATGAAAAGATTTGTGAGAAAAAAATGGAAGGAAACGGTACATTCAAATTTTAGGTTGGCAAATAGTTTGGGAACACTTGAACTGATGCCCATGTTTATAATGCATAATAAACTTACTTAAAGTGGACCTATTATGCTATATTGGAAACATATATTGTAGGGCCATACCTATACAAAACATGTCTGTGAAGTTTTTTGCTTAAAATACCAAACAGTTCACCCATTGTAGCCATGCCTCATACTGCTCATACCCCTCTTTTGCAGCCCTGTTAGAGAAATGTGGATTTTGGGTCCTTAGCTTGAAAAAAAAAAAGAGAAGGCGGAGCTAATGCCTGATCAGAATTCTACCGGAGATAAAGTTAAATTCTGCTGTGATAAAACCCCATCCTGTTCTAAACCACATCAAGGATTATTTCTGAAACAGTATGGAGCTCAAATGCTTTTTCTCTAGCGGGATTATCACAAGGTGAGTTCTTTTTTTATTTCCTGCTTTTTAAACACATGTGCTCTACAGTACAGGTTAGCTCTGAGTGTTAGCGAGGCTTGCTAATGTAAACAAAGACGAGATTACGTCCAAAACACGTCAGGCATTGTTTCCGATAGCAATTTTATGTGGGTCCGCTGCCGATTTGACGTCAGATCGGCAGCAATCTGTATCCGCTCGTTGTACACCCGTTTTTAAAAGATTTGGGTACGGAGGAAAAGAGAGAGGGTTTTATTTTCTGACGCTGCGTGAGTTCCCCAACGCACCGGGGACACCTATTTATGTATAAAATACATCACAAAGTGCGTTTTGCATGATAGGTCCCCTTTAATTATAGTTATGAGCACTCACACATGTTTATACAATATAATACAGCATTTATATGACTTATAAAGGTCAAGTATCATGCCACATTTAGTTTTTACGTGGACTGTACATTATATTGTGATTATGATTATGATAACAAGCTGGTTATAATAAACTATTAGTGGGCATTGTTTTCCTTTAAGTTAACCAAAATGACGACAATTTATTTTAAAATGCCCTATAATATGTTATGATTATTTGTATAAATATGAATATTTATGAGTATAAATACTTATAATTTAGAATATACCGCGCTATTAGCCAATCAGAACACATTATAAATATGTTTGTAAGTCATTTGTACATGAATATCATAAAAAGTGCTACCAAATGTTTTTGTTATTCTAGGAGGGAGCCTATAGTGTTATATTACGTTACCTTTCCCGCCTGTCGAGCAGGTCTGAGCTGACACTGCGGCCGGGCGTCGGAGGTTCCACATTGACGCTGGATGAATCACTGTGCCAACCTGAAAGTGAACACACTTCTTTTTCTGCCTGTTCAACCTGATCAAGAGCCTCCTGAGCTTCAGTCATCTCTGCGTCCTCCTTCTTGTCCTCTGAGCCTTCTTCTTTCTCCACCTCCTCAAACAGAGATCCTTCTGGGATTTCTTTGTCTCTGTCTCCCTCCTCCTCTTCCTCATTGGATTCAGACTCACTGGGCTGACGTTCCCCGAGTGCCTCAACCCAGGCTTGAGGGGAGAGGAGAGCTACGGACTGACCCCCTTGGTCCTCTTTAAACCTCAGTTGTCCATCATCCACTCTGTCATCGTGGTAGACCCTTTCCTGACTGCCCCTTTCACATTTTTGTATCTCGGCTATTTCATCAATACCCTCTTTGACAGCCTCTGCCTCTGAGGTAGAACCTTTTTCCACTTCATGCCCAATTTCTATCACATTATGCTGCTCTTCTGACAGATCCTGCATATCTCTCACCTCTTCCACCTCACAGGCTGTTCCGTTATCCCCATCATTTATCATATCCTTCTCTTCTGCCAAGATGATATTCTCCTCTTCCAGCTCGCACCTATCTTTTGTTATCATCTCACATTTTCTTTCCACGTTTTTAATCAAGTCCTGCTCTACCCACCTTTCCACAAATCCATTTCCATCCACTAGCTCTGCCACAACCTTCTCTATTTCCTCGATCACTTCCTTTTCACCTCCTTTCAAACATATATCCTCCTGGTCCCAATTGGGGGAACCCATCTGCACTCCTCCGTCTCCAATTTGTGCTCTGTCGTCCGATAAAGGTGTATTTGATGATACTGATGAGAATGAAGGGGAAGATGTGGAGTAGGCCATGTCAACGTCTAACTCACACATCGCAGGGAGGGATTGTGACTTGGGCCTGTGGATCAGCTCCATTTCATGACAAGACCTGTCCTCCTCCTCGCTCAGAAGCAGCTGGTCGTTCAGGGCGATGTGGGGCTTTCTGAACTTGGGAGGGATAGGATCAGGGAGGACAAAGACTGGGACGGATAAGGCGAGCTCACAGGGTCTGGGGGCGCTCCTAGGGGGGCTTTCTAGCTCTCCGCCTTTCTCTATTTCCGGGCTCCAGGGCAGGGAATGAGGCTGGGAGTCGGCCAGCAAAGGGGTGTCTGGGTCTGGGTAATGGTGTTGCTGGTGGTGGGCAAGGAGGGCAGGGTTGGGGGTGACGGGGAGTTCGGGCTCCAGGAAGTTGGGGTTGGAGTGCAGTGCGGCGGGGGACTGCAGCTCCGCTAGAATGCTCTGAAAATCTGTAGGTGACAGGATGACAAATGTAGAGACAGACACCCACTGAAGCATGCCACAAAGGAAAATAACACACAGAGAAACACACACACACACCCTAACACAAACACCGTATGACATGGAAGATGGTACAAAGACTGAAGTGTAAATGCACAAAGCTAATGCAGTAAAATGTAATAAATACATGCAATACTTTTTAAAGTGCATGTTTAAAAAAAAAATAATGCCGTTTTCAACACAAATACAAAATAAGATATGATGTGATAATAAATAGTTGTTTGATTTTCAGTTAGTGTGAGGTAAGACATTGAAAGTGGGATACATAAGTGATGTAAGGCCATATTAATTGTATGGATTGTGATGAGTGTAAGATATTAATACTTTGTTCGGTTAAATGCTCACATGAGACATTTGACGGATGAGAGATGTGGGAAGGAAAAGGGGAGGAGATGAAACAGAAAAAGGTTAAAGCATGCTAAATGAAGGCTTCCATTGTGGAAGGGTCGATGGGTGTTCGAGTCGGAAGAGTGGAGGGCGGAAAGGTACACTGACATGCAGGACAGGGAGACAGGGAGCGGAGGGGAGGGGAGGAAGGACTGGGGCAACAGGACCCAGAGGGAGGGATGGGAGGGAGAGTAGATAAGGAGAGAGGGGAGACAGGGCGAGAGGGGGAGGCCAGCGGAGTCACTGAAGACTCTTTAGTTGGAGACAGGGTGACAGAGGGTGAGGCAATGTCTGAGGGTGAGGAGGGGGTGGAAGAAACAGGTATGGTGAGGGGTTCAGAGAGGTTAGAGGGGGAGTCAACGTGGTTGGCAGCAGTATGAGAGAGCAGGTCGGAGGTAGATCCAGATAATGTTGAAGAGGAGGGGTTTTGCTCAGCTTGTGAAGGGATTGGAGCCGGAGTAGTGAGTGTGGGGGAGGGTGGGACCAAAGAAGAAGGAGGAACAGGTGAGGAAGGTAATGGTGAGGTGATGAGAGGGATAGGTGAGGGCGTGTTGGAAGAAAAAGGATCGGCAGGGGGACACTGAGGGATGAGGCAGGTGGGAGGCGGTGAGAGGAAGTTGAACTGGGGCGATTTAAATTGCGCTGGAGGTGCCAAGTCTTTGAGCGAAATGGAGGACTCATAACTCTTAGAGCGGCGCAGGGAAAATATGCTGCTGGGAGGTGCTGCAGTCGGTGAAAGAGGAGTGGGTGGAGGGGTCAGCGTCGGAAAATAGGGGGTGGGTGGCTGCAGGATGAAGGCAGCTTGAGTGCTCCCAGGAGTTAGGGGGATAATAATGCAAACTATGGGAAAGGATGCAAAATAATAAAAAATTGAGGAGGAGTGGAAAAGAAGACATAAAATATTGTTTAGTGTGAAACATGCGTGCACAAGAAGACAATGAATGAATTACATGACTCAGGATTTGCGGAGGAGGAGGCATGGATAAGGAGAGGGCAGCACATGACTCTTGATTTGTTAAGAGCTGCTATGTGCCGTTATCAGCAGTAGATACTGCTGCGGGGAGGTGATGGGAGGCAGGAGGAAGAGGAGGAGGAGAAGGCGGAGGAGGCAGCCTGATTTCACAAAGGAAGAGATTCTCTCATCTATCCAAGGAAGGCTCAGAGGAACTGGAGGAGAACTATGAGAACTAAACTAAACCAACAAAGAAAAGCAGACTCTACAGGGTTAAATCATTTCTACTCAGGTCAGACATTATTGCAAAAACATCTAAAGCAGTACGTAGAATGCAGCATGCACTAAGAATGGGATTTGAATAGTGGATATTACTCATTTGTCACAACTGGATACACTATTTTGATTTGTATAGGAATGTTTACCCTGATTTAAATGAAAATGGTAATTAATTCAACAGAAGTCAATTCAAGTTAATGCAAGTATCTACAAGCATGGCTATATATAGATGCAATTTATAAGAAGAAGAATATAATCACTTCTATGGCATGTCTGTAAAGAATATTAATCAGGAATGCATTTGGGGAACTACAGTATAGGAGCCAGCTATTCAAACAAAATCCAAATCGGACTGTAAATCAGCCTCTCTAGAGATTTGCACTAGGACTAAACATTTGTGATCCATGCATTGGCACACCAGATAAAGGTAGCAGGGAGAGGTAAGAGGTCAGCTAGACAGAGCTAAACTTTACCATCAGCCTGATCCCGGAAAACAGCGTTATCATCGGCAAAACATCTCGTGCCTGAAATGTTACCATAGTCAAATATTGGGCCCTCCAGTAAAGTCACAATATCCATCCGATTGACTTTGGTCAGCACTGAAGATAAGGCATCCGCTGTGGAAAAACACACATAGATGTTATTGAGTTACCTGAAATAAGCTGAAACAAAGTTTGTACATAGGATCAAATGAAAAAAATAACTATTTTCCAAAGAGTCAAATATGTGTGCATGTCTGCATCTTCACGACATATTAGAGTTATGATAATACAAAAGAAGGACTCTGTGGAGGATAGACCAGAGAAAGACAAATAAGAAGGGCACTTTAAGATGAGCTACACAAACACTTGAGTGAGCTAGAATAAAAAGTTGGTCATTTTTGTGCCTTTTATCTAGAACAAAGAGTGAGAAAGAAATAAAAAGACAGTCAGAGTGTAAGATTTGTAAAATGTAAAAATAGTCTTACTTGTGGCATTTTTTCCTTCCCGACTGACCCATTTCTTAAGAAGCATGAAGCTCTGTGCTGTCAGAGAGTTGGGGTTCTCTAGTCTGATGTGGTTGATCTCATCCACTGTGAAGTTCATCTCCCGAGCCAGCTCTGTGATGGGACACAGAAAGAAACTCATAAATATTCAACCTTTGATATTGACATTTTATTCATAGTGCAAATGCAGACCGCAGAAGGTAATGTACAATACATATATTTACATTTTTAGATGATTAAACAAAAACAGCATAGATGAGCGGTAACATGCTCTGTTAGCCTGAAGATGGCAGTAAATAACAGGGTTTGAGACTGACCAAAGACAGGAAGTCAGGGGGAGAAAAGATGCAATGCAGGAGGTTTCTTACCCGTCCAACTGAGTCCCAGGTGATCTGCAACGATAGCCATGCGCAGGTCTGTTCGCTCACAAGGACTCTGGGGACCTGGGAAGATGGAGGACAATGACTCATCAATACCCTCACATTCCTCTCCCCCTATACACTAATGTAAGAGAGAAATAAACATGTGTATACTTTTCCTTTTCTGGCCACTTGTTCATCAGAATTAACAATATTAATCAAGGTTGTGTTTTAGATGTATACTATAATGGTTAGTATATAAGTGTGATATGGGTTACATTTTCCCCAGGATGGCAAGAAAAGGATATTTTAAATCAGAGACATTATGGACAACTTAAATATGTTCATAGAGTAAGTGGTGCTCTGTGACTGTTTGTGGTATGTATCCTCTAGGCAGGCAGTAACTGTCATGAGAACCACACAACACAAAGCATAACATGAATCTCAACAACAGACTTGTTTTTCTACAAATCTAGGATGAAAAAGTCTATGTTAGAATCTAAAATGTCAACATGCAAAGACGCTTTTGTGTGTTCTTTGCCAACACTAGTTGAAATGACAATTCAGTAAGAACAAACTACAACAATAACTTGGTAGCCACCCCGCACAGACAGATAGACAGACAGACCAGGGAGTTGTTAAAAAGGGACTGGTTGTGCCAGTGGACCAGTCACTACTACTGGCATGCTCATCTACTATATCAAGGTTTAAAAAGGGTTGAAAAGGGGGAACAGAGAGAAGAGAATCTTGCAACAAGGACAATACAGTACACAGTACATCAATGACAAAAAATAAATTTAAATGACAGCTACTGTTCTGAAGAGAATATGTAAACACGCCACAGGCATTCCAGTCAATCCATCAAACGATCACAACGATGTCATGCAACTAAAAGTGAAATATATAAATATATAGATGTATTTTAAACATAGTGTGAAAGTTTTACAAACTAGGCTTGATCTCCGCGATGGGAGGCGTTCGAGACCCTGTGAGTCCCTGACTGCCCTCCTTCCCACCAGTCCGCCTACTCCTCCTGCTCCTCTCACTGCCGGAGGCCCTGTCCGTCGTCGCCACCTTTGCCCTTACGGACGCGGCCCCGGCCTCAGCCCTCGAACCTCTACCAGACCTGGATGAGCGGGAGGGCTGGGAGGGCTGGGAGGGCTGGGAAGGCTGGGAGGCGTCCGACAGAGAGGTGCTCCGGGAGGTGCTGTCTTCCTCCGACTGCTCTGTCTGCGTCTTTTTCTCCTCCTCTGACAGGCGGTCCACCAACTTTTGCGTCTCCCCGCTAATGCCTTTAAAGTATTCGATTGTGCGCTTACAAACCTCACTAGGATTCTCCTGCCTGGCCTGTCTACATGCTCCCTCAACTGTGACATTGCTGACCTGATGCCTGTCCTTCAGTGGTAACCTTGAGGGCAACTGTATGGCTGCTCTCCCTGTGTCCAACGCCCTAGTTGGACGTGAGGTAACCCGAACAGAAGCAAGAGAGCTAGCTGTGGCAGCAGGGCTGGTCTTTTTAACATCCTTGATTGGTATCCTAGACCTTGGTTCTACTTTGGCTATGGCTGGCTCTCCTCTTTTCCTGACCTCAACCGTCAAAACTTGTTTGGGCTTCTGTTTGCCTATGGCTGTTCCCTGCGTGTGAAATGACCACCCTGATGCTTTAACTGGAAGCCTCGACTTGGGCTGCCTTACTTCACTTTCTTTAACAGCTTCACTTGTCTGCTCCTGCACTTGACTGCTGTTGTGTACCTCCACTTCTAATTCCCTACAGAAGAGTGTTTCTATCCTACTAGCTTTTTGAAGAGTGGGCTCAGAAGAGGACTGCAAATTAAACACAACACTACCACACTGAATGTAGTTGGCCTGAACACTGGAGGACTCAAGGTTATTGTTGTTGTTGCAGTTTTCAGTAGGGTAGTCTCTACTCTCTAACTTGGGCTCTGTCTGTCTGCTAGTCTGGCTCTCTGTACTCTGACCCTCTATACTGATGTATTCTGGCACAATCTGACCCTCTGAGATATCAGCTTTACAATCGGTGAGATCCCCTGAGTCCTTTTTCACAGTTATAGAAGCAGCTATGCCCATCTTAATAGGAGTGCGTAATTTGGGATCAACCTTAGAGGCTGTGATTGTGCATGAGGAGGCGGTCTCAGCTATGGCTTCACAGGTGGGGGCGTCAGTACCGGTGTAGCCAGGGTCACTGCCAGGCTGTGCAGTGCTGCATTTCGCTGTTGTTGCTGCTGGTGTTGTTGGTGTTGTGCTGCTGTCTGTGGTAGTATCTATAACCTTCACCATGCCATCTACAGTGGCCCTCTCCCCTGACTGAGAGGAAATTACCCCCAGGATCTTGCCCCCTTTCCCCTTTTCCCCTGTTTTAGGGTCAGAGGAATGCTCACCAATCTGGAAAAACTGAAGCCTCTCTTCAACAAAGTCCCGCTTGCTCATGTCAATAGCACCACTGCGCGTCATCTCAAACATCTTCCCTTCGTGGAACGGGAAGGGGTTAGGCTCACTAGTCGGTGTGCTCTCATCAGTCGGCGTTCGAGCGGGGGTTGTGTCAGGTGTTGTAGCTTGTGATTTGTCCTCCACCGATAAACCAAAGGGCTTTGGATCGTCGTCTTTTGTTTTGGACTCAAAAACTCCATCATTATCACCCCCTTTGGTAGACCAGGGGTCAAAGTCCAGGCCTTTGGTGGCAACAGTTTTAAAGGTAGAATTTAGCTCCTCTTCAAGTTGGTAGCCAAAGTATTCATCTGCAAAGGTCTGCCTTTCTGGATGTCTTCCTTCGAGGGTATAATCTTTTTCATCTCCACTGGCTGACGATGTGTTGGTTTTAGTCTTCCCATTCTCCCCCCCCTTCTTCACATTTCTCTTCCTCTATCACTTCAAGCTTTGACTGATTAAATGAGCGATCGGTTGTTTTTCCATCAAAGGACATACTACATGATTGAGGGTCCTCACTCAGGCCGTCATCCTCATCCTGAAGGTCATACCCATCTAAAGAGTCTATTTCAGTAGCATCTGTGTCATGTGAAAATTCAGCAGTGGTTGCTATGGAGCAGTCAGTAATTGACTGGTCATTGCCATTTTGTTCAAAGTCAACATCCTCCTCCTTTACAACACCATTGATCCCAGACTCATTATCATTGCCATTATTCTCAGATTGTTTTGATATCTGGTGTTTATCTCCCTCCTCTTTCATTTTGAAGGTGTACTTTTTTATAGGGATGGGATGGAAGACGGACTCATCATCACTGGAGTCGCTGTTATCAGCTCCAGGAGGAACAGGGGACGGAGGCTGGACCCTGATGATCGGCTCTGCTAAGAGATGCCTATCATGCTCCTCTTGGAGGTTAACCTCAATCATCTCTGTCTCTGCCTCAGAAGAAGCACAAGACCCCCTTTTCTCAGGGTCGGACTGCTCTGCCTCTAAAGGAGGAGGAGGTGGAAACTCAATATAAGCCACTCTTTTCTCCTTTAACTTCTGTCTCTCTGCATCCTGTTTTCTACTGTGATTCTCTGGGAAAGCATGCTTGGATTTTTCCTTTGATGGCCCCTTGTAGATGAAGGTCTTCCCGTCTTCTTCCTCAGGGATAGGGCTTGGCATACCAGGCATGAAGCCTATCACAGACTCTGGTGTTTTTGAGATCAGACTCACCTCCTCTGAGCTTGGTGTCTCAGGGGTCACAAGACTTTTCCCAGAGCTGTCCATGAAAGTCACTTGAGTGTCATCTTCTGGACTTCCTTGGGGAAATGGAGACGGCTGCTTGACAGTATAAAATGCACCTCTAGTCTCCTGCACTGTCCTACTCTCATGGCTTACTATCTGTTTGTATGTTCCCAGCTGCCCCGAGGCTGTTTCTGTCTCATACTGCTTTCCTACTTGGATACTAACATACACTGGAAGGGGTTTAATATCTTTGAAACCCTCTGTGACAACTACAGGAGTTATTTCACCCAAATAATCTGCTTGGTCACCATCAACACCGTTACACACTACATTTGATAGGCTACCGTCTGATGAGTCTGTTGATTTTCCTAGGGATGATCCACGAGTAGACTTGTTGGAGTCAGAGCTACTGTGTAATCGACTTCTAGCTAAAGTAGGTATGTGAGACCCTGCCCTTTCCTGTTGTTCAACAGTGGCATCTAATTTTAATGTGGTGGATTTTTGAATTTCCGAGAAATTACAAGGCTTTCTTAAAGGAATTTGCGATTCCGAGTTTTTTTTTAGACCATCGTTGCTATTTGGACTTTCATGGACAACGAATTCTGTGTATATTATTTTCTTAGCGGTTTCTTGAATTTGGGAATCACTATTATTGCCATCTTTCATAGAATCATGGATTAAAGAATGAGATACTTTGGGAGATTGGGGTTTATACTTTCCATAGTCTTGGTTCTCCCATGTTTTGAATAACTTGTTATCTTCCTGGTCTTTTCCACTGGTCTCATGCTTGGGGGAGAACTTATTTGATTCACTATCTACACATTTTCTCTGGTTTCCCGGACTGTCTGGCGTTTTTGGAATGCTTGGTCCTGCGAACACCTGATACACTGGTAGCTTACTTTCCTGAAGTTTTCTAATAGGGGGATTTGAATCTTGGCCACCCTGAGAACTCCTATCTTGCCTTTGAGCCTCTTGCTCAAACTTCAGCCTCACTGCACTTACTTTGGAGGAAGACATTTGAAAAGGTTTAGGGCTTTCTCCTGTGCTTCCCTGTGATGTACCATCTCCTTGTTTTCTAGCGTCTGAATCACTGTAGTGTATCAATACTCTCCTCTCTGGACTACTAGGTAAGCTTGCACATTTTCTATCACTGGAGCTGAATCTGTCCCTAAGCCTTTCTCTGCTCCACTCTTCCCCACTAGCCCCACTTCTATAAGCTGACCTCTCTGGACTGCTGTGTGTAGAACTCGGGCCCGATCGTGATTCCCTGAAGTCAGGTCTTCGAGACTTCTTCTCTGGAGACGAGAGCTCATCGTTTAACTGTTCTGTTTTATCTCGAAAGAATTGAGATACCTCACTGAGTTTTTCCTCTGCCTCCTTTACAGTCCTGTCCACTCTGTCCTCGTAGATAAGCTGTTCTCTATCCTTACTCTGTGTGTCATCAGACACACGCATCCAAACTGATTGCTTTGGGCTACCAGGCTCAGACGAATACTGCAAAAGTGTTAGTTTGTCAAAGTTATCATCAACATTTGCCATTCTTCCAGATTTGTCATACACATTTCTCGACGACCTAAAGACATACTCTGTCCTCGGCCCACCTGATCTACCCTCACTGCTACTGCTTCTGTCTGGTGAGTGGAAGCGAGACCTATCTCTCAGATATTCCTCTGTGTCAGAATGAGACTGGTCAAATTTCTCAGAGAGAAGCATTTTTTCTGCAAAATTATACGATTCTCCCCTAAGCTCTGATGATTCATCATCATTGTACTCGACAGATTGCTGGCTAAGTAGCTTAAGTGTTTTATAAGAGTCATCTGACATGAGTTGGGCTGAACTAGGGCGACTGTCTTCCTCTTGGTACACTGGAAGTGATTCCTCAGGCTCATCCTCTTCCTGTCTATTCCCTGGGTAGTAATACATTTCCTTCTCTGCATGGTTTTTTGTCTCCCTGATGATGACCTCAGTTGGTTCTGTTTTATTGCCTTTTTCAATGTGTACTTCAATTATTCTTTCAACTTTAGGTTTGGAGATGTCCTCGAGGACTCTTTGAGATGTTTCCTCGTTGCCAGACTTGTGTTCAAAAAGTCCAGCCAGCTCTCTGGAAGGGTCTTTGCCTGACTGAAAAGCCTTCATTATGTCATGCACAGACATTGTTTCCTCACAGCGCTCCGATGCTGCTTCTTTGCCAGGTGGTTTGTGGTACACCATCCTGGTAGTTGTAGTGATGTGAGTCTCCTCCTTTACCCTCATCCCTTTTCCCATTGGATCTTCATCAGGGCTGACTTTTATTGAATAGCATTTATTCTGATCTGGACTTGATGTAGCTAGATGCCCTTTAAAGTCTGAATCAATATATCTGACAGGATGAGCATCCTCCATTGTAGGTTGTTTGTTATCCTCTGGGGGCTCATAGCTCCTGATGACATGAACAACCTCAGTCCTAGTCTCAGTGATTACTGGGGGAACTGGGATATCCTGAAAAAGGGCCTTGGGACCCATTCCCTCAGCACTTTGAGGAGTAGAGGGTGTCCTTTCACTGCGGGTCTCAAAGCCACTGTCTGAGAGGGGGCTTTTATCTTGCTCATGTGAGATATCATCAGGTGAGTCTAGCACAGTGTCTGCTCCAAAGAGCACATCTGCTACTTTACTGAACTCTTTGTCTGAAAGGGAAGAGCGCATGTTTGTTGGAGGCATTTTAAGCTTATGCTCCTGAACTGCTATGGTGGGTTTTAAGACACGTTTCTGCTTCTCCTTGCCCTCTCCTTCTCTCTTGCCCTCATCTACTTTATGCTTTGTGTCATGCATTTTGGAGAAAGAGCTGCTCCCAACATCATTGGTCAGGTAGTCAACTACTTTGGAAAGATTGAAATCTTTATCTGGTATTGTTTTTGATTTTGCTTGAGGAACCACAGTCTCATATCTTGGCGGATAGCTCCAGTTGCTTGGAGGCTGTTCAACTTGTACTTTTGAGAAGTGTATGTCGTCCAAAGAACCCCTCGCATGGGTAACCCTACCATCTTTCACAGCATCTTTAGTAAGGATTTGGCTCACTTTTACCAAATCTTGCTTTACTTTCTCCACAATTCTATATGGCTCCTCATCTTCTATCTTAGCCTCTTTGGCAGAATCAGACTGAAATCCTTTATTGGCTGTGGAATTTGGGTCTGTCTGCAAAATGGCTGACATTCGTATCAAGTCCTCTTTCATTTCGGCTACATCCTTCAGAATCTCTTGACTGGATGATAGTGGTGATGTAGTGTTTGATTTCAGACCAGGAGGAAAATGAGGGGTTTTTATTGGGGAAAGAGTTCTGGCAAAGGAAGACTGCATGTGAGCATTCACCTCAACTGGGACTGTCTTTCGAGGAGACAGAAGGGCAGCAGCTGACTTGGACACCTCAGGTAACTTTTGAACTGAGGCTCTGGCAGCACGTTAATAACTGAGTACACTGGAACAGTCATTGTACTAGATGTTACAGCAGTGGTGGCGTTAGGAGGGGATCTTAAAGAGGCGTAGAGTGAATTAGAAGCTGATGATCTAATTGACTGATATGAGGATGATGGAGAAGAGGACAAAGACTTCAGAGTGCCATAGCCTGCAGAACAAGAATTAAATGTTTTTTCAACCTCCTCAAAGGCTGCATTGACGCTTGTCGTTGCGGCATTGGTGGTGGCTTGTATTCTCTCTTGAAGACTGTTTGCGAGAAGAGATGTTGGGGATGAAGAGCGGTACTGTGTAGGCGACACAGTTCCATTAATAAGAGATGCAGCACTTGGAGGGGTGTTGGATTTAAGTGGAGACGTAAGAGATGAGAAAAGGTTTCTTGCAGGACCAGTGACGTCTGAGGCAAAGGAACGTACAGAGGAAAGACCAGGGACTGTTTTTATAGGTGAGGAGGAAGATGCAGCGCAACTGGAGCCACCCATAATGGTCTTGTAAGGCAGGGGTGAACTGAACATACTCAGAGATGATTTGGGAGAGGTTGGTGGGGTCAAGCTTATCGATGCTCTCTCAAGAAGAGGGCTTCCTCCTGCAGAAACAGTTATAGGGGAGGTCCTAGCAGACAATGCTGCCAGTCCTTTCATTGACGTAGAATCTGGGGTACTTCTGCCTGGTGAGGCCAGGGGACTGGGGCAGACCTGGACTGGGTACTGGGCTTGCTGGACTACCGTTTTTATAGGCGAGGAGATAGTTCTGTAAGATCTGATGGGAGAGGCCATGTCACTAACTGACTTTATAGAAGAGGCAGGTGATCCGGGGATGTTGGTCTTGATGGGGGAGGCAGAGTTGATGGACCAGACAGACTTTAATGGAGAGGCAGAGGGCGTGTTGGATGACGAACTGGAGATGGAGCCAAACCCAGACTTGGCTTGGCCAGCGACGGCGACAGGAACAGGCGACCACGCCTGATAAGATCTCGTTGAAAAGACAGGTTTGTGAGGGTAGCTAGAAGGCTGTGTTCTCTGCGAGCTCCGATCAGTTGTTTCTTCAACAATAATTTAAATCAAAGCAATAAGGAAATCAAAAAAAAAAGTAACGGAAATAATTTGAAATAAAACATAAAAACCAGAAAGAGAAATTTGAGTCAGTCAGAAACAGCAATATTCACATCAGCAAGACAATTTGTTTAGACATGAATTGTTATAAAGGCCCCTATTTAAAAATTCCAGGATGATATGACAAATGATGGTCTTATACTCAGTGAATAATGAAAAAACACACCTGATAAAGAACATAGCATGTATTTGAACAAAATGTTGACATGGTAGACCTGACAAAAAATGACATGATAAACAATAAATACAGTTCCATTGACTTTTGATGTGCTTAAATCTATTTGCCTTCTTGCAACAGTGTCTTTTACAGTACATGTTTGATTGACATGTGTTTATCCTTTCATTTAGTTCATTTCAATGCCAGAGATGACCCCACAAGTGTATAGCATTAGTAAACAAAATACACTTTACTTGTTTGGTCTTGACTTATAATAAAATACGAGGTTGCACTTCACAAAAAGGGAAAAGTAAATCAGCCATTCATGCCTTTTCAGAATGCTCTGCAATTAAAGCCACATTTAAATTGGCTCTGTGTTTTTCTGTTAAATCAGCGTTTCTCAAGTCATAACTATGAATATATTTTAAATAATATCAAATGATTGTTAACAAAATACTTTTTTGCAGAAAAGACTTGGATGGTCAAGGCTGGAATAATGAAACACAGACAGTTCCCCAGAATTTGAATAACTTCAATGTACTGATAATACACAAAGTAGAATATCAAAACTATCCCTAAAAACAATATCTTCAGAGTAGGGGAAATCAAGTTAATGTAAAGTGCAACCCGTTACCACATTGTTATACACAGCCGCACACAATCATAAAGCCAATAAGAGTGAAATGGCCACCAGAAAATGAGAACAATTGAAAATAATATTTTATTCAACATGAATCAAAACATTTTTTGCTCAAATGATAAATGAACAGACAGACATTGAATCCCAGTGTTTCCAGAAATGTAAGATAACATAACAGTTGAAACAGGGAGACTTTTTGTCAACATGGGGTGGGTAAGCAAAGCGTAACACACAGTAAACCATGCAAATGGTTGATGAATGACATGATTAAAGAGTTTGTGTCAGGTGAATAGAAGAAATGATTCATGAACAAGTTGTCAGGTAGATCTCCTTCTATACTTTGGCTATATGAAAATATGTACACTATATAAAGGGACCTTTAGAGACTAAAGCTAATAGAAATCACATAAATATCTGAAATCAATTGAAAAATGTCATGTAAGGTAAAAATGGGAAACTCACTCGCTGCTGGGTCGGTCAAATAGCTGTAGCGCTTACGCAAAGCTAAGGAGGCAAAGGTATGACGTCGTTCTGGCTTTTCAGTCTGAAACAAACAAAAAAGAACAAAAGATGCTTTAACATAAAAAATATGGTGAAATGTGATTCTGACCTATCAGAATGAGGTCTAAATAATAATGTTATGTAGTTAACTTAAATACTGCAGTGCACGAATGCTGTTTTTTTATTTTAGTGAATCAGCAGATGCTGTTAGTACTGGCACAAGGAGGCACTGCAGGTGTACTGTGGTGTCTTCTCTGGAGAGTAATGGACTGTTTCCCTGCATCCTTCATTCACTGCATTTCTCAATGTCATAACTACAGGCATTATGTCCCTTCTTAATGGCCTACTCTAGTAAAAAGTTAGTATGGGCAAAATCCAACTCCCAGTAAGCTTTGTGAGTCAAACAGAGACCCTCTTAACATGAAGACACATTCCTCAGATCGTCAAATGTGGTGACAAAGTACACCTCTTTAAAAAACTCATAATTGTGTCAATTTTGATATTTGGACAGTAGGACTTCAGCTCATCTCCAGGAATTATGTTCATAATGGACAATTCACCATTACATGATTTACAGTATATGTTAACATTAAGTGCCAATGCAGTTAATAGTATGTAACGAGGTGAAAGGTAAAGGAGTGGAGCTTGGCGTGATGAATGTTGGTCTAGTTTGTCTATCTTTCATGCCAGTGATCAGAGTTTGTGTCCTCAAAATCAATTGTGATTTGTTCCGCTGAAACTGTGAAAAACGTCCATACCGGCGATGTTTGGCTCTTCGGTCAGCGAGATTAGCTTGTGCTCTTCTTATTCTATGTTAACTGGTGATTAGTGAACCAACTCTTCAGGTGCATACCGTCACGTACTGTACCGGAGCGTGCTGCTTTTGTTCCTATTCAACTACATTTTAATTATCTGAGCGATACATCACTATATAGGTAAACCATCATTTACATTTCCCAATATAAATCAAGCATCTAACCCACAGCTAAAATATTTATGGTTTTGCATTTATTTTTATGTTGAATGTTGGAAAATTGCTTTTACTCAAACACAATCTGGGTGCCGAATCGTCCAATATCAACATTTTATGGGAAGAGGGTTGATATATTTATGTTGACTAATAACTACACGTGGTCACTACATGTAATGCTAAAACATAACAAATAATCTCCCTTTGATGAAAGTCTCCTATAAATGTTTGAGCATGAAACTGGGGAGATAGTATTCCCTGTTACACACAAGCAACGGACAAGGGTGGATAAAGGAAACCCCAAATACAACAAAAACAATGACTAAGAAGACACATGATAAGGGTTAGGGTTTCATCTTTAGCTGAAAAAGGTAACATAGTCCTGTGTGAAACCTCTTTTGAGTTAATAGTATAGATGGAGACATGGTGATTTCCTGTTGGACATGTATGGAAAGGAAGATAGAGATGGAAAAACAAGCTGAGGTGTGGCACAGCAATTTGCTCCACTGCACTTTGGGATGAAGACAATAATAAATAAATCCCTGCTGATTAAAATAACTGCCATTTCCACTCATGCACTACATGGGGTCACTTCAGCAATGACGTAGCTGTGTAAAAAAAACGTGCAGTCAGAAGCATTGGTTACACCAAGGAACAGTACAGAGACAAAATATCTGCGACACGCATATCTACCACTGCAGTAAAGCCAACAAAAAGGACGACAAAGAAGAAGCAGTTCCATGTGATGATGAAGAATCTGTTTTACCTCATCATCAGGATCAGACTCCAAATCCTGTGGTATTCCAAGATGCATTGCAGGAGAGGAGAGAGATGACACAATGGAGAGCAGGGACGTTATAGTGAGCGGGGAGGCGGGAATAAAAAAAATCAGGGGGTGAAAATGGAGCAGCAAAAACAACAAAAGGCATCAGAAATAATCTATGGGATTAATACAAAAATAAACAGCAACATAACAAAAGCAAAAGCAAAACAATTTCAGTTTCTTGTGATCAATCAATACCACAACAAACAAACAAATGAGAAGAGCCGTCTTCTTGCAGAATTCTTATGAACCCACAGTGAGCCAGGCAATAGACCAAAGCACGATGTGCATGTGTGGCTGCATGTGTACGTTGTGGGGTCTTATACTGTAACTGGCACAGGCTTTAACACTAATAAAAGACACAAGCAGCAGGCAATCCTTTCTAGACCAAATGAACTTCAATGGCTCCTCTCGGTGTCCGGACAACATCCCTTTCTGTATTTCAATTTAATTTACATGTAGATGGTATGATATGGCCTAAACAGGTGAGCAATTCAAACATGGGGATCCTACCTTCTTGTGGTTTGGCAGTGTGATATTCAAATTGCATATGGCAGTCTGTGGAAGGCCTTTAATGGATTTTGGCTCCTTCAGGAAGGAGAGGCGGCCACACGGCTCCTGGCCCATATCTCTGATCTGAGGACAGCAAAAAGATTGCATCACGAGTTGACCATGACAAATACTTTCAATAACAACCCTGTTAAAAAAAAGCTTTTCTTCCCTTCTCTAGGAGTAGAATTTTCTCCATTTATTACAACCTTAACCTATTGCCACTTCCTAAATGTGAATATTGTCATACACTAAATAGATTTAAGGATATAACAGGCAGAGTACATTTCATTTGCTGTTAGCGTCAAAATCTAGGACAAAAATTGAGTTATAGTGTGTTGCTGTGAGAAGAATAACAACATTTACTGCAAGAAGCAAATTGCTATAAATGTCGAGCCAATTAGGAGAGGGTGAACTGACATTTCTGCCATCATTTAATTAAAGAGAACATTTGCAAAGGACTTCACAATGAGACAGACAATGCTAGCAGAGAGAGAGAGGGTTTCAGGAGGGGTATATTTTATACCTTCACGTTGAAAGGAAGTCTGTTTTCCTTGAAGGAGTAAAAGTTGAAAACAAGCTGTTGCCCACTTTTGGTGAGAGGGGACAGGTTGCCATAGCAATCCACGTGGATGGGCTTGCCCTCGAGAACCTACGGAAGTAGATTGATCAAAATGATGTGGTTGATAAAACGTATAATGCATTTTTTTTACATTTTTCAAAGTTGTTCTTTATCCACAACCCCACCTCGATATCTTTGCTCCGGGCCACCTCCTCAAAGTTCTCCTGCTGCTCGAGGGTCTTGTCCACCTTGTCGTCTGTCATGCAGAAGCAGCGCAGACGAGCCTCGATTGCGTCGTTCATCTTGGCGAAGACCACAAACTTGGCCAGGTACGGCACGCAGATCAGCTCCCGGTATAACTGAGACGCTAGACCCACCGTCTCAGGAATCTGGTGACAGTCTGCGAGCCAGAACCTTTGGAGGAGACATTGGAGGAAAAAGGGAGAGGAAATGGGGGAAAACACAAATCAGGAAGTCAGCCAAGTGAACAATTTGCCCTTTATTACGATGATGTACACCCTAAAGTTTGGTACTTTGCATTGCACAAATAAGGTTTTTCTAAAGCAATAAATCAAATTAGCTGGGTTTTGCTCTGAAGGGTGAACACAAACACATGACAGCTTTCCAGAAATCTAATTATAGAGGGTGCTCAGTTAATATCAAGCCGCACACTCACCACATGATCCCAATCTAGTTAGAATAAGAGTTTATTAGTTTGCGTAATGCAACCAAGACTTTCAGTTGCTGAGGTCATTTAGAGGCATGTCTCAAAATGGTATAGTCAACATGACTTAGGTGTAGAGAAGATGAATCATGTGAGTATACAGGCCTTTGCATACTAGAATAAACAAAACCTCCAAATTAAGACACCTAATTAAATGTATTGGCAGGTTAAAGTTTTCCAAAAACATTTAGAGTAAGACAAGAAGGGAACTGCGCTCCTTATGCATGCGGTGAAAGTAGAGGATAGTGAAAAAGTTGAAGTCAGACAAAATCAATGTCTGTCTAGAGTACATATTTATCATTCAGTTTTCCCTCTTGTGAGGGATTCTGGGATTCATTGCCAACTTCTGATTGCTTCCTTGTACTTCCCTCTCATCATTTTCAAACAACTGAGATGTGGTAGTTTTTCGTATGCTTGGTGGGACCAAAGCCGAGTAAAACTACTTCCTTTGATCAGCTGAATGTGGTGACCTTTAGTTGGGATTAACATGCCCCTTATTTCTATAAGAAGAATAAGAAACAAGTATTCCCTTTATGACACAACAGTGATCCAAACAGATCAATAAAGAGCTTTATTTATCCAAATTGAAAATGTGGTTGCGATTTTCATTTACAATATGTTTTTATAATGTTTTATACTTTACTGGAAATAAGCATTTATCACCCAGATTCGGAGAATAAGGGTTGCAATGGTTTTTATAGTGATCCAATACATTGCAAACAAAAAAATAGATGTTTGTTTCTCACCTGGCCGAAACATTTGTGGTGAAGGAGACGCAATCGGTGACAAAGGACAGCGGTGTGGTCCCTGTGATGTCCTCCCACTGGGCGGGGGACGTCCCTCCTGCAGGAAACAAGGGCCAAAAGATGAGCTCAGTACCTTTCCAACATTGCCTGTGTTTTAGCTTTTGTAATCCCCATCCTTTTATATTCTCAGCTCTTCATCTTCCCTGTCTCGACCTGTTTTTCACTTCAAAGTAGGACTGATGTGCCCACGGCTAGTGAGTTAGTACCTCTGTCTCATGTGAAATTAAAGAATGAACAACTATGTCTGTTGTCACAAATAAAATGTATTAGCATCTAAGAACACAATGACTAATTTAATAACTGAATGCTAGTCGTGTAGAAGCATTTTGGATAAAGGTTCTACAGTATTGTCATGCTCTAGTTATTCAGAGGTCTACTTGCCTGTGATGCTGCAGAGCAGACGCAGGCAGGGTGCAGTGTCGCCTCGGTGACCGCTGGGATGGCCTTCTGCCGATCTAGGCGGGACAGGGATCGTCATGGTGATCGGCTTGTGGAACTTTCTCCTCCTGGGCTCCACGGTGACGATGGGGCTGAACGTGGCTCTGTTTCCGAGGATCGCCCTCGCCATGTCATCTGGCACGGGCTGGGCCTAAACAGAAGGAAAAGCAACAGGAAGTCAAATAAATAGTTTGTTGATGAAACTTTGAGAAATGTTTAGTCAAACGTTCCCTGAACTTTTTCTGAAATTAAATGGTTCAGGCATGTGAGGAGGACTGGACTCGAGTATAAATAAATAATAGGTCAGTGGGCAGTCTCTGCGACTGAAAAGCTGAGTCATGAAACTGAATTTTAGCAGATTCAGAAGTGCTGCTGTACCTGCAGGCCGACACGGATCTTCTTGGTGAGCGCTCCTTCAGGGAACGAGGCCTGCACCATGGGCACGGTGCTGCTGGACAGCATGCCTCCATCCGGACCCATGTGGTTGGACTCCTGCTTGATCCGCGACACCACAGCAAAATACTGAGGGAAATCGCTAGTGACGATGCGGCAGATTCGCTTCTTCTCCAACTCAATGGGACTGTCCAGCTCTGTGACAGAAAATATCAGAATCAGAATACCTTTATTAGTCCCAGAGGGGAAATGTACGTAGTTACAGCAGAAAAGAGCCACAGACAGCTTAATGTTACATATATTACATATGTTACATGCAATAAAAAGTACTGAGTTAAAAAAAAAGTGATGATATAATAAAAAATATAATACAAAATAAAAAGTTACACAATTTACACAAGTTATCACTTTGTTATGATCACCTGATACGAATTATGACTTTATGTGTTAGATACTATTAAGGTATGACATTTGGCAAGGGTCAATACAAAAAAGGACACTAAGTAGGCTAAACAGGAACAAGAAACATGTCCTGCAGTGAAAATCTGTTTTTCTAGGACACCAGCTGACACATAGCCATCGGTTGAATAGTATAAGTATTCCTAAGTGGTTCAAGTTCACCTTCATCCATTAACTTCGCACTAAAGTGTCTTTGTTCTAATTATCATTGGCAATTATTGTTGGGCCACACTGAATAACCTTTGCGTTACCTTCATCCATTCCAGAAAGCAGCTCAAAGAGGTCTTCTGGTCTGGCGTCAGACTGGTGCTCCTTCCACGTGTCTCCGTTCTCGCTCCTCAGCACAATCAGCTCCCTCTCTTTCCCCCGCATGGACCCAAAATGGGGGATCTCTACGATCACAGGTCTAAAATAGAAAGTAGAACACAATTTAACTCAGGAAATTATGAAATTAAACCATCATCTTTAGGGCAGCTGGGGAGTTAAATAACAATTATGTGCATTGGCCACCTCTGACATTCATGGATGTAGTTAAAGTTGCAGTTTAACTTCACTCGGACATTGTCAATTTCAATAGTAGTTAAAATACTTTTTTCGAGCAGCTTTAGCTAACCACACTATATTTCTCCATTAGATGGTTCACCTGCGTTCAGTGTGAAGTAATTGAAAGCTTGTAAAGCTTCCCTAGGACAGTTTATCGGAAAATATCCTCTTTGATTTGTTCCCTGTTCTCCCTGAAAACTGCAATGCATCATAAAGAAATCCCAAGCGTCCTACCCCAGGAACTGAGCCCCAGCTGGTCCGACCTCCACCAGCCGGCTGACCAGCCCCTCTCCCTCCACCATGGGCGGGGGGTAGGCCAGCTTGTGCCTCTTGGCCAGGCGGCAGGTGATGCGCGTGGGTGCCGTGCACTTCCTGGGAGGGATGATGATGCGCATGCCATTGTGGCGGCTGCCTCTCATGGAACCACCGCGCGCATCCACCATGAAGCTGACCAAGAACCTGCAAGGTGAACAAATAATGTTAGAGAAATAAAAGATAAAGCCATAGACAGAAGTCATACCACGGAAACTAATAAGGAAGACAATTTCCATGCTGTGATCACCGTACACCAAAACAAAGTAAGGAAAAGAGAGAAATTAACAAAAAAAAGAGAAAGAGACAGACAGAATGATAGAAAGAAGAAAAAAAGATGCTTTGAGTTCTGAAAGTTTGCAGTTCTCACTTATACCTGCCTCAATTCAGAACATTAAACACTGTCTGAAACTAAACAGGGTGCTGCTCATGAAGTCGCAAAGTTTAGTTTCCATTCATGAGGCACAAGGTGAGACTTTTGCCAAAGTTTCAGGTCCTCTAAAGCAGCATTCAGTGAACAAATATTAAACACCTGCACAGATGTTTCACCAAGATAGGGTTAATGTGATTAATATGTGATGCGCCTTTGAATTAAAAGCTAATTTCGGCATCCCATTAATATAATCATTGACACAAGTAATGAGTGAGGATGGAGAAGAGCAGAACATGAATTTTGCACGATCAACCTAAAGCTAAAATGTGTTGCGTTATGTATATTGTTGCTTTTTCTATAGTGTATGTTGGCAGAAAAGCAGAATCCTTGTAAGGTTTCGAGGGAAATGTAATTTTATGTGAGAGAAAGACAGATGAAAAGACTCCCATACACGTTGACTTAACACCTCTAATATCTAAGGAGTGCAAATGAAACACCAGACCACACGGATGAGACGAGCACAGAGTAGAGGAGTAGAGGAGGCTAAGAGGGGGGGAGAGACTGATGAGGTGAGAAGGGAGAGAGAAGGGGGGAGGAGTGGGAGTCATCACTGCAGCATCGTAGGTGAAAGCAACAGTCATCACCTGGAGTCATACTGAGGGAGCGGGGAGGAGAGGCTGCAAAATAAACACATGGAGGCAATGCAGGAGGCAAACCCCCGAAATCTAGTTTTAGTATCAAAGGTTCACAATCACTGTGGGGATCTGCAGTAACTACTGAAGATGAAAGAAATACGGGGGTGGGAAACCAAGGGAAAGAAGGTACATGACAACAAACTAAATAATATATAAATACACAGACACACACACAAAAAGTAATAATGACATGACAGATCCCAGAAAAATCAATTATTAAGCCTTCAATGATGTTCTAACACAGCTCCGTGTATATAAAGCAGGCATTTAACGTCATATATTCAAAGTGAGCGTCACATCTTATCACTTTTATCCAAATGAAACACAAGACAAGCACCATGAGCTCACAGAGAGTCTGTACTTTGTTCCTGTGATGACAGGAATAGAGCTGACGTCAGTGAACATTAGGGTGATGCCTGGACTTTGTCTCTAGACTTATGGTATGACATGAGAGCTTTAGAGGACAGACTGTTTCTTTTGTTTCTGTAATGTAATGTGTACAGTAGCAGCACTGCAGAAATCCCACAGCCCTGCATCATGTCTGCATCAGTGCTGCAGGGTTTGCTGAATATTGACTCTTTGGGGGGGAACAAAAGACAATACAGCAGTTGTGTGCATAGAAAATGTGCGATTTATGCAATAGTTATTAGGATGTACATGCAGCTTTTGCATGTAGTAAGGCTGCCTCTGTAGGATGTTTTAGTTTAAGATGATTTATTTAATCCATTAGTACATTTCCCAGCTTTTTTCATGCTAAATGATCCAAAAATCTTATCAACACATCCCTGGTAAACACAAGATTTATGCATGATTCTTTGTGTAAAAAACTCATTTCTACAGATCTGTCGATTAAATCAACTTATCAATAGGTTGTCTGAAATGTCTTAGTATGAGGACAGCCCTTGTTTGTAGTGCATGTGTGCGCATGCTGGTAGACATATCGTGATGTATGGGCGGAGGCAGTGCAGCTGTTCTTACCCAGAGTGAATGGGGCTGGACACAGTGTTGGGGCTGTGGTCCACGGTGTCCGGAGTCCAGCTGTAGCGCCGCATACACTCAGTGCTGTAGTCTCTGGTCACAGCCAGGTGCTGGGAGAGGAAGAGAGCAGGAGGAAAAGATACGGAAGAGAAAGAAGAGGTTTAACAGCGATAGGGAGGCAGATAGAGATGGGAGATGAGAAATAGGAACGTGGAATATAAGGACAGAACAAATAAATAGCGGACATAGAGGTTGACAAGAATTAATCTTTCTTCCCCGACATGTAATGGAACAACATTTGTCACCATTAACTATCCAAACATGTGGGATGGCATTCTGTTTTTCTAGTGACGTGACGGTGGAACTTTAACCCAATTGCACGTTTTGTTAAATGTTATCTGGGTTATCACACATATCCTCATCTTGATAACACACAATTTGTCACTACCCAACCAGCTTTATAATAACCATTATTCCTGTGAAAATTAAATCATGGGAGCTCATGTAGCATGGGAATGACCATTCACTAAACACAGACCACCACTAATGAATACAATGAGAGTGGAATGGACCCAAAACAAACAAATATACAGACAACTCAAAAACCCAAGAGCAATGAGAGCTGGACCACAGTGAATGAAAGATGGTAAACTGACGAATGAGTCTGACATCCATGAACTCTTTATACCTTATTGAGTGGGTCAACCAAATAGGAAATGTCATTACAGACACTCTGAAGCTAAGGGGAGAAGAGAGACAGTTCAGACGTCACAGAGGGCACCGTTGTTTCACTAAAGGGTCCAATTTCCATCTAATAAAACATGATCCGCTCTCCATGAAGATGATATGGTCCTACAATTCAGGCAAACAATCCCCAAATGAAATGAAACTGTATCTATCAAATGTAGCAGATTATAGTACACATGGCACCTAAACTGACCACCAAGAAAGAATCAACAATTTGACTGTTTGTATATTTTCAACTAGTTATAATACTAGTTTAATATGGGAAAAACATTTGTGTTTGTTTTGTAAAAGAGGAGAGTTGAGTGCACATTTAGGCCGTGATTAGTTTAAATATTGGGTGATGTCATTGGACATTTTGAGTTATATTACTAATATTGTTTATTATAAGAGGTTACAGTTTCTGTTTTTGCTCCTGACTACCAAAACAAGCATGAAACACAGCGTTTTTCCCTGAGGAGGGAAAGAGGGGCCTCCTGAAGCCCTTAGGTTTGAATAAACTCTTCGTCAAGGTGCCATATACTCTCCCTCAGCACTTTGACAAGAGAAAGCATGTCATCAACACTGCTTCTGTTATGGCCTCTGTGCAAGAGAAGTAACGCCACCCTACTTTCAATTCTACAGAGTCTGTTTTTTCCCTAAGAAGTCATTGACAATAATAAAACAAGAGATGCACCTGGGGAGAAGAGAGACATCAAAGCTTAAAAAACAAACGTAAAACATGTCAAGGAAGTAACAGTGAGCATAGAGTTGGGTTGGGCTGGGTATAGAAGGTTAAAAATAGACAGTGTGGAGATAAAACACCAAATATGACGATAAATGGTCTTACCGTGTCTTTTGTGGGCGCCAGAATCTCTTCAATCATCATACTGTCCCGAGCGAAGGAGCTCCGGTTGAGTGTGTTGGACCTATCCGAACTGAAGGAGCGGAGGCTACATGTTACCACGCAACCCGGTGCCGTGGGCAACAACAAGTGACGGGCAGGGGAACACGACACAAAACAAAAAGCAAGGAATCCATTACTACATGCAACCTCCAGGGAACCAGGTTGTTTTACTCGCTGGACAGAGAGTGTCCATAAGTGGAAAATAGAGAGGGAGAGGCTGAAGAGCCTGCAGTTTGAGCAAAGATAAGATACTGCAGCAGGTTGTTCAGAGATGGAAATGTGAGGTCAGTGTTGTTTGCATTTAGAGATAGAGGGAAATAGGAACAGACTTATAGAAAGCAGACGGCTGTTTATACTTCTACAGGAGTGTGGTTAATGTGATACACGAACACGGATATAACGTGTATGAAATATGATAGATTAGTCGACGTCTTTGTGCCAACCTTGTTTTGACAGTATAAAAATGACGTTTGCTTGAAAGTGAATCAGTTAAATTTGACTTGTGTTTGAGGACTGACATTTCTTTGGTCTAAGATTAGCAGCTGACCTAGACCTGATTCTGAGCAGCAGAAACATAAAAGGGACGCTGGTATTTTTCTATCTGTCTTGCTGCAGTCTGCTGTACGGCTGTGTGTGGTGACTTGTGCCTATTTGTGCATCCTCTCAATGCAGTGCCGATTCCTTTCAGGGTTTTTTTTGTCTTGTGCTGTTTTTGCTACAGGGATTTGATCAAGGCGTAGCAGCCGAACGCACAGTCCCGATACTCTGAGTTAAATGTTGCGCACTGGTATGGGCAAACAGTATAAATAATATACGATGATATTTTATATGGTTGCGCACTATAAGAGACACAATGCCAGTGACAAAGCTGACAGCTCTGTGCTTTATTTGTGCATACTGCATATGTGTGTATTGATGTGACCTGTGTGTGTGTGTGTGTGTGTGTGTGTGTGTGTGTGTGTGTGTGTGTGTGTGTGTGTGTGTGTGTGTGTGTGTGTGTGTGTGGAGTGGGGGAGAGGGGGGAGCAAGGAGGGGATAAAATGCAGAGCTCAGCATGTTTGAGTGGGCACACTATTCAGCACAGAGAGAAGCCCTTTATTCAGCACAGCCTGCCTACCCCACCATCGAAGTTACCAAGCGACTCTGTACGGTCTGAATGGACTTGCTGGCATGTCAGCATGGCGCTACCCCCCTGAACCCCCCCCCCCCCCCCCCCATAGCTCTCAGCCAGACTCTGTTTGTTCTTCACAGCTTCATCGTCTATTTCATCCTGTCTATCCTCTTCTCTAAACATCCAAGCTTTTTTTCATTTCCTGCCTCACTGCTCATTATCTTGGCTGTCCTCTTTATCGTCTGTCATCTATTCCTGGACGTTATGCCAACTCCCAGCACTTCTTCTTCATAAAGCTGTCCCATCATCTCTTCCTCTCTCTACTGTCTCCATTTCAGATTTGTTGCTCTTTGGTTATCTGACAGTTTACTCAATGGAAGACTTGTTTGACTTTTTCTCTACTTCGCTGAATTCCTCTAACCCCATCCTTCTCTGTCCCCTTTGTCCCTCTTTCCACACCACTCCCATCATTTAACTGTAGATAAGTCTGCCTTGCTGTAAACTACACTTTCCATTATCCAGAAACATGTTTCATTTCTTTCTCACATCTCTTTTTATGTACAAATGATCCTAGGTCTATGTGGACCTAAAGAGACAAATGCTTGAGTCATTGTTTGTTTATGTAAGTGTTTATGCGCGGATGCATCTGCGTATGTGTGACCGCCTGTCTGTCCTTGATGATTTCTAAATTCTTAAATAAAGAATCCAGAGAAATTTCATAAAGTTTCCATCTCTGCAAACCATGATTTCACATCCAGAATCATCCAGATAAATGTCCAATTATTGTTGATTAAATTGGATAAAAGTTGTGGATATTAACAACCTGATGTGTTGATCCCTGGAAGTTACACCAAGTGGCACTACAAAAGTGCCACTTAAGAACAAGCCACATCGAAAAGTTATAAAATGAGTCCACACAACTCAAACTGAAAAACTCTGCAAAACAAGAGTGGCTTTCATTTACTCATTTCCAGCTTTTTTTCAAACCTGCATGAAAACATACATTTTCAGTTTGAAGATAAGATGATTTTTTTTTAATAAGGATGATCAAATATGGTGGATGGTGATCAGATCAAATGAGCAGCAATCTTAAAATACAAAACGTCACGGCGACAACACATCTGGTACCACAAACAGCAACACTGGATGGCACTAATCACAATGAATGACTTGTGGTTTGGGTTTGCGGTTTTATGTAGTAGTACAGAGGGTGAAGGGGGGACAACATTCACAGCTTATGGCGTCTACAACTACTACAACGACTATTCTTTTCTTACCTGAGTCTAGGGCTAGAATGAGGGACACGGTGCAAGGAGAAGATCAAAATAGAAGTGTGAAAAGCAAAGCATTTTGGAGACATTCAAGCAGGATGTGGCTTTCTTTTCCCCCCATATGACATTGAAGCTGAACTTTTGCATGGTTGCACTCAACGACTAGGCACAAGCGATTATAGGTTTTAGTGTGTGTGTGTGTGTGTGTGTGTGTGTGTATGCAGCCCAGTCAAAAAGCAAACCATGCAATGTCGATGTCATAAACAGAAAGGTAAGGGAAAAGAAAAGAAGTAGCTCAGCATCAAACATTAATTGATCAATAATTACAGTATTTCAAAGCATTAAATACACAACCCTGCACCATCTCAACTTCTATTCTACAACGCAATTACACAAAAAAGTAAACAGTTTTTGTACGCCGCTCTAATCTGTAGCAGATGGAGATAATAATATTTCTCACAATAATAACTTTTGTCTGGAGTACCCTCAAATACCAATAAACTGTTAACAAAAAGTAAACAAACAGTAATTCTGAGCAAATGACTTCAGATTCAAATCATCAAATGTGGCCACAGACCTGTTTTCACTCGAATAATAACAATGTTATGCAAACAATAACTCCCACATTAAATTAAAAACTCTTTCCAATAAACTACCCACCAAGCTCATCATTGTTTACATGGAATATCTCCCTTATTTGCTGAGACCTGTTGTTTGAAGCAGCTTCCTGTCACAGTTAGTGTAGTTGTTTATCAATCCAACCATCACAGTATGTCTGCCATCTGTCAGCGAGGCAACAATACACACTGTGTCCACACACACTCCTCCTGTGTGTGCTGCTGATGTGTTTTCACTGGAGCCTGCCAGTGTTCCACAACACACTTTGTCCACTATTGGAAACTGTAGCTAGGTGGGCCTGTAGAGAATCCCGACGTGCAGCTGTTCATCAAGGGTATCAAAGGCATCACTGTCACAGATACAGCTCGTATCTCTTGTGTTACACTATGGCCCATTTGTAATCTTTGCATGGGCCACACAAAACGCTGAATCATTTTGTCAGGTGCAATCATTGCATGGCAACTTTCCAGATGCTATCGCTAGCAATTTCCATTATTCTGTTTTTGTTTGAGTGTGTGTGTGTGTTGGTGGGGCTGTACATTATATGATCTATTTCAGTCCAACATAGACTAAACAATATCCATACCAAAGCATTGCCATCATAGGGTGAACAACCACCTCATGAATTGATAATAGATATAAACATAATCTGGCCACAATATTCTAAGGACAAGTTGGAAATAGTAGTTGTCTGCACTGCACCAGTACACCAGTGAATTTAATAATATAAATGACAGGTGCTTACCTGGCTGAGCGGGCTCCTATGCTGAAACCCATGTAGCCCTCCTGAGGCAGGGAGTCGTCCCCCAGCTCTTTGAGGTCCTGAGGCCGCAGGTATTTGTCCGTGTCCCCGGTCATCGCATCCTCACCTGGTGGAGGGGATGAAATCATAAAATCCTCCTGTTATCTCAAAAAGCCAATCCAGGCAAAGTGAGGCGATGCGGCATCTCAAGAAGAAGAAAAAAAAGCCCACACTGCCGACATCACTCTCTCATTTATCAGATTATGTTACTTAGAGGAGGCCTTGGATAATTTATTAAAACCCAGTTTCACATACTAGGCTACCTCACTGCAACGGCATAGCCCACTGCAACTTTGTCTATTCATTTTGACTGAGACACAACAACAACAACACTGAGCAGCGCCAATGCATGTCTGTTAGAGAGGTAAAACAATAATCAGTTTGTAGAAAAATGCCATAAACAGCAATGCCATTTTGCGGTATATCTGGAGCTCTCCTGTAAAACAAAACGCAGCTCCTTTCACAACACTGACACACAGCGCGCAGCAGAGGCTTTAACAGAGACCCAAAGCTTGGGCACAAACAGCAGAGAAACAGCAGAGAGAGCGGAGCAGCACCTCGATCAGCGGACCGGTGGACGATGACACGCCGGTCAATGAAGCCGGCGGAGCGGCTACTGTGTTTCCCCTTCTCCCTCATGTCCTGCTCTGTCCTGCCTGCAAACACTGCGCTCCTTCACCGCAGCCCCTCCCCCTGCCTTCAATACTGCCGCACTCCGATCACACACCGGCAACAGTGGCAAGCTAGATGACGTTAAATTAAGCATTTCCGGTGTCCAACTTCAAAATAAAACTTCAGGTGAAAGGATTGTGATTGTCAAACCTCAATTAAGATAAAAAAGCTAACACTATCTGTTCGGGAAATAATTGTCCTAGACTCCTAGATATGACGTGCATGACCAACCCTGACGTCTGTTATCTCCTTTAAGGAGATAGGCTGCTTCAGCCATAATGTTATTGTTCCCATTCTATGACCAAACAACCCTGGGTCACAGATGGTTTATTGTTCTGGGTACACTGGGACACTTCCTTCTCTGTGTTTGTGGACTCCAAGGTGTGAAATCTTCGAGGCCATAAGTGTCAGACGCAAGTAACTCAGTGTTCCCAACTGTTTAGGCTATCTTCTCAAATATGTTGATTACTCCGCGAAACCAGTTAAATGCAGGCGCTCCAGAATTGACGTGGCAACTCTCCCGTGCAGTCAGACCGTGGCTGCTGTGACTTGTGATGTGAATTCTCCGGCCGAAGCTCCAAATAAACCATCAGTGTTTGACATCAAAGCTCCTACTCTTCCCGTGTCTCTTTCCTGAGTCGGTGACTCCCACTGCATTGCTACACAGAAGTTTCCCTTACACTATCTATTTAAAACGTATGGAGCCACGTGCTCAAATCAACTCTACAAAAGCAATATGCAAACAAAATATTCACCTCAAAGTTATCTTAGGAAATACTGTGGTATTGATGTAAATGCTTTCGTCTGGGTGGCAGTGCCGCATTCACCACGATTCCTGAATAAATGACTAACTTGTGTTGAAACTTCTACTATTTACAACAGGAATGAAGGCTTATAAAAGTGTTATGCATTTGATCTGTGCAGCCAAATACTCCTTATTCCTGCGTGTTAAGTCAATATTATCATCAAACAAGTGTTTTCTCTCAGCATACTCTTTATAATATATATATATATGTATATATATAATATAATAATAATAATTTAGTCCCAAAATGAAAAATCTGAAAACAATGCTATTAACATGTAGTTAGTATTTATCTATATAAATTAAGCAAACGAATACAAATGCAACAGTTAAGACTTACTGCAGTTTGTTTCCAGTTATAAGAAGGAATTAGAACATACTAAATCGATATTTAATTATTTAGAAACACTCATCTCTGCACATTTTGTGTGCATGTCAGAGTAAAACGTTTGTTTTGTTAAGAATGTTGTGCTTTTGTTTTGATGGTAAATTTGAGCACATTACTTCCGGTGTTTTTCCAGCTATTTCTGTCTGACTTGACAAAACTGGAAAACAATTGACTCCGCGTTGCTGTAAATATATCACCGTCCCATTCAAGTAGAGATAGCCGAACACACATAACCCACCGCGCAAAATTCACACACACACACACACACACACACACACACACACACACACACACACACACACACACACACACACACACACACACACACACACACACACACACACACACACACACACACACACACACACACACACACACACACACACACACACCTGTTCCTATTATATACTTTCAACCTAAAGCACCTTCTGTGTTACAAAGTCACCGCATCAAACACACACTCTCTCTCTCCTCTCACTAGCAGCAGACAAATATCCACAAAAAACAAATAGCTGTTTGAATTGCCATCTATCACTTCAGTACATTGAAAAGGAAATACAAATAATAATTTGCGAATCTGTTATTCTCGACAGTCTGCAATTTACGATCTATCCTCTAGTTTTTTTGTTTTGTTTTTTACATTTTAACCTTCAAAACATCAACATCACTCCATTTAAACTTCATCAGACGCTCTTACGAGTCACGACTTACCTTTTTCCAACGCAGCCATATTGATCGCAACTATTCTTATATTTCCCGAGGAATTTCTAGTGCTCCGCGAAACGTCCCCAGAATGAAGAGTAAATCCAGTGAGAGGTGAGGACTATCAAGTGGTCTATTCAGTGCTTCTCGTGCTGATAGAAAATGTTGCCCTCTCTTCACCCCACGCACTTACTGTAACTCCACAAAGACCAAACATGCACTGTTGCGCACATCTCCGCCTCCCTCTCCGGAAAGTCACACAATTCAATGTTGTTTAACTTTTGCGTCTTCTTACTGCAACACAGTGCACATTGCAGGTCAGAAAGAGTGGGAGTAAAGCCATCTGCGGCCACACCGGGGTTAATACTCCTGCAGGAGGCTCAGAAAAGCTCATCTCATTGGATTTAAAGAGAGAAAGTCTCCGTGCCACTTTGGCTCAACAGCATCCAGAAACTCCGACTGAAGAGAGTCAACAGGAGGCTCGCTGAATGTTTACCGCTCAGTGGAGAGCAGTCAGCTGACAGGTCGCTGGATCAAATGCTTTGGAAATGCAGAGGAGACAGAGACAGGCCCGGCTCCAGGATGAAATGACTGAGGGGGCTGTTAAAAAATCCGAGGGGGCGATTTTTTTTTTCTCACAACAACGAAAAATACTGGCAATGTAATGAATTGACACACCAAGCTTTTTTCCTTCTCACTGCTCTACAATCTCTTTGCTTCTTTATTTGTATTCCGGATTCACCCCTCTCATTCTGTTCTTTTCCTCTGATCTTTAATAACAGATAGTACATTATTAGATGGCTGCACTTTGGTTAACAGACTAACATTGATTTCCTCCATTTATAAATTGGCTCTGTAATTATACCATAACCTTTTCTCCTCTATCCTTTAACTCGTCTTCCTATACAGATGTTACTTACTTACTATCTATCTATACAAATGTATCTGGTTGATTTTTTATTTCCAGGATTGAATGTTCAGACCAAGGCCTAAAACCTGGCATTTCATAAGAAAGTGACTAATATATAAACCAAATGTAATATTGGATAAAACACTACACCAAATGGACAGACACAGATTCAAAGTAAAGTCCCCTGGTTTGTCTCTAGAGTCAAACTGCCATGAGAACAATCAAATCAATGTTCCACAATCCGCCACTAGATGTCGCTCATTGTACCAATACGGTTTATATAATACAGATTACCACAACAGAGCTGTGCAAATGAATTTCCCCCTGGGGACAATAAATCTAATCTAAACTAATGTAATATTCAATCCCATACTTGGCAATTGAGAACATACATTCGTAACTTACCTCGTTTAAAGTACTTTTGTTGTAATACTATGAATTTATCCAATATCTCGTGGGCAGGTACATTGAATTAGAAGAAGAAGTAGTAGAAGAAGAAGAAGAAGAAGAAGTAGAGGTAGAAGAAGAAGTAGAAATACGCTAACGCTACAAAAAGGCACAACACTGTTACTCTGTTTTTACTGACATGTAACATGTTATTTCACCTTGCTCTGTTTTTTAACGCACATACAAAAACGGGAACATTTTCGGGAGTTTCAACCTGGTACCGGCCACCAGGACTTTGCCTGGAAAACGGGGACGTTTTGGTCACCCATCCGACTGTGTTTACAGCTAAGCACACACGCTAACATTAAGACTACAAGCTCACTTGGGGTTGAGGCTTGTTTACACGTTGCTTGACCCACACATCTGATCTAAACATAGTAACGTGTGTTGGGGAAAATAATTATTTAAAGTTATTTAATAATCGTGACATTTATTGTACTTTTTGATGGATTAATGATGCTCAATGTGAGGGGGCAAATAAGACAACTGAGGGGGCAATGCCCCCTTTTGCCCCCTCGTGGCACCGGGCCCGGACAGAGACCAGAAGAAAAATCTCCCTGAATACTCCTCCTGTCTTTTTTTTCCTGGTGGAAGCCTGGCTGCATGTCAAACTGGCAGTGGGGATAACATAATGATGAAATAACCACCCTCATGTTCCCTTTTTTCATTATTATTGGGCAACATTTTTCTTTCTTATAGCCTACACACTGACTAAAACTTGAAGTTAGAACAATTATGTAATATGTACTTGACAGTTAACTAACGATTATTTTCATTGAAGGGAAATGTTTTATTTATTTCCTCAATATTTTTTTTTTTTTTAATATGGCCAAAAATGTTAATCAGTCCTTAAATGTCTTGTACGATCAACAACTGTTTGAGTTGTTACCGAACTGTCATAGAAGCATAAAGAAACCATAAACTATTTGAATGTAAGGAGCTGGAATAATACAATTTAGATTGTGAATCAACCTGTTTAATTGATTATCAAAAGATGTACTTACTATACTTAATATTTAACAAATAATCATTTAATTTCTGCTGCTCTAGTTGACAGTTAAAGACCTTCAGCATACCAACTGTAGTAACGTCCTCTAATGCCAGTCAGGGATTACAAAGATACTCTACTCTGAGAGACAGCAGAGCACAACACAACACAGAGTTAAGTTGCGCTAAAGATGGTACAATTAGTGTGGCTATAGTATCCATAGAAAGCATGAGAAGAGATGCGCGCACACACACACACACACACACACACACACACACACACACACACACACACACACACACACACACACACACACACACACACACACACACACACACACACACACACACACACACACGACAGCCAGAGACCAGGAGTGACCCTCACACCTACAACTTAATAGGATTGGCTTCCCCCATATAGGAGTAAACCGAGATGTGGAAACGCTGTACTTCGTTTAACACACACACACACACACACACACACACACACACACACACACACACACACACACACACACACACACACACACACACACACACACACACACACACACACACACAACAAAATATGAAGGAGTGAGTGCTGTCAGCTGAATAAAGCCAGTCTTGTGCTGCTTTCTGTTTCTGAAGGCGAATATCATTGTACCGCCTTGCACGAGTACAAATGTTGATGTATTATGCGCACAGTATAAACAGTTTATGTGGAGGACATAAGGCCGTGGAATCCTATTTACAATTCCTGCATGGTAGTGATAACACACTGAATCATAGTTATGCCAATGAGGATCTTCATCATACAGCCACAGTGCAAACTCATCCTTTATCACCTGATATGTGTGTGTACGTGCAACTTGTTGAGTCTAGCTGTATCACCTGACATAGAAACTCCAACCCCCCCCCCCTGAATGTCCACTAGGCAACGGCCCATGCACAAGCTCATCAATTTTGCAGGCCTGTTGGCTCGCTGGTTCCAAAACAAAGGGCAGAAGACTGAAGTGGGCAGCATGAAACAATGTGACCTGGCAGCGCTACAGAAGCTATTCTGATGCTAACTATGTTACGGTGAATGTTGTGTTATTTATTGAGGTTTACAGTGAGACAGGATTATTTCATTTACTCAATGCAGGACTTTTTCATAATCGGTCATGTGAACTCTAAAGTGAGTCACATTGGCCTTGTTTTTATTTTTGAGTTGCAGTGAAAATAACATCAGTTTGTGAATAGAAACAAACACTTTAACCTCCTTGAAAACCAAGACCAGATTCAAGGGTAAAACAGCTCAAAAATAAATGTCTTTAAATAGATTTATTCCAAAAAGTGGAAGTGCATTCAGATTCTTCCCTTGATATTATCTATTGAGATGTAGCAGCAAAGCTGAATAGTAGTTTCCGGCACATCGGCCCGGACTGTGAGATTTACAGTGAAACATGCATATGTTAATGAAATGATATCACATAGCACAAAGTAAAAAATCAGGCAGTGCATTAATATAACTTATTGTTATCAAGCTGCAGCAATAGTTTGCAAGTATCAATTAATGACATTTTAGTAATAAATGGCTGATAATGAGGAGGCATTAGTAAAACTATTGCTTTTTTCACATACCTTCATCGTCAGACATGTCGAGGAACTCATTCATGGTCTCTGGGACGTTGATTTTGTGTTTTTCTGAAGCACTCTGTAAATGTCGAAACAATATGAACAATTCAGTTTTGGCAAAATAGTAACAAACTAATCTTTGTTCTGGAATACATTGGTTTGCTAAAAGAAAAGTGAAAAATAATTGAAGTTATTACATTTGACAGATTTTACATAATTTTCTATGGATATTACGATAATATCTTTATTGTGAATACTTTGGTCTCAATAATTGTGTTGTGTTCCAATTTGAGAATTTGAGTAAAATTGCGGCATTATATTTTTGAAAGAATACGATAACATACCAAATTATTTGACTGCTGATATCTATACTAAACTAAGCTCTATACTAAACATATTGAAGGTGCTATATCACCCCAAACTATAAACATTTTAGAGACAATTGTGACAAGATGAGTGTCTACATTCCAACCAAAGTGTGACCTTCACGTGTGTTTCCTAATATGGATGTTAAAGTGAATCTGAGCCCTGGCCCCTCAGGCACAGTAAGATGTAATGGTGCTGTGTGTGTGAAGGCCACACATTAACACACACAACTGACCACAGGCTGCAGATGTAGGTTCAATAGAGACATAAAACAACACAGAGGCGTCTGCACAGGGAATAATAGATCCATCACACAGAGGAGCAGGGAAACGACCTTGATCTTTAAGTAACTTCACTGTACACAGAGACAGTCACAGCTAATTCACTTTGCTGCCGATTGCGCAGGATCCTCAGTGACCTTTCTGTCCCCCCCCCTCACTCCTGTCACCTCTCCATCATCCTACTCCTTCCTCTTCTTTACTACTTTCTCCTCCTTCTTCCCTCCCCCTCTATCTCCTGACATGTGTGTGGATCAGATCGCTGTTAGTGACCTGAGCTATTTGAGGAGAAACCTTAATCTCCAATCTCTTTGTGTCTTAATCAGGACAACTTCACACATGTGACCCAGCGTGACTTACTGACTTACTTGCTGGCTGATTTGCAGGACACACACACTGACCCCACTTACAGTATGATGCTGTCTGACCAGCCAAGTCTTAATATGAGAGGGGAATTGGTCTCCATTTAGTTCAATACAGCGGCTCATTCAGGAACACTAGTGGTTGTAAATGTTTTTATCTAGAAGCGATAAATAATTGAAACTTTACTTAAGTATATTTAATGTTTTTAGCTAACAAACAACCACAATTCTATACTATTTATCTCACATTGTGAAGTTTTAAATCCTTACTTGCCTTGATGTTGATTGATAACTTTTTTAAAGAGCTTTAAGTTATTTTCCTATTCAGAAATAAATAAAAATGAATAGCTGCCTGCAAAGTAGGAAAGCAATTAAAACATATCACTATTTTAATACTTTGTAAATAAGTAAATGAGGCAAAGCATATGAGATTTAGTAGTGTAGGAAAACACGTAAAAAGTATGGTAATTTCAACTTTAAAACTATGCTAAATTCCCACTTTTCAAATCATTGTATACTGTTTCATATTCTCTGGTACAGAAGAATCAAAAATATGAAACAACTTTTTAATTATAAACAGGTTAATTTCTTGGATTTATTGCATTAGCGTGGCTTTTGTATTCATATTAGGGTTGAAATGGTGATGTGATTATATTATTATCTATATATTGTGTGCATTTAATCATATGAGTTAACAGAAAACTGGCCCTTCAACAGTGTTTTTTTTTGTCAGACAGTTTAGGTCTGACAAATAAACGGTTTATTTCTATTTCGAGATGTTTATATTGTAGTATTGTTTATTTCTACTCTTTTAATGTGTTATTATGTGCAATGTCTTGTTTTGTTTTATGCTGCTGCAACAAAAACATTTCCCAAATTGGGATGAATAAAATACCTCTTATCTTATTTGATGAGATACCAATGAAAGGACTTAGTGTCTCACCATGGTGGTCAGGTTTTCGTCCGTCACAGGCCTCAGAGTGTCGACCACAGAGATGTATCCGAGACGGCGGGCGATGGACAGGGCAGCGTTCCCATTCTGAGCAGAAACAGGAAGTTATTCACAGGAGGCAGACAGAAAACAGAGCGTTCGTTATTTCATCAGCTCTGTTGGAGCATGTGTGTGTGCCAGTGTGTTTGTGCACTGACCAGAGTGAGCTCGTTGGCCGAGGCCCCGTGCTGAAGCAGCAGGTTGATGATGTGGGTGTGGCCCTGCTGAGCCGCTTGGTGTAGAGGAGTGTACCCGTTCTACAGACACACAAACATCCAGGGAATAATATGATGATTTAGAAGATCTATTATATAAAACTACAACATTGTGCATGAGAGTGTGTTTAGGTGGGTGAACATGTGCTTTTATACCTTTGTTTTGCCATTCACTCCGGCATGGTTCTGCAGCAGGATGTTTGCCATCTTTGCGTTGCCATAGTGACAGGCCACGTGCAGCGGTGTGTAACCCATCTGCAGGAGGAAGAGACAGAGACGTTAAAGGGCGACGAGAGGAAAAAAGGTGGAATATACCCTATACGGACTGAATACCTCATCTTGTTACATCACAGTTTCTTAATGAACTAGCTTTTATGTTAAAGTGAATTAAATGCAAGGTACCAAGGGCTTTTCGTACACATTTGAATTATTATATGAGAGAAAACTCATGGTTTATATGGGAACAATTTATTAACCTCTTTGTCTAAGCATGCTATCTCTGATTGTAAATACAACGTCCAAGCTGTGTCATATTTCATGTCCTTGCTGAATTATGAGTACAGTGCATTATGGTAATGGAGGAGATCAGTGAGTGAATAACCTCTTTGCTGTAAACAACTGTCGTGTCAGCACAAATACACACAGACCCACGTACACACAGTACATAACCTTGTGTTAGTCCAACCTTCAGCTGCTGCAGGTTTGTCTCAGTGAACGTGAGCAGCCTTTTATGGGGCCCATATGTGTGTGTGTCTGTGTGTGTGTGAATGAAACTGGCAGAGTGTGACTGAATAAAAGAGCATGTGTGTGTGTGTGTGTGTGTGTGTGTTTGCTGCAGTGCAGGGAGCATCCATAAATGCATGAACACCTTCCACTCAGGTAGCAATCCTTTATTTATGTAGCACCTGAGATGATCGCAGACTAGTGTGTGTGTGTGTGTGTGTGTGTGTGTGTGTGTGTGTGTGTGTGTGTGTGTGTGCCTAAGAGTGTGTGAAGTGGAATTTATAGCCGCTAATAAACTTTACAGAAAATTCCACTTAAAAAGGAAAACACAAAAGTGATGTGTGATTGACGGCTTTTCACCAAACCTTAGCGGCTAAAAGAGATATAAAGACCCTATCAGTGTGTGTTTCATACGTTTATATATAATATCTGAGAAAGCTTCACCTTTGTTTGTGGGTTGACATCAGCACCGTGGTTGAGAAGGACTTCTGCAACATTGACCTTGTCCTCCTGAGCTGCTAAGTGGAGTGGTGTAAGTCCGCTCTGTATAACAGGAAAGGACACACACAATCATGTACATTATGCTGGGAGCACATAACAAGACTGAAACATGCTATCTCTCACAGGAAACAGGATGCTGGAAACATACTTTAAAGACCCATCTGTTTTTCTACAGTATCTTTATCTCGTTCCCAAAATGGTGATGCTAGCATTAAAGCAGATCTGCATTTGTGTGTTTGAAGAATCTGCATAAAGGAATTCACTTGTTTTGTAACTGAGCATACTGCAGCTACGTCACTGCTCTCACCTTATTGCACGTGTTGACGTTGGCGTTCTTTGTCAGCAGCAGGGACACCAGGTCCACGCTGCCCTCCTGCGCTGCCAGGTGGATCGGGCTGATGCCCTGCCGCGTCACTGCGTTGGTGTCCGCGCCGTACTCCAGCAGTGTGGTCCCAATGTCCATTTGGTTCTTTTTGGCAGCGATATGGAGCGGCGTGTAGCCATTCTGAGGCAGGTTGAAAGAGACGCAGGAGTTAAAGGGTTGGAATGAGCTCTTTTTCCTCTGTGTATTATTTTTTGTCTATTTCAGTGTACTGAGAAATGGCAAGCTCAGAGGTTCAGTAGAGGGCCTTTTACATCATGTATTAATTTGGGTTCTGAATCTAAATAGAATCAACTTCATACATTGAAGACTATATGAAGTATAGAAATGTTATAGGATGGCCATTCAATTCAATAACACATATTACTTGAACAGGACAGAAAAGTATTTGGCTACACTGGAATGCCAACTAATGAGCTTCGATAAAAAGGAGTAATAATAAAAACAAGGTCAGAAGTTTCAGTAGTGCATTACACACTGTAACTACAATCACAGACTGAATATAGAGGGATAAAGGTTTGGCATCACAACCAAAAAGGCGTGATGCATAGATTTCCATATCAACATACAGTATTATGCATTTAGTTATGACACAAAATCTAAGGTGATGTGATCTAACAATTTGTTCTTAGCCGTGGATTGATTAAAGTGTCAAAATAAGTGTGTCTGTCATCCAATAAATGTTGATGAACATGATCCACGTGAACTACTTAAGTCACTAAAGTGTTTATAGTAACACCTATGTCACAAATTAAAAAATAAAAATTCTGATCTTCCTGTCTTTAGTCCAGAGATATGACGCATGAGAAATGTGTTCTGCGATGACTCTGATCATACTCTGTTTGCATGTGTGTGTGAAATTGCTTCTAGACAAGGAGACAGATTGATCCCTTTCCAAAAGTCCTTAAATTACACAAAGCACACACATTTAAGCACCCAGCCAAATTAAACACAATTTATAGAGGTAGAAAACTAAGAGAAAGGGAAGCAAAGAGACATGACGAAGAGTGTGGGAAGGAGGAAGGAATAAATAGAGCTAGCTAGAGCACGTATAAATTAGCTTTACAAGCTTTTGTCTCCTCTAGCGGGGCACATTAAATGTTAGTTGACAGCCGAAAACAGTCATTTCCTGCCGTATTTTGGTTAGTGGTTCTGCCATTCTGCTCATACTTGCTCTGTGGTTTTGACACACTACAAAAGCAAAGCAGGAGACTAACCACAACTCCACCATGTGTCAACGGCCATGTGTGAAATGTCTGTCGGACATTTCAACAAGAGCAACAAAAGTGTTTCTTATGAGAGCTTTTTATTGGGAACACACAAAATATACAGCTCTGGAAAGGACTTCAGAGAGTGGGTGGTTTTGTCGTAGTGGAGGACTGTTGAGTAACTTAGGACATGTGTAACACAGTCCTTTCACATGTGCCCTCCAGTGCTGTTTTACAAGAAATAGGAAAATATAGCAAACCACCAGTGCCAATATGCTGACAGTATGAGCTACATTTTGGCTGGTCGAGTGATTTCAAAGAATTTGCTGAGCTCAAAGGAAAAGCTGCATATTCACTCAAAGAATGGACAAGAGGAACTGGGAGCAAAAGGGTCACTATTACATGTTCATACATTACATACACAAGATTTCCAATGGTGTGAGATGGCACTGAGAGTAAAAGCCAGGTAGATTATTTGTAGTTGTAGTATGTGTGTGAATGCGTGTTTGTGTGGATACCTTGGCGGCAGCGTGTGGGGAAGCTCCCTGATCCAGCAGGAGCAGAGCCACTCTCTGATTATCGTAGTGAGCGGCTACATGCAGAGGAGTTAGCCCACTCTATAACACCCAAGCACACACACACACAAGCAAGTAGCAAAACACCAGGTTAGAGGATTGCCGAAAAGTAAAATAAAAGAACCAGTTTGTTAATGCCATGGAGGGAGATCGACATCAAATTGATGGAAGAAAGTTAGTGCAGGAAACAGTTTAAAGCAACAACATAATGCTGAAACCTAGATCAAGAAAAAGCTAAGGGGGATAATGTCTTGGCTATAGCCACTTAAATCCATCTCGACAACGTCACATTTGATCCCATTGTTTTTTTTAATGGTTTATTTAGCTTAAGTAAGATCATTTCCACATATAGTAATGCAGTTGTACACCCTACAACATGTGAACAGACTTTGTCGTGTTGTTCATCTTTATCCTACATGTTATGTGAAACAATTTTGAATAGCACCAAAGTTGGAGATAGATGATTTTATGGGACAGTGATGAATCAATTATTCATATGTTAGCATTAGTAGGAGGAGCAGCACCATTAGAGTGCTAGCAGCAGCAGTAGCAGCATGTTACATCTTATATTAGGGTTGAGACCCTAAAATAAAATGGGTATGCAAGTTTGCGCACTCTGAGCTACACCCAAAGTATTCCAGTCACACAGTAATCAGCTTATATCACAGGAAGCTCCCTGAGCCCCTATTATGTCCTTCATATTGAAAATAAAGTTGAATTTACTCGGAAAGAGTGAGCAGAATATATCCTGATAATCTCATGAGCTGTTGTGATGTTACCTGGAGAGATGTGAAACTTAAATCATATTTTGGGTAAAAACCTGAAGAAATCAAATAAAGTTTTGTTGTCTCTCATTTTTCAACAAAACAAACCTAACTTAAACCAAAGTAAAGGTCTGATTTTGTTGTTTTTTGGACTGATAGTAGGACACCACAGAGCAGTGTGGAAGCTTCATTATCATACCTGTTTGCCATTATGCTAAACGCTCTCAGATGGTGGCACACACACACGCACGCACGCACGCACGCACGCACGCACGCACGCACGCACGCACGCACGCACCCACACACACACACACACACACACACACACACACACACACACACACACACACACCACACACACACACACACACACACACACACAACTAGCTAAATAAGTGCATCAATATGTGTGTGTGCATGTGTGTACAAATGCGTTTGGACACGGCTGCATGCGGAGGTGGAATAAGTGCATCACCAGGGGAATAAAAGAAGGTTTTCTCAGCACGAGCATCTGTTGGCTCTGTTGTCCTGGGATCAGTCTTAAACCTACCTCACAACACCCCCCCACCCCCCTTATCACCTCCACCCCTGTGTCCTGTTGCAGCTTGGATAATACAACAGTTTACTCTCCTATCTGCATCTGACGAAGAGATAGGTTGGTGTGCTCCCTATCTCTGTTTCTTATCCTATATCTAATAGAACTGCTCGGGTCTTGATAGATTGAGTGGGGAAGTTCATGAGATCTTTCTAGAGGGTTATCAAGAATAACTTGTATCCAATGACCTTTTCCCTCTCTGTCTGTGTCTGTGTATTCTCTTGTTCCGATTAACCCAGCCAAATGTTTTCTTGTTTTGTGTCTATATCTACACCGGGATCCGGAGTCGAGGCTGATCCTCTTGCTGTAGTCCTGTGTCCTGGATCCTCTATCCTGAGTTCTGGATTAAGTCGTGGACTTCGGGTCGTGGCTGAACCTGTCTCTGCGGTCCTGCCTTGGGTCTCGTCATGTTGCTTCCCTGATGGCTTCCACAGGATTGTTGCTGACATCCTCGTGGATTCATCTTCTTATTACAGACACATGCATTTCCTAACATTCGGTCTATATGCTGTAAATGTATTATCTCTTCAATTTACACACGGCATCTATTGCACGTCTGTCCGTCCTGGGAGAGGGATCCCTCCTCTGTTGCTCTCCCTGAGGTTTCTCCCATTGTTCCCCTTTAAACTGTGGGTTTTCTCTGGAAGTTTTTCCTTGTACGATGTGAGGGTCTAAAGATAGAGGGTGTCGTTTTTCTCATACTGATATTCTGAACAATCTGTGCTGTTGTATTTGCTGTAAAGTGTCTCGACTGTAGGCTATTTTTATTATATGTACAGCACTTTGGCTCGACCAAAAATCGTTTATAAATGTGCTATATAGGGTTGGGAACCGAAACTCGGTTCCAGATGAGAACCGATAAGAAAATGCCGGGTACCGGGTACCCATACAAAATACACAATTTCGGTTCTGCTTAACGGTTCCTAAACGCGGTAGACCCTGTATTCCAGCGGGTCCGTCTGCACCGCGGTGCTGCGGTGACCCGGTGGAATACAGGGCGGACCTGGAGAATCACAGAACGGCCGGTCGTCAGCGGGCCGTTGACGGCCGGCTCGGTACGCTGACGGCCGTTGACGGCCGGCTCGGTACGCTGACGGCCGGCACCGCCCTTCATTTTTTTAAACGGCATCATATAAATTGCGCTGACAGGCGACAGAGGTCCACAGTTGCCCCGCAGCGATGCCCCCCCGTAGACATTTCACGAGCTCAGTCACTTCATAACACCAAAGATAGGTCGCGGTAAACACTCTGAAGTGAGGCTCCACTACACTAAAAAAGAAAAAGAAAAGGCAAAGTGTAATGCCTGTTAATAGCTTGCCACAGGCATAGCTCAGTTAAAATAAAGCACAGCTATTGTGCAATACATTTGTATTGCATGTATATTTTTTAGTAACAATTTCAGTTAAAGCTTTTAAGAATAAATATATTTTTGTTATCTAAACGTTTGACCTCTTTATTTTACAATTTTGGAATCGAAACGGGGAATCGATAAGAACCGGAATCGATAAGCAGAACCGGAATCGAAATCGGAATCGATAAATTTCAAACGATACCCATCCCTAGTGCTATATAAATAAAACTTGATTTGATTTGAAAAATATGTTGAATAAGGGTAAGCGTAAACAAGACTAGCAGGATGACAAATGGCCACTGTCACTGCCATTTTGGACATGTGTTGCCCCAAACACACTGGAAAGCTAACTGTGTGATCCACTACTTGTGTTTTTTATATAAAGTAGCTTTCTACAAACATATTTTATAATCCTATTAGCTCTATTCCTAGCTCTTCACAGGATATTTTAGGGATTATTTGAGAACTATTTACTCTTATCCAGGAACACATTGTTGTCGGTTGTTTATAAACTCTTTTTATACTCCTGATGCCATCATTTGCTCTGCTCTGTGTAGGAGTGTCTCCTGATTAATACGTGGAGCGATGTCTGTGCCAGGGAGGGAGCAGGGAGGGCCCTGCTCAGACAGCTCATGTTTTCCAACAGCAACACATCTGTAAACACTCTTAAGAATTATTGTCAAGTTCAAGATGGACTCCCTAGAGTGTGTTTCTGCACCAGGCTTCTTCTTCTCCTTTTTAAAAGACACCTCACCTTTCCAGCAGCATCAGGAGCAGCTCTCTTCTGCAGGAGGAGACTGGCCACCTCCATCTTGCCGTACTTTGCAGCCACATGCAGCGGACTGAACCCTTTCTGTTGAACACAAAATAAAATATATCAACAAAATGAAAGACAGTGGGAAAATGGAGAGGAAGTATTCAAACAGGAAGTCAATGTTTAGGTTGTTTTATGTCAGGACCTTGTAGGCCTGGGGTCGAGCTCTTCTTCACAACAACATATTTTCTCACATAGTTGTAAATAACTCTGTTGAGTAAGAAGATCTTCAGAAATGAAGGATGTGTACAAGCACTGTAACAGATACTTAGTTTTACTTAAAGGGACCAAATGTGGTTTATATCAACTCATTTAGTGAAATCAAACTGTTTCACTGACTCGCTATGTCTCATGGATCTTAACAAAAATCGTTAAATGGGCTTATATACCCTTACGTCATAGGCTAACTAACTACTAACGTAACAAGAGACACCTACATGAAAACGCAACAAGACACCTACCCGAAGTACAATGACCACACACATTTAAAATACACCACACGCACAAATGAATAGCATGCAGGGTTAAATAGAAGAACAAATGAAAATATGTTTTAACATTTAGTAAACAAGTATGTTTTCCCTTTGTATGACATCTGACATATGACACTACCTTTTTAATTAAGCTGTAATATATTTTTAAAGCTATACAAAATTCACTAAATCAACCTTTTTATAACTTGACCTATAAATGAGTATTATCTGTGCTTGATTAAATTATTAATATCAACAAGCTATGATACACTGAGAGACTGAGCCAAAGACCCCTTTTTCCTCGTGCATTCAGATCTATAAATGGCTGCTGTATAATGTGATTATGCTAATCTGGGCTTCTTCCTGTGTGTATGAGAAGATATTTAAAGACATTAGGTCATATTTTCCTGAAGAATGTGGGTCTTCTAGTCCATGCTCTGAAACACATGTCCTAGTTTGTCTGATTGGTTAGTATTCATATAGACTAAAGGGTAATGTGAGAGAACACAGGTTGCTTGATACAGGTTTGTTTTAAATGTTATAAAATTGTAAAAATATTTATGATCAAATGTTTTATCACTAATTAGTAAATTCAAGGTTTCGATCTCACAACTCCTCTATTGCCTTGTTTGTATGACATCATTTCATTGAACAGCTGACTCAGGTTACGTCCCTAAAGATGTAATTGTGTGTGTGTGTGTGTGTGTGTGTGTGTGTGTGTGTGTGTGTGTGTTTGTGTGTGTGTGTGTGTGTGTGTGTGTGTGTGCCTGAGAAAGAGGGAGAGGGAAAGAGAAAGCGTGCGCATTGGCACCATGGGGTTTACCGTTCATTAATTTGTTCCACTGACAGGGGTCACCTTGGAAGACAGCCCCCAGCAACATACTATCACACACGAAGTCTACGCTAAATCTCTCTTTGACCTTGATCCGTGCAATTAGTCACATGTGAAACAAACGGCACCAAAAACTGACATCATTCCCCCACAGTGGGTCGCTTTGACAGAAAAAACCCTCCTGAGGTAAAAAAGAAGAAGAAGAATTGTCTTACTGGGCCAACACGATTACTACCACTGACCTGAATATAGACACCAGCATTCATTTGATTCTCTATGTGACAGAACCTAACATGCTTGAGTCTTGTAGGCTGGTTACAGGCAGGTTATTGGTCTTATAAATGCTCTTGTCACAACATTATATCTCAGCAAACTCTGACTGATAAACATCATAAGACAGTCTCTATCGAGGCTGTAAACTGGTGCCCACTAGTGGAGATACAAAGCACTGCAATATTGATGATGGTCTTTTCAGTGATGCTTGGGTCTTTAAATTGATTGATTTCTTTATTTTCCTATCATGCACACAAAGCGCATCCCTCTGGTTTTTGAGACAACAAAAAGAGTGCTGCAGTAGTCCAACAGTTCATTATATTACAACATTTCTATTATCGTTTTGTGAAAAAATAAAAATAAATCCTTTCCTGAAGCACAACTCAAGTCATTATTTAAAAAAAAAGTACCTGCCTATGTCCTTAGAGAAAGGACAGTTAATCAAACAGTCAACCTCTTTCTCACTTTCCCCTAGCTCACACATCACTTTGTCCTGAGATTTCTGTGTGTACTGGAAATAAATATTGACATCCAACTCCATGACTTTATGCGCTCAAAATAAGACCCTCCATCAGACTGACCTTAGTTGAGGAGCAGAGCATGGCTCCATGCTCCAGCAGCATGGCAGCAACATCTTGGTGTCCTTCGCGGGCAGCCAGGTGAAGGGGGGTGTAGCCTGAGGTGGTGGCAGCGTTGGCCGAGGCGCCGCACTGCAGCAGCTGCTGGACGATGTCGACCTTCCCCAGCCGACTGGAGATGTGCAACGCTGTCTGGTCATCCTGCGCAGAAGGAGAGAGTGACTTTTGGACCCGTATTTCATCATTTTGTTGTTTTTTTACTTCCCGACTGGTGAATGGTGATTGATAATGTAGCTCGGTGTTCTAACCTTGGACTTGGTCTCAACCTTGGCTCCGTTCTTCAGCAGGTATCGGACTACGTCTGCCTGACCCGCCCGCGCTGCCATGTGGAGAGATGTCTCTCCTCGCTGGAAGGCACACAGAAACAGTTGTCAGTGATGCAATGATGTGGGATTTATACACAAAATACATATAATCTAGTCAAATTAACAATGAACAAAAATATAAATGCAACAGTAGATTTCCTGAAGTGGAAATAAAAGACACGAGTATGTCAAACACCTCCTGTAAGAGTGCCTGAGAAATACAAATAAATCTGCAAATGTTTGTGTGGCCTTTAAGTGTGACAAAGCCCAAGAGTAATGTAAGGTTATGTGTAATGATGACACACAATGTGAGAAAAAATAAGCATAGAAAAATGAAACGTTTTTTTAAGCTTAAATTTAAAGTTTTTTTAAGCTTAAATTTACTTAGAGTAAATTGGGAAGAAAAACAAAAAAAAGTATGCATTATTAATAATAATAATAATAATAATACATTTGATTTATATAGCGCTTTTCCTGGTCCTCAAAGTGCTTAAATAATATTTATTAAATACATTCTTTGTGCATTTTATGTAACGGTGCATTCCAAATGATCCGCTCACTACGTTGGTGGTGTTGGGGGAGGCTCCGTGGTTCGTCAGTGCGTGGACAATGTTCTCATGGCCCATAAAGGCTGCCACATGGATGGGCGTCAGGCCAGACTGCAGAAAAACAAGTTCAAACAAAGACAAACGTTATTAAAGCAGGTCACAAGGTATAAAATGACACACGTCAGCATAGTTAAAGGTCAATGCAGTTTTAAAGAAAACCTTTCTGGTGCCACGTGCAGATTCCATCAGAGAATAGTGCTCAGTACCTCAGTGACAGCCTGGATAGACGCCCCGTGTTTTAGCAACAGCTCCATGACTTTGACTCTGTTCTTCTTGCAGGCAATGTGAAGCGGAGTGAAGCCATTCTGCACATGGAAAGAAAAAAAACTCAGTGTAAGGCTTATACTGTAGTATCTGCACTGTAAGGGATGAACTTCTCCACAGTCACAAGACATCTGTTGCTGCTTTTATTTGGCTGATAAGGGGAAGCAAATGATATGACAGGAAATGAATGGGTGGTACAGAAAATGTCAGCTGCAAACCACAAGGGTGACGGAGAAACCTTTCAGTACCTCCACTCCTCCATTCTGCCCTTTGTATGGATCTGTGTCAGTTTCAGATCTACATTTCAGGATTGATTATTCCCAGTTTCACCATTTTTCCACTTTTCTGCTTCATGTATCAATCTGATGATACTTTGTACCCCTTTGTATATCAGTCCTTTTCAAACATTGGTGCAGCGAAAGGCTTTTGGCTGGCACATTTGCATTGCATTACCTTTATGATACAACAATGGTACCTCCATAACACAAAACCGCAATCTGCACAATTTCTCTATTAATTTGGTTCTTGATTCTAATAAAAGAAACCTTCATTTAGACAAGGAACATTTTTTGGACTGAATGGTTGTTTTTGTCCAGAAAAACCTTGTATTCACACCTAGTAGTCAAAGATAGAAGTTGTTTTTCTCTGTTGATTCACAACTTCTACAATACATTATATCTACTTGATGCTTTTGTCAAATAGGACAGTGTAACACATTTCCCCTCTGTGGGACGAATCAAGGTATTCTGATTCCAACACTTTTCCTTACCAGAGCCTTGGCGTTGGGGTTGGCCTTCTTGTCCACAATGAGCTTGGCCACCTTGTAGTGACCACAGTGGGCGGCGACGTGCAGCGCCGTCAGGTAGTCGTTGGTGACGTCGTCCACCGGCACGTCGTGCTGGAGCAGGAGCTGCACACAGTTCAGGTGGTCCCCCTGAGTGGCCATGTGGAGCGGGGACAGCCCGTTCTATGGTGGGGGGGGAGAGAGAGCGAGACAAAGAGAGAGACAGACAGACAACACACCCAGACGGACACGTAGACAGATGGACAGACACACACACAGTAAGTTAGGGCCGGTCCATGCGCGGCACAGAAAGACTTTGAAGGAAGTTGTTACAGGAGGAGGGGACGGGTGGCGCAGTGGTCTGTGCGTTTGATCATCAGATCAAGGGGGCGTTGGGGAACTCCAGTTCGAAACCCGCTCCCGCCCCACTGCGTCAGGCCGTTGTGTCCTTGGGCAAGACACTTCACCCGAATTTGCTCCTGTGGGTATTGTCCACAGTACATGTATAATATCAATGTGTACTTGTAAAAGCGCCTCGATGACTTTGAGGTGTGAAGATGGGCGGTGTGGCGCAGTGCATTGATCAAGGGGGTGAAACCTGCCGCTGCTGCGTCTGTAAAGCCGTTGTGTCCTTGGGCAAGACACTTCACCTGAACTTGCTCCTGTGGGTATTGTCCACAGTCGATGACCATTACATGTATGTATGATCTGTATGTGTAATGTGTATTTGTAAAGCGCTTTGAGAGTCATTGATAAAGCGCTATAATAAATATAAGGATTATTATTTATTATTATAACGAGGTCATTACAACAATGTCTGGTTTGTTACACTGGTCGTCCTGCGCGGTCAAACTGTTCAATCACTACACAGCGACTGTTGTGGAGAGGTCGCACAGATGTTATGCAGACAATGCGACAACGCTACACCTACGACCTTCTGATGGGTTAACAGGTGTCAAATAGTGCTTAGGAAAGCTATTTACAATGTTATAAACAATGTATAACCTGTTTTAAGTGTCAATCAGTGAAAGAAAAACATGTGTTTGTGAATTTTGCTTTCCTATTCTGAGCTAAACAGAGTCTCCTGAATGTATCGTCCCACTAGCTACCTTGGTCTTGGACAGGAAAGGCGCTCCTCGGTCCAGCAGGATTTCTACAATCTGCTCGTGCCCGCTCCTCGCCCCACAGTGAAGAGGTGTCAGACCGTCCTGAAAGTGAAGAAAGCCAGGAGTGAATAAATCACAGGAGACAAAACAAACCTATCCCTTCTTTTTCAACAAACATTTAAAAATGCATCTGGATAGCAGTTCTCGCATAACGAGCAAATAATAAAAGTATATAAAAGTGGCTTGTTGTGTATCAAACATTTACTGATTTCCACAAAAGGAATGTCATTGAATTAGGAAACATCATTTGTGGAAGAAAGGTCTGCCTAATGAACTGCCTTTTTTGTATCCAATGCATCCAGGGTAAAAATAAAGCTGCCCATCAGAAACCAACAGGACCAAATGTCGAACAGTTTTCTGAGGAGACTTATGTCCACAGTCTCACCTTGGTCTTTGCATCAATTTTGGACCCTCTGTCCAGCAACAACTTGAGCATGTTGCTGTTGCCTCTTTTTGAAGCCACATGAAGCGGTATGATGTCATTCTAAACAAAAAGGAGACAATTGGTATTAAGATTTAGCAAATTAGCAGCAGTGCTTTATTGTTTATACAAAAGCTAACATTATGCACGCCCATTTAAAAGTAAACAATTCAATGTAATTAATTAATTAGATATAACACGTTGTAATGGCTTAATTTCTAGTTCTTAAACAAACCCTGCAATCTCCTCATTTAGAATACATAGTATTTTATTATCAACAGCTCCGTTGTATAATACCATTTATCTCCACTGTTGTAGCATTCCTCTTTTGACCTAACCGGTAATCAGTGTCAAAAAGCAGCACAAACACTAACACCCCTTCGACACACCAGCTAACAAATTACGGGCCACTGCTGAAACTGTTTAGTCTACTGAGGAAAGAAGACCATTTTAATGTCACCCAATATTCCATTACAATGTTGCTATCACAGGAAATGAAAAGTAATACTACTCTACTGAATATAATCCAAACATTTGTTTAAAGTGAGACAGCAGCCTTGTAGAGTGTTGCACCTATTATGAACACTGAGAGGGATATCAGCTTGTATAACAATTACACTGCTGGGTTTATTTAAAGGACAATAGGGGATTTGTTTTCCCATGCCTACTTGAACTAAATGATAATGTTGCCTCTTTTAAGTTGGCGTTGTTTACAGTGTGTAGGTTTGAGAAAAAACACAGCGGGCTGCAGACTGCTGCAGAGCTTTGAGGACACCCAAATAAAAAATATCACACATCCTTTTTAACAAGCCATGTTTTATTCACTAAACGTTTTTGCCTTTATAAGGGTGCTGTCGGACAATTATATACAGTCAATTAATCAATCAAGCACCTTGTAGTTCAGCATCATTATTAAGTATATAAAACAGCTTTAAAATCAATTCCATTTTAAAATACAAATTAGCCAAGTCTTTCTCATTAAACCAATGTCATTACACTCAAATGTCTTCCATGTCTTTATAAATATCCTGAACCATTTTCATAGTCTATCTGACGTTGATTTAACACAATAACACATCCATCTTTAACACATTTTCCAGTCTAGAATCGAAAATATAATCCAATGCACTGTCTACTTCTTCTAGTTTAAATTGCCCAGTTTGAAAATCCAGTATTCTTTATCTCATGATCTCCCACTGAAATAGACAGAGATGCCTTTATCAATTCCTGTATATGCAAGGTAAGACACAATGAATGTGTTTCATCATGCAATGTGCTACAACTGGCCTATACATATCAGTAGGCTGAATAATAAATGGAAACCTGAACTGAACCAGACTAGTGTTTCACAGCTGAGTATGATTATTGTGTTCAGCATAAAATAGCATTATACTATCAACACCTCCGCTCTTGTTTACCTTAAATGTTGGTCATTCCCCTCCCAAACAGCAGAGGGCAGAATAAACTCACCCTAGCCATGAAGTCTACAGCAGCTCCTCTGTTCAGCAGGAGCGTGGCCACGTTAATGTTGCCGTAGTGAGCCGCGATGTGGAGGGGGGTGAAACCACTCTGGGGATTGGAAAAAACGCGTACAAGACACACATAGAAACAGACAAGCACACGCATTACATTTAAAAACTATACAACACATGAACAGTGGACACCTTGAGCTTTACATCAGCTTACACAGACGAGGACACACTGTTACACGGACACCTGACTTTTTCTCACAGTGTCAGAGAAAGTCCTTTTATCGAAGCATCAAACATGGGGCCAATAGAATGCTGACAAATAGAGGAGTTCAGTTTCAGATACCAAAGGAGCTTCTATGTGCTTTCACTATACTGAAAAACAACTCATTACACCGTTACACCCGGTAAAGTAAAGTTAAGCTTGAGTGGCAATCAATAACTCCAGTTTGACAGATGATATTTACCGGTAATCTGTCTCATCTCAATTACAACATCCTGATCCTTTCTTAGGTAAAAAGTGTCCTGCAAATGAACCTAATGTCCACTCATTCCAAATGAAAGTAATTTCCCAGCAAAACCCCTAGCTTAGCGACCAACAGCTGTCAAAGCAATACAAGGACACTGGAAACAATCTGTCCAATGAGTGAATGAGTCTCACATTAAGCTATCTAATCATCGACATCCCAAATCCAAATAAGCAATAATCCGGAGAGCAGGTGCTCGGACATGTGTATCTCTGCTGATATCTGGTGTCCAAAAAAACCCATGAGAAGCCCTACAGCTTTGAATAATGTCAGAAGGTATTTTATACAAGCATAACAGAACATAAAGGTCCCCAAACATTAAAAGGAACCACACAAATTCCTGTTCCTTATAGTCAATCTGTGGACCAAAATCCATCTTCCATCGTGCAGAGTATTATGCAAATCTGTGTACCACGATGCAGGAGCCTCAGATCAACAAAACCATTTTTGGATGAATCATAGCAGATAACTGGCCCGCCTGCCAAAGCCAGAAACAATGCCAACCAAAACAGGCGCACTCATGTGGAGGCCGCCTGACTTTGGTGTGACGAAGAGGCCAGTGTTACCATAGAAGCAGTGTTGAGGTAGCTTGTTGCTTTGGTCCCATGCACAATGCTTTAGGTGTAAGGGTGTAGGATTAGAACAACTAAAATCAATACAGGATAGTAAAACTAATCAGACTAACTGTCCTGCTGCTAGGAGGCTGGGTTCTTTACAGCTTCATGGGGATTTGGTTGCCATGCAGGTAATGGACAAACCGCTGCTTTTCAATGAATGATAACCACTTTTCATGCTAACACCGGTTATCATGTTAATCAGTTTCATGGAAAGACTGTGTTAGGTCACATTAGGACGACATTTTGTCAACAGTCAAAATGAATTTTCCATGAAACCATTAGAAAACCTTGATAACTCCAAGCCTCCAGCCTCAGGATCTACGATATCAGTTTTAGTAAAACATGCTTTTACTCTGACTTTCTCTATGACTAGCAACATCAACTACATGAATGATAAATGTAGAGGAAGATGAGGAAACAGGAAGTGACAAAGGGCTGCAGAAACACGAGTGCATCCATTCAGGGGCACTGAGGTGTTTGTTTGGTATTTCAGAGTTTTTATGAACTGCAATGGAGAAACTAGGTAATGTACAGAGTAGAGGAGTACCTCTGTTGTTCTATTCACCATCATCTACAGAGTGAGCCAAGAGAGGAGAGAATGAGCTGTTAGTGAGCAAAAAACAGAAAAAGGCCTCCACTGACAAGAAGTGGAGGAGCAGAGTGAGGGGAGAAGGAGCTCAGCACAAAATTAGTTATAGTTAAAGGTTGTTTTCACATTCAAACTAAAATCCTCCTCCAGCACGATCATACAGTACATTCACATATTCTGGTGATCTCCTTGTTAAATGATGTGATTAAATACACAAATGTAATATGTATATATGACCCAAATATGTATATATGTTCATTTAATTAATTTCTTATTTTAAAAGTTACTTAACTGTATATAATTTCAATTTTATATTTAATTGTATTCATCTTTAATCTTGTGTGAATCTGTGCTGTCCTGTTTTTCAATCTTACCCTGTTGCTGTTTACACAACTGCATTTCCCCACAGGGACTAATACTGGTCCATCTTATCTTATCTTAAATGTGCTTCTGCTTCTTTCCCCTTTCTGCCAAAAGAACATTAAAAGCAAATTCAACCAAGAAAGAAGAGAAAAAAGCAGCAAGAAAGGAGAACTGACGTAAAAAACTAAACGATCAATAATCAAAGACACAATTAAATAACCAAGAGATAAAAAAAAACGTTACCAACTGTTAGAAAAATATCACTCGTCACCGGCTTGAGCTTCAATATCAGGACACATGAATGGAAGTAGTCATCACATGTTGTACCATATGCTCTGTATGGGATGACTACTTCCATTCTTGCAAGGATAATAAATACATGTATCCTGATATTGAAGCTCAAGCCGGTGACGAGTGATATTCTTCTAACTAAAGATCTGGTGTTGGATCAGCTCTCACCTTGGACTCGACGTCTGCGTTGTGGTCGTTCTGCAGGAGCAGGGCCGCGGCCTTGGTGTCATCCTTGCGGGCAGCGATGTGCAGGGCAGGGAGTCGTACCTTGCCCTTTGTATCGTTCTCCAGCAGCAGGGAGACCACCTGGTCATGGCCCTGCTGGAGGGCCACCGCCAGAGGAGTAAAGCCGTCCTGCGTGTGAGGAGAAAGAGAGAGAAGAGTCACTATGGGCTGCAGCGGCGCAGGAACACATTACTGGTGACGGAGCTGATATGAGATGGTGTGACTGGATGGATGATGTGGGCAGGTTCGGAGCAGGGTCATGGAGAGATGGGGCTCCAATATTACATTTAGCTGAATTATTATTGTGCAGCAGGCATTGAGGAAAGCGATGCAAGACCTCTGAGACCATAACAATGTATAATGCAGCTAGTATAATGGATATATGTAGGCTTTTCCCTGTGTCATATAAGACACATCTGTTATATGTTGTTCAAATGGTAAGTCTGGGAACAAGAAACAGATCATTTAGTTAATTGTGTCACTATAGGAAACACATGGGCAACATTCATATGCCCCTTCTTTTGTTTGTTATTTTTTCAAGAAACACATGAGAGATGACTTTATGATTGTAACTGGAGGTTCGTTTTTCAAATCTTTAGTTGCCGTTTAAAAAAAAATGATTTTGGGTACTCTAGGGGCATATTTGAATTTAAAATAGAAACTAAGGAGTTCAACATTAACACAGTCTGACCTCCTTGGAGAGTTAAGGACAGTAAATCATCCCTTAATAGCCCATGTGTCAAACAGATGTAGAGATTACTGTACACATTCTGTATGTTCTCCTACCCATAGAGGCCCCTAATGTAAGTTACATAATGACATGATGGGCTGAAAACTCTCACGTCTATCTCCTACTCACAATACTCTTATGATGCATAATTCAGCTAAAAGCTCCCTGCCACAGCACTGCAGACTTCAATGTCTGTGTGTGCAGATATACATGTATTTGTGTATGTGCATGCAGATATCATGTTCATATAAATAGTGTGCACATCAGTGTGTGTGCAAGCCTATTCTATGTGTAAGTGAATGCTTGTCCTGAAGGGTGTTTGTATTTAACCATGTAGCCCATACATGTAAACCAGTGGACTGAAGACAGGCTATTCCATTAGCTCCATCAGCTTTATTTCCTTATGTGCACGTGCTTTGTGTGTGTGTACGTGTGGAGACTGATAAGTATGGTATGGGTGTATGGGTTCCACAGGCTGAGCAACGTAAATCAGGGCAGTAACAGCGGCAGCAGCAAAACGTGGAGGAGAGGCAGCGAGCGGAGCGGACCTCATCTGTGACCCACTCAAGGTCACTCTGCCTCCTCCACCATACACTACCAATCAATGGAGCTCTGCTAGTCCCTCATGAGGAGATGAGGAGGGAGGAGGGGAGGAGGAGAAGGGACAGGCAGAAGAGGACGATGTGAAGACAGAGAGGCAGACAAAGTGAGAATGTGAGACAGAAAGGACACAGAGGCAGGACAGTGAAGGAGAAACGGGAGAAAACAGAGAGGAGGAGATGGAGGTGGTTAGTACAACAGATGTAAAGACCACACATGACCGAAGCAGAGAAAATGCATGGAGACATACTGTACCCGTAGGGAGGTGGACACAAGACTTACACATGTACAAACAATAACACACACACTTGTACAGTACCTCAGTGGCCATACTCTGGCTGGCGCTGTTCTCCAGAAGCAAGCGAACCACCTCCAGGTGATTCTCCTGGGCGGCCATGTACAGGGGAGTGAAGCCATTCTGCAGAACACATGGACCAAAACACACGCACATTTACAAACAGGCTTACATTTCACTTTGCTGAGTTATACTACAAATGGATAAAAGAAAATTGTTGTCAATTCAGATTTTGGGTGCATTTTTCCTCTTTGGAAAAAAAGATCTTATTGACAATTGTATCATTTTGTCAATGACAGGGAAATGATTCACATATTGTGATATTCAATTAAGTGTAAAAAGGACCAAAAAAATACAGATCGTTTATGTTTTTCTCAGTTTTATATGATATCAAACTGAATATGCTTGGGTTTAGACTTTCAAAAGTAATCACCTTGACTTTGAGAAAATGAAAAGGACATTTTCACTATTTTCTTACATTTTAAAAGACCAAACAAGTAATCTTTACAAAACATACATTAAACGAAAATGAATATAATCTTATGTTGCAGCCCTAGTTGCTGTTACATCTCTATTGGCTGTTTCATGGTTTGATAAGACCAGAGAGAAAGGAGGTGCTTGAAATCTATCCTCTCACCTTGATCTGAGAGAGTTAAATGTAAAATGCAAGGACATCAGTTTCCTGAGAGGCCTAGTTGGCGTGATGCCAGATTGTTTCAGAGAGGATCTTTCCACTGAGTGATTCCCCTCAGCGTCAGTGACTCCATGATACAGTATCACTCAAACAAGTGTATGATGCATCGCAGCACTGTAGTTACATTCAGGTTATTTCAGACCAACAGGACCTTGCTGTCACTTTGACATTGTGTATGTGTGTGTGTGGTGTGTGTGTGTGTGTGTGTGTGTGTGTGTGTGTGTGTGTGTGTGTGTGTGTGTGTGTGTGTGTGTGTGTGTGTGTGTGTGTCCTACCTGAGATTGTGAGTTGACATTGGCTCCATTTGTGACCAGCTCTTTGACGACTTCCGTTTGTCCGGCAAGCGAAGCTATGTGCAGAGCAGTGTTTCCTTTCTGGATTACAGGGAACAACCACAGGAATGTGTGTTAAGCTCTGTCGCACCTGTCCAATCATATTGCTAACGTGCGTCACTGTTTACCGCTATAGTCTGTATGTATTCATTTCAGTATCTAAGTGCCCCATGAATCCCCTCACGCCCCTGAGCAGACTTTTGTATCGCTGGCGTTCCAGCTCTGGCATCTCCCTGCTCTGCCAACAATGTGTCACTTCCGATGCCCCGCGTCCTGCACATAAATGAGCTCTCGCCAAGCCGCTGCCATAAATATAACTACAGGAGGCATTTTATGAACAAGTACTGAACCTTGTTAAGGCAGGTTCAACCCCCGCATATACTGGGCTCTGTTATTAAGTGTTGTTGTTCAATAGTGATCACCTGTCAAATGTACTGTAAAGGGTAGCAAGGAAACCATATCTGTTCAGGCACAAGGTGGATTAAAAGACACTTAAAAGACTGTTAAACTGTAGCTAAAGAAAAGCGCTTGTACTTTACTGAGATTTAAGACTTTTCTCAAGTACAACTTATACTATGAGTTTATTATCTGCTGTTATAATCAATCGGCTCTCTCTCTCCTGCCTCCGCTCAAAGACACTAAGACACTGGCTGTCTGTGAGAACACATGAAAGTAACAAAACAAAAAAGCAGCCTATATTGACTGTGGGAGGCGTATGGCGCAGTGGATAGAGCCTTGGTGGTGGGATCAGGGGGTCACAGGTTCAAACCCCACTGCAGTCAGCATGTCGTTGTGTCCCTGGGCGAGACACTTCACCCCAAATTGCTCCTGTGGGGATTGTCCACAGTATTGAGTATGTAAGTCGCTTTGGATAAAAGCGTCTAACAAGTAACATGTAATGTAATGAAACAATCTAAACAGCTTTATTCTTCTGCAGTGTTCGAGTCAATAATCAAGAACATCTTAAGGTTTAAAGTTCCTTTGATTGGAATAATCTACCTGTACAAGGCGATCTAAGTCATCTTTTCACCCCCTTTAAGTGTAAGCAAAGGTGATGTTATTGGTTTAATAGTAAAAGCATAACATTCTCCCAACAACTTGCACGACCTGAGCACTCTATTCACTGTAGAAATCATAACCCAGAATGCACCATGATTTTCTGAACACACACAATGAAAAAGCTCCACAAATATATTGCAATCCAGTAAAACAACACACTCTTCAGCCCCAAAAGCTTTCAAAAAGAGTTGAAAGAGATTCTCTCTGACAGTCTTAACATGGTACGCATCACGAGAGCAGCGTTTGTTATAAAGCTGGGCTAATGAACTGACGACAATGCCACAACAAGAGCAGCACAGCAATAGAGGGGCATATATACAATTAAGTTTAGTATTAAAAACCCACATAGCCTAAATGTAACACACTGTATTTCTAAATCTATGTACCCGTCCTAATTGTCTCCATCGGCTATATAAAACAGTGAATGGATAGGCGTAAAGGCGGAGGCACTGGATTCCTAAATCTCAAACTAATCCCTCAGCATCCTCAGGGTCACAATAGAGAGAGGCTTTAATTGGGGAGATTTAATCCCTGATCTTGAATATTTCATTGTGTTCTCTGTTTATGTCAGCACTAGGCACGTGGCCTGAGGCAGAGGGGCTGAACCAGACGACTAAATGGGAGTGAACGCCTCCTGGGCTCATATCTGAATAATGTTTTCAACTCCTTTTAGCAGCGGAGTAAAGACGCATCAAAGGAGGAGACCCTCCACTGAAGAAATGTACTATCATTCAGATTTTACAGTACATACAATATTACACATTTGCTGATTTGTCTACTTTTTTCTGTATTAGATATATTTCAAATGAATGCATTCTACTGTTGAAGGCATTTTAGCTTAATTCAGACATTAACATTCAAGTAGCAGGCCCCTTAGGGATCATTAAATATTGATCCAATGATAAACCTTAAACGAAGGCTACCAACTTAGTAGTTGGATCCCAGAGTGCAGCCATGTTCTGTGCTGGATACAAATACAGTCCTCCATAACATGAGCTAAAATGTGTTAGGTGAGGGGGGTTGGTCTTACCTTCGTGGCCGCATCCACAGCAGCTTCCAGCTTCAGCAGCTCAGCGACTACCTCAACGTGCCCCTCTTTGGAGGCTAGATGAAGAGCGTTCAAACCATTCTGAGAAAGAAACACATTTAGTGGAGTGTCTGTAGCTCGTGCACTATATCAACTGTGAGAAAATGTTTACTTGTGCTTAAAGGATGGGTTGAAAATCATAAAATATTCCATGTAGAGGATGATCCCGCCTGCTCAGTTGAGCCCATGAGCCCCACATTTGAAAAGCAGCTGATGCAGCAGCATGTTTATGTGTGTAGAGGGGTCTATTAAACTAAACTGCATTTGTACAGCGACGTATCATACAGAAGCAGCAAGATTGTGCAAGTAAACAGACATTCCCACTTACATACAATCACATAACGATATACACAGTCTAACAAGCATAAAAGTGCAGAAAATAATAACTTAATATTCTTCTTTAAACCCGAGAAGTTAAAGCACTCACATAGGATTTTTGGTTTCTTAATGAGAGCATCTGAAGACATACCTGATTGCAAATGTTAATCTCAACACCTGTCTTGAGGTAGTCAAGGACCTTTTCAAGGTTCCCTGCCCGGGCAGCTCGTAGGTAGCTTGCATTGCTGTCAGACTGGAGAAAAGAGAAAGAGAGAGGAGGTGAGTATGTCAGACATGCTTATCTGCATGAAACTGTAACGATCAGGAACGCGTGAGAATAAAGCCAATACAAACGCAGAAATATTACCAGATAGAACTCTGTCATAATTGCTCAGATATCCACAAAACATTGTAACAGGGGAAAGAACAAAGCCACAATCCACACACACAGTTGCTCCATTGTCCCGTTAAAATCGATAAAGCCACCATAAATCCATTGGCGTCTCAAAACAAGACAACATCTCAAAAAGTAAACCTGTGAGAAAACCAGCAGAGCCACAGGACATAGCGCCAACAATTCACGTCATCCTCCGTCATGGACCAGATCCCGTTGGTCTGTTATTCCAGCTTTAGTAAATCCAAATGTCTCTGATTCCCAAAGGTAGGAAGTTCAGTCACCGGGTGGTCGACGCAGCTGCCTCAGAGACTTCCTCTGAGTCCACCAGTGGGATGTGAGAGTGTCGCCGTGCTACCAGCAGCAGAGCGCTCTCCATTCTGCTTGGATGTCCTTTACATCACTACAGAAATAGGGCTTTGCACACCAAAATAAAAAATGATGATGCAAGCGTGTTATTGCCTCGAAAACAAATGTGGGGTGTACTGTGTGTGCGTGTGTGTGTGAGACGAGGTGAAAGCATGCAAGAAGATGAGGGCAGACAAAGAGATGGAGAAAGCTACAAAGAGAAGAAGAGAGGGAGGGAGGTTGTGTTTCTTTACGGGTGCATGTTCGCTCCGAGGACATTTGGTTTGACATGAAATGACACACAGCACACTCGGCACATTTTGTCATCCTTCTTCGCACAGCCTTGCAAAGAGCTTTTTTTGTTAAACTCAGCACTTGAGCTGCAGAGAGCAGGCGGGAGAGAAGCTGTGATATGTTGCTTCATAACTGAGGCTCAAAAACCCCAAACTCCCTTGAATGATCAAAAGCCCAGACCTGCTAAATGTAGCCTCGCGTCCAGAGACACTTACCGTAGGATAAAGTCGGCAGGGACAAACGGAAAGAGCGGTTATCCAACATTGTACTCCCGCCTCCCCCTCGGCCAGAAATAACTCTGACAAACACAGAGGGATCTGACCCAAAGCCAGAATGTGAGTGAACGAGACATCCAGCATCAGATAGTTCCACCGTGAGAGGAACATGTGTGTGTCTACGGGTGCTCGTGCACAAACAAAAATAATGGAAGATGAAACAGCTTTAACTGGAAACTGGTCATTTCCTGATTACAAGAAACCATCAAGCTAGAGTTCATATCAGCCACATCTAGTTATCCTTCCTTTTTCCATACCCCCGACCCCCCCAGAGAACATTAGATAGCTCTTTGTTCTTGTGGCCTTGAGAAAAGTCATGATACAACACACGCTGTCACAGAGCCTGAACCATGAGGATTATTCGGCTTGTGGATGAGATTGTGTTGTTATTTTGGACGATAACATCAAGAACAGTGACTATCTTTTCTGTTTGTTGACATGTTGAATAAAAGAAACACAATCTAGTACAAACGTAATTGACAGCAAGCCAAACAATCTGATCATCATCTAAATATCCATCCATCCATCCATCTTCTCCCGCTTATCCGTGGTCGGGTCGCGGGGGTAGCAGTTCCAGCAGAGAGCCATCTAAATATCACACACATATATTATAAATCAACAGAATGAACAGACCAGTTTCTTCATGACTTGTTATTCATGGACAGTCAGAATCAACCTTTATGTTGACCTGTGAAAACACTCTGGCTCCCGTCCAGTCTAAGCCCAGCAGCTCTCCGTCATCACACTGTCCTACCTCAACAGCGTCACTGAAGTAAATGCTCTGCACTTATTCTAAGATGCTTTTCCCACTGAAGTCTTCAAAGTACGGTATACAGTAGGCATGAATCATAGTGACTTTTGTTTATAAGTGATGCTTTTCAGGAATTAAACAGCGTCTTTTTGGTGAGAAACCCTGCGAGCAACAACAGAACATAAACTGAGCCAGATCAGGCGGTCATTCGCTTAAAATAAACTTCATACACTTTCTGTCTCTTTACATTAACTTCAAAGTTTACACCAGCTTTTCTTCTCCATCATCGTCTACTGTGTTTAACTTTGCCAGGACAGTAATAAGAGAAGTTAAGAAATGAAGTAAAACACCCCCTGGTTTCTGTTTAAATATACAGAATAAAGCCTATCTTCATTTATTATATGCAGCATTCTTTATCAAAGAACTTCATAAAATGAAGATGTTTTAAAAAGTCCACGTACACTTTCACATGGATATTCATTGTACCTTCTTTCTTCTTTGTTACAGTATGTGCACTTTAAATGTTGATATTTATCTACTAAATATGTTTTATCTTATTGTATGTATGAGCCAACAGTTCTTATTTATAAAAGTGCACCCTATGAATCAATGTTCATGAATGTCTTCAACACTTTAAAAGAACAAAAGCCAGTTGCACAACTTCAGAATATCAGCCTTAGTTCTTTCGACAGTAGCTTCATCATCAATTATTTAAGTCAAATTCTCTCCACATATAACAATATATATGCAGCATGTGTGCGTCTGCATGCCGGTAGAACATTTGCCCTGTTTATGAGATAACCCTCATGTGTGTGTGATGCTGTGTGTAGCCTGTGTCCTGCGACTCTCAGGCTTTGTTGAGTGTCACCAGATGCTTTACCGCTCTTAAACCTCGGACATGGAAATACACAAGTGCGTCACACTGCTGTGAACAGGCAGCGTGCATGACAAATACTTTAATACTTCATCAAATATCATGCGAGTCAAACATGACATGTTTAACCCAAAAAGGAGAATTAACTTAAACATACAAGCACTGACTTTAGAAATAGGTGTACTGCCTGGTAAAGTTGCAGTTTACATAATTTGGGTCCAAAATATCCTCATTTTATCCTATTAGATATTTGAATGATATTGTCAGTGTATGAATTCTAGATTTATAGACAAAAACACGTTTCTTATGTCACAGTGACCTTGACCTTTGACCAACATCAGATATATTGTGTTCTCAAGAATGAGACATAAGTATGGATTGATGGACAACTCAAAGACACAATAACAATATATATAATATAGAGGTCCAAGAGCATCTTAAAGTGTATATGTTGTGTACATAGGTTCCTTTCCTGCAATAATGTTTACATCACACATAGAGCCCTTTGCTTCTCCGTCTGCATCCGCCCAAGCTTAAGTGCCAACAGATTAAGTAGTCTTCATAAGTCACTATTCATTGCTCTCGTCAAGTGTATCCCTTAATGCCCGCAGAGGAAACCAGTGACCAACATGTCCAACCCGTCATCTACATCGCCTCTACGTCCAACATGAGGGGTCCTGAAGTCTTTGTGAATGAAGCGTTGCACAGGACGGTGCGAGAGATTAGTAACATAAATATCATTAAGCCTCCACAGTTCAGAGGTTTAAATAAAATGGGGCCATTAAAGACTAGGTTAAGCCTGAAGGAAAGCATTAATCTAATGTTATATAGAAGGGAAAGGATGAGCGAGAGAGGGAGAGAGAATCTGACACGTGTTAACTGGAAAAGCTGCGAATTTAGCATTCCCAATTACAGTCTTACAAAGTCAAAAAAGCATCTAATTTCCGGGTAAGTTGCTGTTAAAGATGACAATTAACTATCTCAGTTCTAATTAAAAATGACTGACTGGTTTCTGCAGATGCTCTTTAAAAGTGTAATCTTAGAAGATGAAGAACCTGGGAAAATGTCAATGCTGTTTTAGGACTCTTGTGTATGAGATGTTCCTGCTTTTCTCAGAATTTCACGATATGAAAGTGAATAGTTTTGGACTGACAAACAAGACACTCAAAGACCTTGGAGAAACTGGGATGAAAATGTTCCACTATTTGCTGACATTAAGAGACCTAGCAATACTCAGATCAATGGATAATGTAAATAGCAGTTAGTTGGAGTGCAAGTAAGTCAGTAAGCATCCTCACACAATGTAGAATGCTTACCAAATAATAACAACCTTCAATTTGTGCGTGTGCTGTTAAGGAAGTCAATGTCCAAGAAGCTACTTGCAGCTGCACAACTTTAGCATTAAAAGGACCAAACTAAAGTCATAATTAATTGGTGTATTTGCAGTATCATCCTAAAGTTACAGTTTGATGTCCGACGATGCACGCATGTACGTATTACTACTTTTTATGATAAATTGGTAAAGTATATGGATTTTTTGTATACTATCTGCAAAATTCAAAATAAAAAAATAGCTGGGCAGTCGTTATTTTTGGTGGTTCGTTTGGTTCCTTGAGTCTAGGCATGGTGTTTGGAGCTGCAGAGCATTTGGATGTATTCCTGCTGAATCTATACTTGGCACACCTCCTCCTTATCACATCAACAGTGATAGTCTAGTTGGACAGTGGCAATGTTTTCTGAGTCACTTTGGCACTTGAGCATGCAACAAAACAGAAACTGGCAGCATTAAGAAGGATGCACATATATAAGAAGAAATGCATCAACACATACATGCCTGGCTGCACACACTTTAAGACAGAGTTTACCTACAACATAAGCATGAATAATATGTACACACAAACAAAAACAACATGTTGATGTCATTGCTGTAGACTGTGGTTGTCTGGGCTCTATTGTTTCACTTTATCCCCTTCTCTCCTGACAGCACAAAACACACAAAGCTCCACAGCTAGCACAAAGCTAGGGGCATCCCAAAACACCAACAGTGCCAATCAACCTCACCCACCCCGCCACCAACATCCACATTCATCTCTCCCATCACTGGGTCCTCAAACTTCTCAAACCATTCTCTCCTAATTCATCGTTTCTGTCTTTTTCTCAAGGCTAACATATATGAACCCTATTGATGAATCAATGCCCCCATTTTGCTGTCACCAGAAAATCATTATTGAGGCTTTAAGAGGAATGGATGTAAAGCACATTATTGGCAACGTAATGAATGGCTGTCTATACCCAGAATCTATCAATTTCACTGCCT